ATCATTCCTTTTCTCGAGACCCCCTTTAATTTACTAGTTTTCTTAATTCTATTTCCTAACAATTTTTAGTTAAATTTTAAATAATTAGATTGGTCAAAAAATTTTAACTAAAATTTTGCCGTGTTATACATGCCAAATATTTTTAATAGCGTGTTTGTTTTGTGTTACAAATGCTATTATATATGCACGGTGTTTGCACGCTCTAGACGTGCTGATCCAAAATATCAACAGAAAACTAGCGAGCTCTTGTCAAATCCATCTTTCCTCATTCGCAACGACAACACAAAGCATAATCGTTAATCTGGTATATATACAGGACATACGTGCAGTGGCTATCACATGAATTATATTCGAGATAGAGCCATACACCTGCCGTCTAAGGCTGTGTTTAGTTGGGAAAATATTTTAGATTTGGTTGTCACATCGAAGGTTTGACCGGACGTCGGGAGGGGTTTTTGGACACGAATAAAAAAACTAATTTTATGGCGAGCATGGAAACCGCGAGACGAATCTATTAAACCTAATTAAGTCGTCATTAGCACATGTGGGTTACTGTAGCACTTATGGCTAATCATGGACTAATTAGACTCAAAAGATTCGTCTCGTGATTTCCATCCTAACTGTGCAATTACTTTTTATTTTAATCAATATTTAATACTCCATGCATGTGTTGAAATATTTGGTGTGATATTTTTGCGAAAAATTTTTGGGAACTAAACAAGGCCTAATTTGCAGGGCGCATGACAGCGAACAACAGAGATAATAAATGAGAAAAGGGGGGGCGAATTGAAGAGACTCGATGCATGGCTTGTAGAGAAACCGCTGTGAGAGGGAAGATATATGCTTACTCTGGCTCCCATTGGATGGTCTAATCAGTCAAAGAAAAAGCCAAATTTTAAATTTTCATGCTTAATTTTGAGATATTTTAAACGTAATTTCTTTTTTAACATTGACTTTTAAATCACCAAGAACACATTTATAAAAGTTTTACCTACAAATTTATTTTTATTTCCTAATACGGTTTATTAGGAAATATGCCAAACGATGGGGACCTTGCTCTCTGACATCTTCGAGAGGGAGGGTGCCTACAGCGGAGGCAACCAATAATCAATCGATGCATGTTTGTATCGCCCTCAGACAGTGAAGATTACGACCAGATTCAAGCTGAGTTGATTACTGTTAATTGATTACCGTTTATGCATGCCATTAGCTTCAGCCGTCGATAGGATGATCAATGATGATAGGATAATTAACATCAATAGTGATATCAATAATCCACCCAGCAAAACTAATTAACTGGTCACTGCATGTACGCATAACCTAATCGTTGGACTGGATCAAGGTCGGCGCAGGGGATTAATTGGAGACCATCTCACTTGGAAATCAGAATAAAACTGTTTGAATCGCCGGAGCTTGTGTACCTAATAAATAGGTCGGGCTCTCGTGTCATCGATCAAAAGGGACCACATCATTGACGACGGAGAAAATTGAAGAATGTCTAGCTTTATAGCTAGGAGTATTGGTGTTCAGAGCAGATTGGATCGATTAATCTCCATTATGGTAAAACAGCTGCTTTAATTAATTTGCTAGGCTGATCATAGCACTCCAAATTAAATCAAGCAAGTACGGTAGTAGTACAGCTCATGCTCAAAGCTCCAAAGAACAACTTTTGCGAATAAGTTAGCCGCGCCTTTTCTTATTTTTCTTCGCCCTCGCCCGCACGCAGCTCGCCGCGTCGCTGTCGTCGTCGGCGCTAGCTGGGCTTACCTCGCCCACGCGACCCTTCGCGCGAGACCTCATCGATCGCCGGTGGGCCGGCCGGTCGCCTGCCGCGGCCGGCATGCAACAGGCTCGTCACTGACGCTGACCTCACTGAGTCACTGACACTCTGATGGCGGCCGGCTCCGGTCAGTGGTGTGATGCAGTACTGCGAACAGATCAGAAATCAGCTGTAGCTGCTGTAGCCTGTAGCAAGCAGCGTGCAGTGGCACTGTGGCAGAAGCGACTGACCGATCGGGCATGCGTTCATTTCGCAGCTGACTCGGCCGTCCCGGATTACACTTTTTCCTGTGTGGGAAACTAGGAGTGACGATTTTTATGACGAATCCAACAGGAAAAGTATGTTACAAGTGGAGAGACTGGCAGAGAAATTCAGAGTTCAGATTTAGATCAGCTGGCCAAGAAAATTAACGCTCTTATCATCTACTTATCAACTGCAGCCAAATTTAGAATTATAGTTAAATTTAATTTTTAGAGTTCATTTTAGTGTTTCTTATCTTACGCTAGTTTCCAACGTTATTTTTAAAACCACAATCGACATAGATTTTCTAAAAGTTATATTTACAAATTGTTTCCCTTCATTCATTTTTAAGCTGTAGCTCAAACGAGAGAAAATTTCTTCTATAATGATTAAGGCCCCGTTATTTTCCACCCATTAGCTAATATATTACGAACATGTTTTCCAAGCCACTAAACAACATGATTCTTTTAGAAGAACTTTCCATGTAAAAATTACTTAAAAATTTAAACAAATCTATTTTTAAAATTTATGATATCAATACTTGATTGATTATGTGTTAATTGAATTTCTTCTCTGGCAAGTAGGCCAAACCTTTCAAACGAACAGAGCTGCATGTTTCTCTGCATCTGCATGTCCTGTTTTCCTGATTCCAGACCACACGGGCTTGCTCTGTGTTTGGTAGGTCGTTGGGAGCTGAGTTTTGCTGACAAAATGCTACTTACATCGTTCTCATCCGATCAAGTGCGTGCCTTGCAAGTTGCAACAAAGCTTATTACTAGATCCAACCATTTCGCTGCCAGCACTCACGCAGCATGCCGCCGTCGCCGTCGCCGATGACTCGCCGACGTGACGCGTCCCGGAGCGGATTCCAAAGGCTTAATTTTTTTTGCTAGGCAAAAAGGCAGCAGCGAAAGCAACAGACAAATTCAGCTAAGAAAGGCCAGCGCTAGCTGCTTATTCCTAGCATTTCGCACATTCATATTAATGTTAATGGATCTAGATATATATATACTATGTAAGTCATTTTAGCATATATATGTCTAGAATGACATCAATATAAATATGGAAAATGTTAGAATAACTTGTATTGTGAAACGGATGAAGTTATTAGCTTCCCCTGGACGAGGGCTCTTTGGCATGTTACGATTAAGCTGATCGGCATCATCATCAAGACGGCGACGCCCGTAAACCGGGGAATTATTGGCTCCCCAATGGCGATGCCTGGGACGATGTGGGCCAAGAAAACGGCCAGTGGCACGGCGCGATTTGCAAGTAAAGATCGATCGCGATGGACGTCGTTTTGTTAATTTGTTCCCTTCTGGCCCAGCTGATCAATCGATCGATCGATCGATTGCAGGAAGAGTAGTGGCATTCAAGTTTTGATGGTTTTTTTCTGCACTGCATGGAGGGTTTGATTGGAAGAGGTTAGCTACTAGTAGGACGGTAGCGATGGGTCTATTCTGAATTTTTGATTGATCGATCGGCGTCGTCGCTGTTGGGTAGTCACGGTTCAGAAACTGGTACAGATTCCTATTTCCTGGTCCTGTGTATTTAAAGAGTAGACGCTTCTTGTCTGCACTCATATATGCAGACATACTCCTACACCGCACAATGCATGGATTCATCGTTCATCTGCCAAGTAAGGGCCCCTTAGAATCGCATGAATAAAAAAATGGAGGAATAGAAAAAACACAGAATTCTGACAAAAATGTAGGTGTAAAACATAGGATTGGAAAATACAGGAAAAACATATGAATGACCATTTGATTAGACCACAGGAAAAACGCAGGAATCAGGTGAGATAGATAGACTCAAAGGAATTTTTCCAAGAGGTTAGACCTCTTGCTAACTTTCCTCTAAAATATCTATAGGATTACACATTTCCAAGGTGGGTGAGAGAGCGGAGGAGAAGCGCGAGAACGCACGTTGAGGCCGATGCCCTTGATGTGGGTCTGGGTCGCGATCCACTGCTTCTTCCTCCTCGATCCTCATCGCCGCTGCCGCCGCCGCCGCCGCTGCGAGGACGTTCAGCAGCTAGGACGGTCGTGCACGCGGCGGTGACATGAAAAGTAGAGAAAGTGATACAAAGTAGAACAATTTACAATTACAATAGTATATTTTAGAAGGCGCGCGGATTAGGTGGTAAAGATATAAAGGCATGTGTAGTGGAGGGTGACGCTATCGAGGCGGTTCCGTGATTGAGTTTCCGAACCCCTCGAACACAATATTTACCGTTGGATACACATACGACGGCGCAGATGGGGAAGAGCGAAAGTAGCAAATTATGACTGCGATCCTAGTGAACACAATCACGTAGGATCATGTTCGGCGCAGCGATCATGTCGTGTTTTATCGTACTGTAGCGCTGCGACTGCAGCAGCTATTTGAGGATTAATAACTGATGGAATAGACCTGATGGAATTCACAGATCACACAATGAAGGGCCCGTTTAGTTTTGATACCAACTTATTGCCTTATTGTCTTACCAATTTTTTTAATAGTAGCAAATGCATGTTTGGTTAGTAGTAAATACATGTTTGGTTTGCTACTTTTGTCACAATAATTCAAATTCAATACTACCTAATTTGGTAGTGCTAAAACTCGCTAAGATTTTAACACAAAAATTGGATTCAAACCAACAAGCCGGAAAATTCATCACCTTCGCCGTCATCTCCGCCTCCCAGTCGACTGTTGCGCCCTGTTGAAAGGACGACTTTGGTTTTTGTTCTCCCCAAACAGGGAGTCGGACAATAATTCACCGAACCCCACGAACGCAATGACTTCCCGCGAGCCCTCCTTCCCCTCTGGGAGCGCACCGAGTCGTGCATAATATCGTATGTACATGATCCACCCTTTGCTTGCTTTCGCTCGGCGCGTTCACCGGACAACCTTTTCATGGCGCCGCCGCCGAGCTCCGTTGATGGTGGCCGCCCCACATACTAGTGGAGACGATGTGGCAATGCAGTACTAGCAGGATTGAGGAAACGAAGAATTGTAGCTGTAGGATTCATATAAGACAGAGATCATAACATAATGCATCGATTTGGAATCGTTCACGAACGAGATTTGACATAATTTGCTTGATCCTACACAAAAGAACAGCTACTTCCGTAGTCTTCATCTTCACGGTCACACCAGCGTTTATACATAGCAGATCAGCGACAACTTGTACTACCGAAACACGAACAGAGCACAAACACATTCTACTGCTCCAACCATTCTCGGCAACCATTTCCAGCTTCTACTACCGCCACGCTGCCATTACCCGAGCACTACGCTATGATTCAGGCGATGGTGACCTGGACGGACTTGGTCTTCTTCTCCGGCGGCGGCCGCTTCTTGACGGTGACCGTGAGCACCCCGTTCTCGCATCGCGCCGAGATGCCGCCGGTGTCCGCGTCCTCCGGGAGGCGGAACTTGCGCGCGAACGCCCTCGGCGACGCGCGGCGCTCGAGGCGGATGTACTTGCACTCCCCTTCCTCCTCCTCCCGCTTCCGCTTCCCGTTCCCGGCGCCATTGCTGCTCTTCATCACCAGCACCCTGTCCTCCTCCAGCGTCACCTGCGCAGACAAGAAAGAATCGCGCCCAAACTAACTCGCTGATTCGAACGCGAATCGAGGAAATTCAGGGCTCGGATTTTGTACGCACCTGGATGTCGGACTTGGAGAGGCCAGGGACGTCGAGCACGAACGCGTACTCGCCGGGGGTCTCCATGATGTCCACTGGCGCGCCACCACCGATTCCACTGATGCGGTGCTGGCCGTGTCCATGCGCGGCGTGGTGCGCGTGGTCGCCCGCCGAGCGGCGGTCCCCGGCGGCGGCGCCGAGGCGGTCGAGCACCTCCGGCAGGTGGAGGAGGCTGGTCACGGCGGTGTCGAACAGCTCCGTCATGGCTACCAACTTGGGCTTTGCTCTCTCGCTCTCCTTCTTGCTACTGCAGCAATGGCGAGACGGCGGTGGAGGAGAGGAATGGGTATAAAGCGAGCGGAAGCGAAGGTTCGAGATGGCGCGGAGTTCGCTGCGCTGTCGCGCGTCGAGAAAGATCAGGAGACACTTGGAAGAACCTCGTACCCACTTGTACATTGGGCCGAACAAAGCCCAAATCTCCCATCACAGCAGCTGTTTTGGACCGCAGTCTAGGCCTTGGCCTGGTTGGAGAGTTAATCCGCAGACACCGAGCCCATCAAATCTGTTGCTGACACTGGTGGCCTCGTGCATGGAATATAAAGTCCACTTATGGCCTCTCAACTTTACTTCAAGTTTAACTAACATCCCTTATTCCCAGTACAGGAAACTTAGCCCATCAACTATACGAAACCGTACAATTTGATAACTCGTGGAGGTGGAGGAGTTAGTTGCAGGGAGAGCGCTACGCGTCGGACGTACGGCACGAGACGAAAAATCGGTGCATTCATGAGCCGTCCGATCCACGCGCATGCCATCAGACATCCAACATCACGAAGCATGCATGCATGAAAAATATTTTAAACTACTTTTTCTCTTAAATTATTTATCCAAGTCATGATCCGATTACACCATTAAATTCGCCATTAAATTCGTTGCAGTTAAATTTTTAAAAAGGAACCACACATGGATATATTCCAGTGAAAAAAAGCTTATTATTGAATTATTTTTAAATGTTGCACATTGTTCCACCAAGTATATCGGAATTGTTTCACTAGGTAGATCGAAAATGTTTCAATTGTTTAAATCGGACGTTGTTTCGCCTTATATAAAAACAATGTTTCAGCAAATAGCGAAAGAATGTTTCAAGTCACTGCAACATTTGATCGATATAAAGTGAAAATTTTTTTGTGGAACAAAAAATGAAACGAATTCTCTTAATAGATGATTTACATAATATGTGGGTGATTTGTTGCAAAAGATTTTTTTCAATTCACTGCAACATTAAATCTATACATAAACATTGTGAGTACACTAGGCGAAACATTTTTAGTGGAACATTGTGAGTACACTAGTGGATACTTATTGAAACACTCGACCAACATATGTGCAACATTTACAAATAAACCAGTGAAACACAATAAACTACTTACTGAAACATACAAATAGCACTATGAGATACATTAAAGAAAGATATATACATCGCGACAATAAATAAATATGTGCAACATAATAGAATTTCAATTGAAACATCTAATTTTCATATGTGAAACATTAATTTTAATTGGTTGAAACATATGTGTTTTTTTATTTAATATAATCATGTGAGATCTTGTTATAAAGATTTAATTGTAACGAATACAATGGTGTAATGGTTCGTAGATTGGATGAGTAATTTAGAAGAAAAATCGTTTTCAAGTTTGCTAAAAGTGTGTTATGTACATGCAAGTAACCTCGTGTCATCTCTCTTTCATGCATATTAATACCCAAAAAGGAAGCATATGTAACAGAGAGAGATGATCTGACAAAGGCTGCATGCAGTAAAATCACAGTAAGAGGCGTCCGATTTCTTTGTCAAGATCGGACGACCGGATTGAAGCATTTTCCTAGTTGTAGCTGTCGTCTGGGAGGCCCAGTTCCATAATCTCTCAGCGGACTACCTCCCCACCTCCGCCTTCCTCCCCCACAGCGTGCACACTTCGCTCTTCAGCTCTCCTGGTATTGAGAGTAAGGGATGTTAATCAAACTCGATGTAAAGTTGAGGTAGAAAGTGGACTTATTTCCCTCGTGCATCGCCGGCAACCTAAGGGCCTACTTAGATCGTTTGGCAAAATTTTTCAGCATGTCACATCAAATGTTTGGACACATGCATGTAGTATTAAATATAAACGAAAAAAATAATTACGTGTAAATTGCGAGATGAATCTTTTAAGCCTAATTGCTTTATGATTTGACAATATAATGCTACAGTAAACATTTGCTAATGATATATTAATTAGACTTAATAAATCCGTATCGCATTTTACAGCAGGAATTTATAATTTTTTTATTACTAGTCTATATTTAATAATTTGAATGTGTGTCTCTAAATCCTATGTGACCCATGGAAACTTTACATATGCATCTACGCTTCGGCCTCGGCACACGGCCCACGTCGTGTCGTCACCATCGTCACTTCGCTTTATCGGGACAAAGGGAGCGGCTGCCCATGGCCCACGGTGCACCCGTTCCACGTGAGCGCGCGCGCGTACCGAACTTTGTGGGCCAAACCCGCCGCACAGCCAGAAAGATGCCGCAGCCGCCGCATGCCGTCCACGCGCGCCACGTTTCGCGGCGTCCACCGTGAGCCAGGTTCAACGCACCAGGGCGGAGGAGAGTGACGTGGCAGTGGTCGTAATTTCACCTGATCTTCGTGGCCTATCTCTCGCAGGAGGTGGCGCGTGGTTGACGCGGTCAGAAAAGCGCGCGCGGCCGCCCTCGAGGCGCCAGCTGGGCACCCGCGCCTGAAACTTCTGGATGGTCGCCCCCGGAAATATCTCCGTCCTCCCAACCACATCTCAGCCGTCAACCACCCATCGGACGGATGGTAAAAAAAAAAGAAAAATGATCCGGTTAGATGTGGGGTGGTGGGCCCCACATGTCACTGGAAAGGTCTTGCACTGTTCTAGACACATCACACATCTGCTTCGAGGCGACCGTTGCGTTTTTTTTCCTGATGCTCCAGTGGAAAAAAGAGCGGCCTTGAAGAGCAAGTTTAACAGCGTAGCCAACTACTGGCTCTAATTTATCTATAGCTAATCTAATAGTTTATTTATACAATAGTTACATACTACATTATTAATACATAGTTCCATATATTATACACACACTGTGTCTTGGAGTCTGTGCTACAGTTGGCTACAAATCTGTAGCTCGCTGCCCTTCTCTCTCTTTATTTATCTTCTTAAAATATGTTTGCAGCTGGCTTATAGCCTGCTATTATGTGTCTTCAGGCGTGTAATCATAACCAAACTAATTAACCGCTAGTGAGCGTCTAATGGAGTAGCATCACCAGCTAAACGTATTTCAGAATTGTGGATCAGATCAACTTTTTGTCTAAGAATCTTTAGTTGCTCCGGCTTTCGCAAGTGTAAAAGGCACTCGCAATTGGTAACACACGCCATAGCCACACTGAAAAGGACAAGCATATTAGCAGTTGCCCCTACCTTTCAAACGATTCTTTCGCCTGATTAACATCTTTTTCGTCCAGGTTGAAAGTTGATAATCACAATCAATTAGGCCCCTTTGCAATGCATGGTTGTCTGAAAATTCAAATACAGTAAAAGTGCAAAACAGAAGATGCAGCTAGTAATTTCCCCACATAGCAGAAACCACATAAAACCGATCAATTAGGTATCAGGTCACAATTAACCATCCGGATAAGCTCATCAGGAGTGCATCTACTACCATCTTCTCGAATGATGTGAAAAAAATGGCAAATTGTCAAGGTTAACCGTAAATCTACAGTGCCAATTTCTGACGGCACATCCTACGAGCCTCATAGATTATTCATATTCTCTAATAAACAAAAAGATTTGTGAGAGAATAAAAATAAATTTATAGATAAAATGTTTATATATTTGTTCGTAGCGATTTAAAAGTCAATGTTAAAAATAAATTACGTTAAAAATATCTTAAAATTAACTTTAAAATTTAAATTTAGATTTTAATTTTGATTTATTAGCCAACCGACGAGACTCTACGGCTCTGTGCGCAACAGTAGCAGTGTCTGGAAGCAGGGATAGCTAGCTGCAGCTGTAGCAAAAGCAACGATGGCCAGCCAAGGCTGGGCGAGACGTGGAAATAAAGCGAGGAAATTCCTAGGCAGAAATATTTAAAAGGCAAGTGGGCATCATGGCCTTGTTTCTGGAGGCTTCCTGGACTGCGTGGAGACGAGCGACCTGAGAGAGAGAGAGAGAGAAGGCAAGGGAAGGAGGAGAAGAAGGGGGACGAAGCGGACGAGGCGCGCGCGCGCCATCTTTGCTTTGCTTCCTCTCTCTTCCCTCTCCTCTCCTCTCCTCCGGTCGTCGGCCTCCCCGGCCGGCCGGCGCCTGCCCGTGCTTGAGGCGCGGCGGCGGATACGGGGGGTGACGACATGGCCGACGGGGGAGAGAAGTGCCGGGACGCGGCCGGCGAGGGCGGCGGCGGCGGCGACCTGTACGCCGTGCTCGGGCTCAAGAAGGAGTGCTCCGACGCCGACCTCAAGCTCGCGTACCGGAAGCTCGCCATGGTGAGCAATTGAGCTCGACGGCTTCATGCAAATGTTCTTTGTTTTTGTTCTTGTTCATGTTGTTGTCGTCGCTCCGCCACGTTCTTGATTGGTAACTGGATTACGGCCATGGATTCGCCTTGTTGCTGTAACTGCTTCATAGGTAGGGAAAGAGCGTGCCGTGGTAGGCGATTTCGAGTTTGGAGAGGTGTAGATGATGGCGCCAAGTTCTTTTTTTTTTTCGCCGGGACGGCGAAGAATGCCGAAAAGGGGAAAACTGTACAAATGCAGTGTGTCAGAGCACCGCCTTTACAACAAAAAGCAAATTACAAAGTCTGTGATCTCTCTAAAGCTGGCACTGCAGCAACATTCAACGAGGTAACTAGCCCTGCTGATTTCCAAGTTTCCCATTCCTCACACATGGTCGCACACAGCTGCGTGACCGATGAGGCCGTTCCCTCGAAAACCCGTGCGTTGCGCTCTTTCCAAATCAACCATGTAACGAGGATGACCCCGGCGTCGAACGTCTTGCGATCGATCTTCGCAACAGTTTGCCGGGCAGCGAGCCACCAACCGGCAAAGTCTGAGGACGGCGGCGAGCAGGAGAGGCTCAAACGAGCCTGAACCTTCACCCAAACTTGCTGCGAGAAGGTGCAGGCTTGGAAGATGTGTTGGCAGGACTCTCCATCCTTAGAACAAAGGTGACAAATTGGTGCGAGCTTCCAACCTCGGCGCTGCAGGTTATCAGCTGTTAAACAGGCATTGCGGACCGCAAGGAACATGAAGAACTTGCATCTCACTGGCGCGCGGGATTTCCAGATAATCTTGCCGAGCGGGCAGGATGTTCTACCGGCCGAAAGGATAGAGTAGGCAGACTGCACCGAGAAGTCGCCATTAGGTGCCGCCTTCCAGATCATAGAGTCAGTACTTCCGGGGTCGAGAGAAATCCCGGCGATCACGTCCCAGAGCGCAAGGTATTCCCCCATCGCTTGGACAGACAGGCCGCCCCTAATATCTGCAATCCAGGAGTTGTCGCAGAGAGCGGCAGCCACCGTGATGTCACTCAGCTTGACGAAGGAGAAAAGAATTGGGAATCTGTACTGCACTGATCCTCCGTCTGGCAACCAGCTGTCGCACCAAAACGAGGTAGAGGCTCCGTTCCCCAGCAGTACTTTGCTACCAGCGGCAAAGCAGTGCAGTGACTTTCTGTCAGCTAGAGGCGCAACGCGCATCCAAGGACGCTCTGGCTCAGCGCGGCGCAGCCAAATCCACCGAGTGCGAAGCGCAATTCCCATTAGGCATAGGTTTCTGATCCCTAGTCCCCCCTGCTCGATAGAGAGGCAAAGCTTCTCCCAAGCCACCAAGCTGCAAGAGCCCGCAGCATCTTCATCACCCTTCCAAAGGAAACCCCGGCATTTCTTCTCAATTTCGTTGATCGCCCAAGCTGGTAGTTCCAAGACGGACATGAAGTAGAGTGGGAGCGATGGCGCCAAGTTCATGTTTTTGCATATCAGAACTTGCTCGTTAGCTGCGCGTGATTAGGCTTCTGTTCTGTACTTCGTAATCTAGTATTAGCCAATGATTAAAAGCTCCAATCCAGCCTGTTCATACTCTATTATTAGTCATTTTTTTGTGCTTGTGTGTGTAATTTTCGTAGCCGTCTAGGATTGTTGGAATATTTATTTATGAAGACCTAAGTGTTCAAATCTGTTGCTCTGCTCGAATGGTCCAATTCTGATTGTACTGCACTTTGTGAAAAGTTCCAAAATTTAACATTACCTGATCTGCAACTTGATGTAGAGATGGCATCCGGACAAATGCTCATCCTCCAGCAGTGCAAAGCACATGGAGGAAGCCAAGGAGAAGTTCCAGGAGATCCAGGGCGCCTATTCCGGTCTTAATCTTCCTTATCTCAAACTCCACCCTGTTCTGTAATCACTTCACTTGTTACAACGATTATGCTACAGATAATGAACTGATCACAACCAAAGAAAACGGATTTAGCTAGTTGGCAAACTTATTGCATGGAGCCCTCGTGCTCCCATCCCATTGTTCTTGTGCAGTCCTCTCAGACTCAAACAAGCGGTTCCTCTACGACGTGGGGGTATATGATGATGACGACAATGACGATGACAACGTAAGGATTCTAGCCATGATTATGATTTATTGTCATTGTTGGTTCAACTTTAACTCCTACTGCCTCTGCTGCAGCTGCAGGGGATGGGGGACTTCATTGGTGAGATGGCCCAGATGATGAGCCAGGCACGGCCAACGGTAAGAACAGTTAGCACCTTGGTCCTAGTACTAGATGCTTCTCGTAGGCTCTAGCTGAGAGGTGGTACTGGTACATCAGGACCACAAATTTAGCTGCAACCGTGATTGGCTAATTAGATCCCCTTTTGTGTTGTCATAATGCGTGATAGGTTCCAGCTAGCATTTATTACTTTCTATGTTCTTTTGACTAATCGTATTATCATATTTCGTTTCGAAAATTCTATCGCTGTATTTTGTAAGCACCATCATACCTGTTCTGTTCTGTCCTTTGCAAAAGTACGCTAAAATGGTTGAAAATTAACTTACTGCTTTTGGTCTGAGAAAACAAGTATACACATGGTAAATTATTGTGGTTTGTGGTTCTAGAACTCTCGTCATGATACCTCTGGTTCTCAGCGATGATTTTGCTACAGTTTATTGGGAATTCTATGCTATTTGGGGTTGCATGTCATTTGTCATGCATACAATCATTTCTTGTTCATTGGAATAACAAAAGAAAATGCTCATATATGAATGCTAAGTTATCAGAACTTCTCCAGGCTGTTTATCTGAAAAAACTTGTAAACTTTGGAAATTTTTGTATAGTTTATACTGGATATTGTTTGTTCTATGTTCATATGTCACAGGCTTAAAAAAGGAACTGTTATGAAAAGCTCCATGCCCCTCAACTGAAACTTTTAGGTGATTTTTTCTAGAACCAAGCTGGAAACCGGCCTCTTTTTCTCCTGGACCTGATGCATCCAAGATAAATATAACAATAGCAATAAAATAACAATGAATCATTGGATTTGCAGAGGCAGGAGAGCTTTAAAGAACTGCAGCAGCTATTCGTAGACATGTTCCAAGCTGATCTTGATTCGGGTTTCTGCAATGGACCCTCAAAGTGCTACCATACCCAGGCCCAAAGCCAGACTCGAACATCCTCAACCTCCCCTTCGATGTCACCGTCTCCACCGCCTCCAGTAGCTACTGAGGCAGAATCGCCATCATGTAATGGTATTAATAAGCGTGGTTCATCAGCAATGGACTCTGGGAAGCCTCCAAGAGCCAGCGAAGTCGGTTCTGGACAGAGTCAATCAGGGTTTTGTTTCGGGGTAAGTACGCATATGTCAATTTCTGTTTACTTGTTTGGTTTGGCAATAATGCATCTAGGTAGGCGCTGCTGTGATTACTTAATTACTGTGGTCTGATTAAGCAGACACTGTTGCTTATTGTTGATGGTGATCACCAAACAATTTGTGACTGGATCATGTGATACCTTTTTTGGGGTGCAAGTAACAGTTTATGCTATTTGGTGGAGGTGTGCTTTCTTCATCAAAGAATACAAGTTGCAGCTAGATTAGCTTGAGAAGCACGATTTCTCTTGAAAGGAATGTGCTGATAATGTGAAATCAACTTGACCTGCCGTTGATCACTGAACATGTTTTTTTTTTTTTTTTTAAAAAGTGCTTAACGGCCAGGTGGTTTATTATTATTATTTTCTGAGGGAAGGGGTTTATGAATTTTGCTTAATAAGTTTAGGCATCAGATACCATACTTGTACTCTGGAATAGATTCCTTTGGCTAGCTTTGCTCTTTTTCACTGTATTGGGCAATACACTGTTTACATTTATTCAACATATTTATTCATTATTCCAATAAAGATTTGCTTTTTGGTAGAGCATTGTGGGGTCCTGGTTGTCTGGACCCACTAGATGTTTGGGCATATGCCATATGGGGCCATTCACTGGGATGTTGCACATAAGCCTTTTGCGGCCTTTTCATTTGTAATAATCATGAAATAATCCAGAAAGTTGTGGAGGATCCACCAAGTGAGTACGGATCCTAGCTCCACCACCAGATGTGCTATTCACATGAGGACTTGCTGATCAACTATGAGATTTCTGGATAGGGTCATTTGAATTTCCATCACTGTTACATCGTTGTTGTGTGGTCCGTATATGGAACAGTCTAGTGTGCTACCTTCTTCTGGTATATATTAAAATTGATTGCGATAGGATTTTTGTATATGCCTGGTACGGCATTTCTTGGTGGTGTTCTATGTCATTTAAGGATATCACAAGGTTTGGACGAGATTATGGCTTGTCTAGCATCTTAAATAGAGCCCATGCGTCATTTTCTGCTTTTCTGTATGTCCTTTCTTGGATTGCTACGTTGCCTTGTGCCTTTGCTGACTTGTTCAATTTGCTATTTTATTTTTGTAACACGCCTTTTTTGTGCAGCACTCCTGGTCCAACCTTAAATCTCCAACCAGATAAATGCTTATGATAAGGCCGTGTATTTGCTATTTCCTTTTAAGATTATCTGAAAATTCAGACTGGTGGTGCCAGTTGCGCATGCTCGCACCAAACTTGCTGTGCTTCTGGTTACTTGGATGTCTTTGATAATTTAGTGCCCACGAGGAACAAAAAGTTCCGTTGTCGGATTCTTCCACTTTATGCTCTTTCTATAGTTCGCCTGGTTCTTCTGTAGCGATCCATTTGAGCCACACTTTTGATACGGTACTGATCATTTTGGCTGGTGCCTTTCTGCAGCAGAAGAGTGATGCTAAACAAGCGGCGAAGACGCGAAGCGGGAACACGGCCAGCCGGAGGAGGAACGGCCGGAAGCAGAAGGTGTCGTCGAAGCACGACGTCTCGTCTGAGGACGAGATGCCAGGTTCGCAGTGGCACGGCGTGGCCTGACCTTTTGTTCGTGACTGGTTTGGTCCTTTGATGTGCCGGAGCACCGAGCTGCTGCCGCTGCCACTCTGCCGTGGCGGTGGCGCTGCTCGGAGTGAGTGACCGGGCGTGCCAAAACTCGTCGATGCTGCTGCTACTGCGCAATTCTTTCTCTCCATCCGTGTCGCGGCTGTGTTGTACTACGTAGACATTGCATTTTACAATTGATTCTCAGTACCTATCTGTCTTGCTGTTCAATTTCAAGAACTGAAGAAGTCATGTTGGGGAAATCAATGATTGACGAAGCTTCTATGATAAACAGAACAATAGGGGTGGGGTGATCACGGTTCTAAGAGTTGAAAAGGGATGCAATGGTATACATAACTGCCAATCTATAGAAGTTTTCCATTTTATATTTACACATTAGAACATTGGACGTATAACAGTATATTTAGATATGCATACTGAATTAATACAATTCTTTAAACAATCTATACAATAGCACAAATAGTATGCTGCCCTATCTATACAATAGCACAAATAATGGTCTAAACAGAGTCTTCAATGAGCTAAGGTCCTTTTTATTTAGGCTTTTTAAGCCATATTTAAAAAAGCTTAAGTCCAAATAAACCATCACTCTTTTTGTTTGACTTTTTTAAAACCACAGGTCACCCTTACACTGTTAAAGCTAAAAACTAAGTTTGAGTAGCTTTTTTTAAAATGTAAAGTTAAGATATATTCCACCAATAAACTTAAAGCTTAAAAGGCACATGTAGCCAAGAAGTCTAAGCTCAAACGAAAATGGTTGGAGAAGATTGAGAAGATACGCAAAATGAGGTGAGCCATTAGCGCATGATTAATTAAGTATAAAGTATTTTAAACTTTAAAAATAGATTAATATGATTTTTTAAAACAACTTTCGTATATAATTTTTTTAAAAAATATACCGTTTAATATTTCGAGAAGCGTGCACGCGGAAAACAAAACAAACTTTCTCACAATCTCCTTGGGAGTTAAGGCCGTGTTCTTTCGAAGGGTTTAGAAACACTTTCAGTTATGTAAAGTGATATATTAGCTCATGATTAATTAAATAGTAGATAAAAACTAAATTAATAAATTAATATAATTTTTAAAACAATATTTTTACAGAATAGTTTATAAAAATATTATTTAATAGCTTAGGAAATGTGAGTGTGAAAAACATGAGAGTATAAGGTGTGAAACATGATAAAAAAAAACACGAACAACCGTGCTCCGTGCTCACTGCTCCCTCCCTCTTGATAAGGCCCATGAAAAAGTATCTGGCCCATCAATCCATCACGCTCTTACGGCCCAGAGAGCCCAACTCCACCCCTCTTCTTCCTCCGCTCCATTCTCCTCCCACCCTCCCCTGCGCCATCGCCGACGCGCGCCGCGGCGAACCCACCGGATCATCTTCTCGCGCGCCGCCGAATTCCCTCCCGCCTCCGCCGAATCCACCGGCGGGCGCCCGATCCCTCATCCTCCTCCTCCTCTGCTCGTGCCGCAGGCGCGGGCGGACTCCCTCTTTCTCTCTCGGTAGGCAACCCTAACCCTCTTGATTTGCCCCCAATTCTGGTCGTTCCGTGGAATTCCACCCCATCCGATCCGTCCCAGGCGCGCTTGGGGCCTTGGATTAGGCCGGAAACGGATCGGTTGCTGCCGTAGGGTTCCTGGACGTTCGTAGGGATTGGATTTTGGTTTGTTGCTCATTTCGGTGTGGGAGAGTGGAGTGGAGGCCGGAGGGTTGAGATCGGTGTGCTACTACTTGCGGGGGCAGATCTGATAGGGAGAATCGGGTGGATAGTGGGGATTTTGTAACTTTCTCGTTTGATATCAAGGATTGTGGATTGGCGTTTCCTGCATTCAGAGTTTACTCTTCATACTACGTGGTTGATGGCGCTAATCATGTTTCTAAATTGTTAAAGAGTTGGATGATAACGTTTAACTTCCTTGTTTTACTGTTAAAATCTGCATATGTTATGGCACCGACTTAATTATCCTTAATTGGACTTTTTACCGTTAAAATTTGCTAGTATGTTTTATGGTGTGATGATTTACTTCTAGGTTTGTTATTGGAAGACTGGTGTAATCAATCTTATACCGATTATTTACCCCTCTTGCTCTCTGTGCTTACTCGTTGGTTTATTATTATAAAAGACATATAAATGTTTGGTCACCCTTGGAGTCATACATACTACATAGTTTTAGTGATCTAGCACCTTCTGTGGATTCATCCATTTTGTTCAAACTACTTACACATATCATTTTCTGTTTCAGATTGGAAGGAATAGCTGCTTACTGTTGAATATTGACTTGCTTTTGTTGCTGTCACAATGTCGGGCCTGCTGAATGTGCGTGCTTATCCTTACAACTGATTATTGTGCTTTCGCTTGATATCCCTATTTTCCATTTCAAACTTTTTACTTGATTTCTCTCTGACTAGTTTGTTCATCAAATAGTTTGCTTATGCTGCAGCTTCGCGTGGATAACGAGCAATAGATTTGTCTTTTATCACCTGATAAAGTGATAATTGTCCTCTGTTATAACATAGTGTTGATTTATTTATATTTTATACACACATTTATTTCTTACAACTGCGGCACTGTCCTCTTCCATTCTTTGCCATCCTTACGTGAGTTTTCTGTGTTGAGATGCTTCATATGAAATTTGAAGCCTGACACTTCCATATGAGAACTGTGATGGCAGGGAATATTAGCATTGATTGCCTAAATAAGCTATGCATGTACAGGCACTGCATTATCAGCTACTCCCTCCGTCCCATAATATAAGGGGCTTTTGTCTATGCAAATGCGTAGCCACAATCCCTTATATTATGGGACAGAGCTAATATATCTGTGGTGGATAATCTGTTTGGTTGGGCACTATTTATTCTTTTATGCTGCTGCTTAACCCAACATGGTATTTGCTTTTGAAGATAATGGCAATTCCATATGACCTGCTTTGTTCTTTGTTTTGACAACTTGCCATTTTTTCCTAGCAGTCAAACCTGAACAATTCTGCATCAAATCTTCAAGACTCAACTGGAAGACCGTTTACAGGGTCCTTTTCTGGTCAATCTGGATCAGTTCCAGGGGGTTTCCATCACTCTGGTGAGCATATAGTAAAATAGCTTGGTTAGTTTGTTCGCACAATGCTACATTCATGTAGTAAATCTTCTTGCCATTTTTCAAGGTTTGCACAACATGCATGGAAGTTTAAATATGCCAAATATGCCTGGATCGTTTTCTCAGAGGAATGCTGCCATGAGTGGCCTTCCATCCTCTGGGGTTCAACAGCCTGGAGGGAGCATGCCTGGGAGATTTGCTTCAAACAACCTTCCAGTTGGCATGTCCCAGGTTGTAATGACTTCCTTCATCCATATTGCAATTTTATTGTTTATGCTGACGGCTTGTGGAAACTAAGGTACATTGTTGCTGGTTGAAATGATCGTGTAACCTCACCATGTTACTGTTTTGTTGCAGATCCCTCATGGTCATTCAGGAGTCGGTAGTAGAGGATTGAATGTTGGTGGAGGTCCAGCATTTAGTAGTAGCCTGAATATTGGTGGTACCATTCAAGGCTTATCCTCAAACCTGGGTGCTGGTGGTAGTCGTAATTCTGTTCCTGGGATGTCAGTATCTCCATCTTTGGGAAATTTGGGTCCTAGGATCACTGGTTCTGTAGGAAATATTGTGGGTGGAAGTAACATTGGAAGGAATATAAGCTCTGGTGGATTATCTGTGCCAAGCATAGCATCACGCATGAATTTGAGTGGCAATGTTGGCAGTGGCGGTCTGAATGTCCAAGGATCCAGCAGGATGATGAATGGCATTCTTCAGCAAGGTAAATTATGGAACAGACTGTATAAATAGTTTGTTACTCCATAGAGTCGAATACTCTTTATGTTGTCATGCCTTCATGGCTGCTTAGCTGCTTTTCTATTGTAGTTATTTGTAACATCAGCTATTGTTTGTTAACACATGCTCTACCGTGGCTATGCTGATTTTTTTGTTGAGTATATCTACTGAATAATTTGCTTTTAGCTGCAGAGTTACCCCTCTCTTTCTTGACATCAAAGTTGGGCATATGAAACAAGTGTCAAAAATACCCAAATGATATGTATTGAAGGATTTGTTAATAATATTGCTAAGTAGCTGCTGGTTGTTATCCTCTAAAAGTAGGATCCTTGTGCTGTTAGTGAGCAAACAAAAAAGTTTTGGTAAGTGGGATCATGATCAGAAACAAGAAAAATCCTAGGACCTTAACAAGCTTCCCACCTAAATCAGTCATACCTGAAGAAAAGCTCCAACCACAACCTATCTGCTGAAAGTAATTGGTGCCTTCACTGTTTATCCAACACAGTCCAGCTTATGTTTTACAATCTCTTTCATGTTTCCTTACCACATTTGTAATGTAATTGTAACGTCCAAAGTTATAACCTGGTCAATCTTAGCATCTGCTGTCGCGCTGCGTCCTAAAAGAACACCAGTCGGTTGCATTTGATAGGATTAAGATTAGAAATGAAAATTCCAACAGTACTATCATTTGATAGGTGTCAGAGTTAGAGGAAATATTGGTATTCCTCCTCCTGGCATGCATGCATCGGATGCTAGAATATCTATTGCTTATTTTTATAACTGTTATTTTTTTTGGCATCACAATATGATTTATGTAAGTAATATGATGCTGAGTAAATACTTAGAAACATTATATTTTATATGTTTGTGATGTCATGTATCTATAATATTTTACTGTTTAACAAGAGGTATATCATGTATTAGCTTATATCTATTGAGGTGAAAGCCCGTGAGTCTTTTCATTCAGCTTCTTCTTCTTTTTTTTAAATTTCTGATATCAGGATCACCTCAAATGCTGAACATGATGGGGAGTTTATATCCAACATCTGGAGGTTCTTTATCTCAGAACCAAATACAAGGAGGAAATAATTCCCTTGGTTCTATGGGGATGCTGCATGATGCCAGTGACGGTGCTCCATTTGACATGAGTGATTTTCCCCAGCTGACTGGTCGACCTAGTTCTGCGGGTGGTCCACAAGGACAATATGGTAATGATTCATATATATTTTTCATTAATTGGGAGGATGCCTTGACAATTTCTTTAAATAACAGGCTCCCTACGGAAGCAAGGAGTTGGTGTTAACACCATTGTTCAGCAAAACCAGGAATTCAGCATTCAAAATGAAGACTTCCCGGCTTTACCTGGATACAAAGGTGGTTACAGCTATATTATTTCTAGAACTATCTGTTGATTCAGTGAGGGTGCCTTGATTATACTTGGTGTTGGTGTATTGTGCACTATCTATTTAATAGTGTTACTGTCCATGGCTATTACAATTTGTTGTCTACAATAGTGCACTTTCAACTGGCCTTTGCTAGCCTGTCATACAACTCTCTGTTACAAACTCTGTTTTGCTTTAACATTTCATCTTTTATGTAAGGCTGACACCATTTTTCTCAAGTTACTGAGTGGTTATTACGTATTAGTACTGTTCATATACTTGCCGTGGCTTTTCCACCTTTGGTTAATTTAAGACTAAGCATAGGAATGGGGCCACCACTATATGCCGGCTACTCCAATTATGATATTGGAGCAATTGGGATTACCACAGATCATCATTTTGATGATCGACGATGAAAATGCGCAAACACATTGCTTGGACAAAATGGTCCTTGTTCAACCTGCGGTCTGCAGACATGTGCAGAAGTCCTAGCAATCCCATTGTCTCTCTGTTTACATTGCCAAAACAAGTGCCGTTCAATCTGGCCATGAACTTGTAGCATATATTGTCGGATACATGATTTTAACATCCAAGTGATTTACTTTTGACGATGATAATAAGTGGTTTTCTTGTCGCAACTCACACAGTTTTCGGTACCCTCTTGTTATATTCATTGTTTTTGTCAGCGTAGCCAAACCCATGGCTATCGTGTTATTTTATGACAATTCATATGGTCATACGGAGAACTAAACCAATAGGCAATGTGTAATGAAAGTATAGCAGCTGAACCATTACAAGATGTTCAAGTCCAATTGAACCCAGCAAATGTACAATTATTACTGTCATGGCAGTAAAACTAACTGCAGGCCATTTTGATCCAGGTACCTGTGCCAACCAAATATAGATCAAAAGTTTCGGAATCTAGGAAATTTATCTTTGCACCATGTGCCTCCTTGTCAGTCACATGTTTGAGGCAACTGCGAATCTGTGATTGAAGCCTTGAGGCAATCCAAAAAATATGAAACTTATTTGGGAAGGTTCATGATGCTGAAAACAATATTTTAAATTTTTTTTGGCAGAATATTAGGACCTGCAAATTTTCCTCATGCCGGAAATTTGCAATGGTCAATTGAGATAGTTTAGGCTAGCTAAATATAACAATATTTACAGTACGTGGCTTGAGTTTGGTTTATGGATATCATGGATTTAATTCCGGGATGTTCCCGGATAAAGTCACTTAAAAAGCTTGATGCATATTTGGTGCTAAGAGTTTAGTGCCATAGCTGTCGATTTGGCAGTACATGGGCACCTTTAATTCCTCGGCTTTGTGATGCACTGAACATCACAGCTTTGTTTTATTGTGTCTGTTGGTGTGCTGAAAATGTTTCTAAACTTAGCTGGTGAATCATCTTATAAAATAACCTTCCGCTTTTATGTTTGGTTGGCTTCTTGGTATATTTTGTCGGTGTCTCGTATTTTGGTTGGCCATAATCTATTTCCTGTCTCGAATTTATTACTTGGCACGTGTTTTGGATGGTCGAAACCTGTTACTTGCCTTGTGTTTATTCCATGATCATTGGATATTCTTTACCATGTTTTAAACTTCTTTTCCTTTAGTTACTCTTTTGGTGCGTATTTCGCTACTATAACAGATTCCTTTCTTTGCCCTTTGCTGAGTTGTGCAAAGTATTAACCTTTTGAATTATCAGGCAACACTACAGATTATGCTATGGAGTTGCATCACAAGGAACAACTTCATGATAATGTACCTGTTATGCAAGCGCAACAATATCCGGTGCATCCCTGTTTCTGAATTTTCAGTAACTTCTTTTCTGTGCTTTTTTTTTTTGACAAATTTGCACATTTACGCAGATGTCAAGATCAGTTGGCTTTAACTTAGGAAGTAACTACCCACCAAATCGTCAGCAACACCAGCAAGGTGCTAATTCAGTAAGTAATATTGGAAATTCTTAAAACTCTTAACAATCAATGTCTACCACATTTGTCATGGTTCTGATCTGGCATGTATCCAAATTTTCTGTTTTGACCCTTTGATGCAAGTAATAATAATCTCAATTATGATTATCAGGTTCAGAATGCTGGTCCCCCAAATATCGGACTAAGACCACTAAATTCTCCAAATCAAACTTCTAGTTTGGGATCATATGAGCAACTTATCCAGCAATACCAGCAACCTCAGGCTCAAAATCCTTTCAGATTGCAGCAGGTGTCTTCAGCTACCCAGTCATATAGGGATCAGAGTCTAAAGTCCATCCAGGGGGGCCAAACACCATCTGATCCATATGGCTTGATGGGATTGCTAGGAGTTATCAGGATGAATGATGTTGACTTATCATCTCTTGCTTTAGGAATAGATTTGACAACATTGGGTTTAAACTTGAACTCACCAGACAATCTGTACAAGACATTTGGCTCTCCATGGTCAAACGAGCCAGCAAAAGGAGAACCTGAGTTTCATACTCCAGCTTGCTACTCCGCTGAGCAACCTCCACCACTACAAGTAAGCTGCCTGTCACTGTGTGCTATTTTTTAATATGTAATGGCTGGCTGTGCATTTGCCATCTTTTATTGGATGTTGACCATCATAATTTCCTAAACTAGTTGTTCTTAAACATAGGCAGAATTTATTGTCTCAATGTATTTGCTTCATGTTATGACTTATATATTTGTAATTGTGTTCTGCCTCTTGCAGCCTATACATTTTCAGAAATTCCAGACGCCAACACTGTTTTACATCTTCTATAGGTACATCTACCATTAAGTGTGTCCCACTTCAATTCTATTAGGCTAGTCCATTTGTTGCAACAAATAATGTGAGTATAGTTTGTTTTTTTATGAAAGATTTATCATTTTTCTTTGGTTTGCAGCATGCCAAGGGATGAAGCTCAGCTATGTGCTGCTAGTGAGCTGTGAGTACATGGTTTCACCGGTCTTCTCATTTACATCTTGTTGCTAGGGGTTGGTTTTGATTTGCATAGTCGTGCTTATCCATGTTTATTTGTAGCATAGTTTCCACTGGTTACGCATCATTAATCCTTCTGTTAATGATGGGTGCAAACCAAGTTAATGGTGACAACTAGATTGGCCACATCTTGGCCCTCCGTCCACCAACATTATCTAATATAACATCTTGGATAGACCATGGACTTAAATTGATCTGTATTCGTGGGTTTTGCATTTTGTTGGGCTTGTGTAGGACATACTCCCTCCGGTATAAAAATGTTGACGTTCTAGCCTTGTATCCAAAGTATGGTAATTGTTGACGTTTGGGATTTATTAGGTTATTTTGGAATTGTTTGCCTCTTATGCATGCATTCCATTTAAAGTTGAGTAGTCTCCCGTGTCCCCCGCACAAGCGAGAAAAACACACCAGCCAGCGTGTGCTGCACGTGCAAAATTGTAGAGAAAATCCACGCGTGGAAAGAAAAAGGAGAAAAACGAAGCGACGCTAGGATTCGAACCTGCATGCTTTGCATCTGGTTGTTGTTTCGAACCACTAGGATACATCCAAATATTGATTAATTCAAGCATATGGCAGTATTTAATATGGGTATAACAGGGAATAGGCACCCTAATTAAACACTCCTTGGTATGTGAGATCATATCTAAAACGTCAAGAAATTTGAAACCGGATGGAGTAGGCTGGTTTAGACCAGCTTGGATTAGTATGGGACTAGTGGACTGCCAATTGGTTTAGGATCAACAGCAATTTTTTACAAGTAATATTGTGTATTTTATTTATTTGAAAGGGTACGCTTAGGACTTGTTCGTAATCCAGATGGGTGACTACTAGTTGCACAACACCAGAACATGTTCCATGATCCTGAATTATTCTGGATGTTTAAGGCTTTGAATCTTTCAATCTATCAATTAGCTATCTTTCATGTTATTCATGTAATTGATTATTATATTTCCTTGTGTTTCATGAGGCTTGATATTGGATATGCATTTACTTCCTTAGAATTTATTAATATCTTAATACATACGGCAAATATGTGTTACCCACTTTGAGGTGCAGCACAGCACAACCAAATACCAAATGGAGATTAAACCTTTTTTTTTTACTTTTGTTTTAACTGTTGAATTGAACCATGGTATATGTCCATCTTTTCCGCAGGTATACTCGAGGATGGTTCTACCATAAAGAAGTGCGTGTGTGGCTCACCAGAATTCCAAATGTTGAGCCTCTGGTCAAAACACCTCATTATGAACGAGGATCTTATGGTTGCTTTGATCCAAACAACTGGGAGACAATCCGCAAGGTTTGGATGTTTGGTCAATGTAAAGTTGTATCACATAATACTTTTGTGAAAATTTGTGAATTATAATTGTGTATGTTTTTCTGCAGGACAACTTTGTTCTCCATTATGATCAAATAGAGAAGAAGCCAGCTATCCCTTCATCCCAAAACGTTAGGTGAAACATTTCTTGTAAGTACCTCTAGAAGCTCGGATTTACTCTCTAGTGTCTGTGTACAAGGCAATTATCTTATATTATTATGTGCAACACATTTTTTGTTCAGATACCTCCTGGCTCAAGTTTTATCCTTTTTTCTCAAGGGGAGGAAGAAATTTGTGCTTACGCTAAGAGCAGTGTCATGACCTAACTCTGAGGTTGGTGCCTTTCTGCAGAAGTCCGCTATTTATGCCAGTTACATTATGTCTTGTTTTGACTGTTAAAAGAAACTAATGCTAAATGCTAGTAACTGATAATCGCACCTACTTTGTTTGGATTGATTCATTTAGTGAGAAATTCCTTTTTTTTTCAATTTATGCGTGACACACTTTCTGCAATTTATGCGTGGTACACTTACTTTCTGCAATTTATGCGTGGTACACTTTCTGCAATTTATGCGTGGTACACTTTTTGCAATTTATGCGTGATACACTTTTTTCAATTTATGTGTGATACACTTAGTAGTGCATGGCTGCGTGTCTTATCATGATTGATTGATTCGATAGTTTCTTAGTATGTGAGAAGGTATATTATGTGGTTTGAAAATAACGTGGCTGCCTCTGTTTCGCTTTGATAGGACAGTGAGAACGCAGGGCCATGCCGATCTGCAGAGGGGAGGCTGCAAAACAAAAGCGGGAATGCCTGCTTAACCCTTGTAATTAGATTATAGTGGTGAAGTTTTCCTTTAATCGTTTGTAGATTGCACTCTCAGCAACATCTCCAGGTGACCAACTTTTAGGAATAGCAAGTCTTAAACATGCTTTTTTACCGTTAAAGCTTTCGGTGTCGAAACGTAGTTGGCAAATGCACATATCGGCGTTGGTGTTTGCCCTTTTACCTTAAAACAAAGTACAATGTGGGCATTAGGCGCCAGATTGATTTGCTTAATTTTGGCAGTCTTAAAACCTAGGCATGCTTAATTTGCTTAATTTTGGTAGTCTTAAAACTAAGTTTTGGTACTAGTAATTTTTTTTTTGGTAACGAAGGGTTAAATATGGGTTGATTAGGAATCATGTTAAACATCCTCCATCACTTTATAACACAAGTTAGTTAGGAATCATGTTAATTTTGTAAAAATTAAAGAAGTAGCAAAAGAACAAGATACAAAAGGTGATAGGTGAAGGTGAAACAATAAAGTACTACAAAAGTTGGCAGGTGGAGAAATAAACTAGTAAGAAAATGGATGGTGGAGAGAATAAACAAGGTTAAAAGTAATTGATAGGTTGGGAATAAAGTTTTATCTCAGGATTTCAAATTTTGAAATAATTTGTAAGGAAAAGTCCTTGCATTTTGGGATTCTCCGTCCAAAAGAAATCAATCTTGGTTATGTACCTGAACAAATGTATATCTAGATTCATATAGATTCATATATAGTATTGTTTCAGTACACAAATTTTGGTGTGGTGAAATGTCAGTGGCAATATTTCCTCTCTTTTTTTTCCATGTATGCAGTATTCAGTGCTTTCCTGGCTTGTCGTCGGTTTGTACTTATGATGGCCACAGCTAACTAGCTACTCCCTCCGTCCTAAAATATAAGTATTTTTGGAGTAGCTGTTTGTTGCATGTATACACGATACCGAGGTGGTGGGCTGGCAGTAACAGCTAACGGAGTGGCTACTGCAGGCATACGTCGTTACCGACCGCAAATGAAGAGTGCTGGTTACACTTTTTCCCCCCTAAGTGAAGAGTGTTGGATTCACTTATTTTACAAATGAAGAGTGTTGGTTACACTATTTTTCCCCTAAGTGAAGAGTGTTGGATTCACTTGTTTTACAGTTTGAGGGTCACTACTCTATTAGAGATCCTTTTCATGTAAGCTTTTGCGTCTAACCAACTAGGAACTTAAGATTGCCAAGATGGCGGTGTGCAATATGCGTGGTCAGCTAGTCATCGTCACACTCGTGCTTTTCACCTTAATAATCACTTCATTTTCATGTCACGACGTTTTTCTTTAAGAGAAAGTCACGTTTTATTGATTATGGTAAATAAAGCGTGACTTTCTCTAAAGTCACTTTTTCTTTAAGAGAGTCACATCTATATTAGAGATTTTCTTACATTTAAATTGCATCTAGGAATATTAAAGGCAAGACAATTAGGGGACTAATGAGCTACTTGAGTGTTAAGCACAATTATTGATTAGTCCCTAAGGATGATGCTCTAAATGGATGACCCTCACAAATTAAAACTAAAACAATGGGATGGCTTAAGGCATTTCATTGTTTTTCTTTTGAAATTGAGTCATAGGAAAAACCACCTATTCAAGTGGGGTTTGTGTCCTTGTGCTCAGATGAAAACCTATTAGAGAGAAACACAAAGCATGTCACTCACAATTGGGAGAAAAGAGCTTTGTGTTTGGCCAGGCCGAAAGCTTCAAAGTTCGGGTTCGGAACCTTCAACTAGAGCTCTCTGTTTGGCCAAGGGCTAGACCAGAAGTTCCAGACGTAAGTTCCGGAAGTTCCAACCACAGTTCTCTAGCTAGCAGAGAGGGCTAATCAGAAGTTCCGGAGTTTGAGTCGAAAAGTTTCGGTCCTCCATGTCTTCCAAAACCGAAGTATTGTCCGGAACCCTCAGCCCTCAAGCCGGATGTTCCGAAGTTCAAAATTGTGAGTAATGGTTAGCTTCGGGTAGGTGAATATTTAACTCCACCTACCCCTGCTTTGAGCAAGTTGTTGTTAGAACTTTTAGACCTATTCCCATAAGCTCTCCTTGGATCAAGTGCATCTGAGTGATTAGAGTGAGATTGGAGTGGATTCTTTGGGGGTTCAGTTTGAGCACTTAGGATTGACATCCGACCATCATCTTCAAGCTTGGTACTCTTGGAAGTTCTCCTAGCTAGTTAGGCATCACCCACGAGTATCCAGGGTGTGTGGACAACCCAAGAGGTTTGTGAACACGTTACTCTATCTCAACAAGGAAAAGGAACACCTTTGAGTGGATACCAAGCTCGATCTTTGTGGTCATTTGGTGAGGCTTAAGATTAATCGAGAACTGGCTACTTGGAGTCCCTCAACATAGATGTAGGATATTTGCAATGCCAAATTTGGTGAAAAATTGGTGTCTCCTTATTCATCTATTGCTATGTTTGTGATTTTCCTCAGGCCGGAAGTTCCGGAGTCCAAACTGTTATTGCTTGTTGTTCTTGCATTCTCTACGTGTTTGGATTGCTTGTTCCATGAAGATTGTCCCTATCACCCTCTTTATTGGAAGAAACTAGGGGATCGAAAGTTTTGAACCTAAGGACTGGAAACTCCATTCAGCTCTCTTGTCCAGATCGAGAAGACCAACCGGAAGTTTCGATGTTTCTGGCATGATCCTCTGGATAGATTTACACCGCTGCTAAGTAGTAATTTTCAAAAATGCCTATTCAAAACCACCCCACCATTATCAATGTTCTTTCATATATAAACTTTTGCATCTAGCCAACTTGGAACTTACCAAGAAAGATTAAAACTCAAAATTCTAAATGTGACATATCACCTAGATTTGTGAATTTTTAAATAAGTAACAATATTTTTTATCGAAAATTGTAAAAAAAAAATCAGTCCTAAGGTATTGTTCCTTATAACACACTGATAGGTCATATCGTCTGTTGAGAGACCAATAGGTACTCATTCCATAGGATTCAAAGGAATTAGTAGGCTTCAATCCCTTGTTTCAAGGGTTAATTTGATCTGTACCATTGCAACTATGCCTATTCTGTTGACGAAAAAAATCGAACACACCGGCCTGGGAGATCTGCTTAGCTCCAGTGCAGGTCCAAATACGATGAGATGCGGGCGTGCCAGTCAGTTTGATCATGCAACTGACAAGATATGTAAATAGTAGATCAAAACAGCCGATCGGCTGACAAGCCGATGTAGTAGTTCCAGCCGATAGTCGATAATAGCCGATGTCGATACCAGCCGATAGCGATAGGGTTTAAGCAATCGGCTATATGTCCAATGTATATAATGATATAAAGGCAATCGGCTACTGATAATAAAATATAACAAATCGGCTGGAGGTCCGATGTCATGAAATCCACAAGATTAGATTAAACAGTGAAACCTTTGTTGTCATCGGCGAAATCCAACTTATATGTATATGCAATCCTTATGAGCCGATGCAACGTCCAGATAATTCACCGGCTGAAACCCCGATGAAACCCTTATTGGCAGTCAGAAAGCAGGTTAGAGATTATAGTTCTAAGCACGATTTAGTAGATCAAACTTAACTGATGCAGCACTAAGTATGAAAAGAAACACAATATCTAGACAATCAAGCCGTTGACTGATTTTCAGGGTGGTAGATGCCTAGGCCAATCTAATCTAGCAACGCAATTTAGCCGATACCGGCAGAAACCCTAAAGCGAGAAGCAGCCGATAGAGCTAAATTGATATGCTAAGACTAGATTAATAGAGACATATGATAAATAGCTAGGCAAATATATCATCCAAACCAGAGCAATCCAAGAGGTCGAATGTACTGATGCAGCCTTGAACGACGCCGATGTAGACGATACAATTGCCTGGGCCGACGGAACATTGGACTTACCCCTTCGCCGGAGATCGAAGACGATGCAGCCGCACGTCGGGTGCCAAGTCCCACTGGGCGATAAAATAAAGTAGAAAAGGTAAAAGGTGGCGATGCGCCGAATTGTATTGATCGTGAAGATAGATTACATAGACCCCGGGTGCACATATTTATACCCATGGGTTGATACAAGTCCTTGTCGGACAAGAAAGAAACTAACCTAAAGATAAAAGGAAAAGATAAAGTCCTTATCGGACACTAAACACACTTTTCTAAAGATAAAAGGAAACTAACAAACTATGCCTAATTAATAGATAACTGTCATGTCGCATCCTTCTTGAACTCGAACTCTTCTAGATAAGCTTCCTTTGATTGATCCGACTCCACCAAGAACACGACATCGTGGCGACTTGACTCCCATCGGCTGATTCTAGAACTTTGAAGCCGATACTGACTCTAAACCAATGGTAACTTTGGGCTTACCAAATTTCACTGTTAACATATTCAGATAAATGTCATTACAATTCGTCTATTCATAATCATGCTACTCAAATTTTACAAAATTAGAACCACGTCATCGCCGTTACGTTTTCTATCTTCTTCCCCATATGCACATGGACCCCACCCGTCAAATTCATCTTATCCCTCCATCCTCCCCTCCTCTTTTTTCCCGTCTCTCTCCACTACTTCTCAGCCTCCTCCCCACCAATCCATCTCGACCCCTTCACACATTGTCGTCGCCTACAGCCGTCCGGAGCTGGATCTTGTTGCTGCCGGCTCCATGATGAGACCGGTCATCCCCAAACCCGAGTTGTTGCCACTAGAGCCTTCTTCTCGTGAAATAACTACTTGATTCAAGCAGCTGCGATGGAGCTCGAGTAACCAGCGCTCTAGCTCAGCCGTCGTCCTCTAGCCAACGATGCAACAAGTAGCCTTCGCCGCTACCCCTCCCCATGGTGCTTTGCCCGTTCCTGCCTTCCTGATGCTGGTTCTCCCCGCTGACCATGCGGAGGCTGGCCGGCGAGCTCTAGGAAGGCCGGTCCAACGTGGCGGGGCCAGTAGAGGCACATAGTCGGCATGGAGGCAGTGGCGTTGGCAGACTCCAAGCGCTAGAGCTAACGACAATGTTGGTGTTGGATGCTGGTGTCGCCACCACTGACAAAGTTGGCAGCCTTCTCTCTCGCTTGATCAGTGCGGAGTTCGAGTACGATGTCGGTGGCTTGTTGCTGCGGGCGGCGAGGAGTGGGTCGGGATGGATTGGTGGGGAGGAGGCGGGAAAGTGTTGGAGAGAGATGGGAAAAAAAGAAAAAAAAATAGAAGAGAGGAGGAAAGAGGAAGAAAATGAATCTAAGGGGCGGGCCCTACGCACGGATAGGGAAGATAGAAAACGAGACAACAATGGCATGGTTCCAATTTTGTAAAAATTTGAATGACATGGCTATAAATAGACTAATTATCTGAATAGGCACATTTGTAATGTCACGGATCAAATTAACCCTTGTTTCAAACTGCTCCATATGATTAGTGTGTGGCCGCATGCACCCTACCTAGTCCCTCGCGCAAAACATCACTAATAGTGCTAATGATGAAGCTTAGCATTAGCTTTTTATTAAAAAAACACAAATAATTTAGTTAAAAACAGTTTGAAGTTCTAATTTGTAGTTGAAAATTTTTAAACTCTGAGTTAAAAGTTTTCAGAATTTTAATTGAAAGTTTTTAAAATTTGAGTTGAAAGTTTCAAAATTTGAGTTAAAAGTTTTCAAGTTAATTTTGTTTCCATTTTTAAGTTTAAAGTTTTAAATATTACAGTTGAAGTTTGCCCTTGTTAAAAAAAAAAAGTTGAATTGACAGTGTCTTTTTTTTAAAATCACTTTCTAAGAAAAAAAATCACTTTCTATGAAAAAAAATCAAGTACGCCGTAGCCTTGCGTTTCATCCCCGTACAGCTCCACGATCGCGCGATTGTTTTAGCGCGTATGCCCGAATAAGGAATTCGGAAATTTCGCTACAGCTCATCTTCCATTACAGCGAAGTGTCAGCGGGCAGGAAGCAACAAATTTCAAATTCAATAGTCATCAATCAAAAACTTACAAGAAAATTAAATCTAATCTGAATCTGGTACCGTCATACCGACGGGTGTCAAAATTTCCCCCTTTTTCCCCTCAAAAAATCTCCCTTTTTGGCAAGAATGGAACCTAGTGTTTCTCTTCGACAGATAGGAGATGAAACGAGCAAAAACAACTACTACGGCCGAATCCTCACCAAGCACTGTACACGTCCAAAACTTTCCCTCCCAACTGCCAAGGGCCATCGGTTCAGCTATACAAAGCTTCCTTGCCCTATCTCTCTCTGTCCCTTCGTCTCCTTACTTGCTCTTCTTCTGCTTCCGGTTTTTTGTTTGCGTTCTCTTAGCAGCGAGCGCGCTGGCGGCGCTCTTCCCTTCGAGCTTCTTGGTCACCTTCATGACACTGCTCATGCCCTTGCGTGCCGCCGCTTTGCGGTCCGACCTGCGGTTCAGAAGCTTCCTGTCTAATGGCCAGTAGGCATACGGATCCATCTTGTCTTTCTTCTTGAGATCGCCACTGGCCTTCTTGCTGGTGTAGTCATGGCCAGTGTAGGCCCAGCCGGAGCTGGTCGTCTTCCTCCTCTTGACGGACTGGCTTCGGACCATGCTCCTGTCGTCGGCCTCGTCGTCTCGGGAGATAGGCTGCTTCTTTTTGCGCCTCTCCCGCTCTTCCCGCACAATGATACGCCCTTCAGGGTCCATCTCCACCTCATCATCATCTTCATCAGGCATAGCCCTCTTTTTCGTCGATTTGAGAGCCAACCGCACTGTTTTCTGGTCAAGTAAATCTAGGGGCTCGCCAGTTGACTGATCAATGAACTTCTCTAGCAAGCTCTTATCTGCTTGGCGCTTCCTGGTCGACCTGGAAAAATAACAGTTTGTGAGAAACACTTAAAATCCTCACAAACCAAGTGTGGCCCTATTGTGGCACATACCGTGTTGAAGCTTTTGTTCCAGTACGAGAAGCAACTGTATGTTGGGCAGAAAAGGGACCATTGGAGTCATCCTCATCACTTCCAAAATCAGAAAACATCTGTGTGTGATTCCATCTACTTTGTCTGCAGGGAGCATGACCAGGACAGTTGAACAGAAGTTAAATTTGTATAAATAGATGTGACATTCACGCCATCAGAACTATCAACAAATTCTCAGAACAAAAAAAAAACAATAAATGCACCACAATACCTTGTAGCTCGTGAGGTCATCGACATGTTATCCCCATCCTCAGAAGATTTAGATTTCCGCATTTTTCGCTCATTAATCTGTTTAACATTGCATGGAATTGTTGAGCATATTGACCAGATACAATCATACAACATTAACTGTCTATTCTTCAAGAGAAGAGCAAAGAAAAAATACTGTAAGTTACCTTCCTAATGTTGGTCAGCAATTTTATATGTTCTTCAGGCATCACAGCCTTCACAGCATCCAAACCACATTTTTTCACTAGAATTTCCATCAGTGACTTTATCTGGCAATAAGATAAGAGATGAATAGCAAGCTCCAAGAAAACAGCAGCAGTTTACATGTAATGTGATATATCATGCATATTTCACTCTTTTAGTTTCTCCCATGTCATATATTGTCTATATGAGTTGATATGAATATATCTAGTTATTAGAATAGTAAAAGTTCCACAGGACAAAAACAACCATATCATTGTTTGTGAGCGTTTATATAAATACCACCAGAAATGCCATTGCTTTATAGTATCAAAAGCAAATAGCCAGTACCTTCGCTTTGAAGGAATTCTTTGTATCAGTTTGCCAGCTCAGCAAACCCTCGACAACTCCTTTCAAATGCTCGTGCAATACATCGGCTTTAGATTTAGCCACCAAAGCTTTGATAAAACCTAAGTTGGCCTGAATAGGAAATATAGGGCTACTGTAAGGAGGTGAAGAGAATGATAGATAAGCTAATAAACCAGAAATGTGTTGTGTGCTGTACTTTGACAATCTCTCGGTTGTTCCTCTGCATGAGAAGAAAAGTTGATGGGAGGAGCTTGTATGCTACTCCAATAAGCTCAGAGAACTCATAAGTTAACCGAGCTAACCCAGTTACAGAAGCACTAATCGCATATGGAGTTTGACCAGCAAGACCACCAGCAACCTAAACATAAAAGTAGCACTGATAAATCAAATGTAATGCAGTTCGAGGTTGGTATGGCTCAGAGCCTCATATTTCATTAGTTTGGTCCTGTCAAGACATTTAAAAACAGTAATGACATAAAGTACCATGCCAAAGAACTGGTGCAAATTCTCCTTCCTCCCGTCATTTTCTGCATCTTCACAAGCACGTCCAATTTCAATAAGTAGATCATAAGCTCTGTTTCTTGTCTTCTTGTTAGCCTGTGAAGACACATCAAGTCATGATTGTTCATCTCGCAGCTGGCATTTATGTACCATACACATACTTTCAGAATCTGTCTAATCTAGCTATCCAAAAAAAATCACACAACTTAAACCAGAACTATGCCGTAGAACTGACGGTCTGAAACTTGCATGATATTGTCATTATTGTGGCACACAACAATAATTCAATACATCCAAGTCTATAATTCAGAACATAAAAAGTTACTTGAGTAGATATACTTCTGCTTCCAGAAAATGTAAGGACAGCTGCACATTACCACTTACCACAGGAAATAATCAAAATGCTACAGTAACGTTTCAAAGGGAATAACACACAAGAGTCAAATTAGGAGTGTGCTGTCGGCAGTATACATTTTAGCTTCCTATCTACATTAAAGGATCAGAAAAATATACAATCAATTACCTCCTTTAAGGCAAGAAGTATTTCAGTCAGGAATGAACCAATAATTTCCCTCTTTCCAAGCTTAGATGAATCCTGCAGATGTAGAGAACAGAGGGTTCCTGTTACAATCCGAGGGACAGTATCCACATCTGCCTAGCAAGTATAACATGTTTTTTCACTACCAACCTTCAAAATGTAAACAATAAGGTGATGCAGGCATTCAAGCCTGTAGCGCTTTGATGGAAATTGGCATGGCAAAGAAGAAATCATCAAGCCCAACAAGGTATCCAAATTCCGCTCAATAAACTCAGTATCCTGAAATGATAAACATTCATAAAGATTTCAAGTTATCTCTCTGTGATCTGCCATGATGATTCACATAAAGTGCAAACTGAAAACGGAGACATACCTTGAGCAGCATTGAAAGGACCTTGTATGCTCTCTTTTGAATCAATGAGTCAGTATCCTACGAGCGTGAGAAAAAATATCAGGTACAACACAACTTACAATTTTTTTTAAAAAAAAAGAACAGCTTGGATACTTGCAATATATCATATATGTACCTTAATTGCAGGTTTTACATAACTGAATAGCACATTGATCGATTTTGCAGCTAAACCAGGCATTAATGAAGCTGCAAAGTCCAACAGGAGAGCCCTACGATCCATCAAGGATTGAAATTAACAATCGGCTTCAACTGGAATCTAGACATGAATAAGAAGTAACAAGAATATAAATTTTGCGCAGACCTTGCCATGTTATTTGTGTTGGAATTAGCTTCGATTTGCATTGAACTATCATTCTTTTGTTCTGCATTAACAGCTTTTGTGGCATCCAACAACTTCCTTATTGCATCAAGAAAGAACCTGCCAACAGTGTCTTTCTCTGATATGGAAGCTATATCACTTATTGCAGGCTGTTCAATAAAGAAGGAACAAGTCACATTTATGCTTGTACATGATATAAAAACAATCAACAAAACAATCCAATTATTAATCCTCAACAACAATTAACACCCAAAGGTTCAAAGTTCCCCACTGTGATCTATTCGGATGAAGTCATTAGATTATTATCAAACATTTCAAATTTTGACCTGTCGGCTGATCATAGAAGAAATCAACTTCCAGAGCCAAATCAAACAATTCCCGAAAGTACAGATCCTTAGAGCCCAGCAAGCAGATGGCACAATATAGAAGGCATCAACAATATACCTGTAGAAGTCCAATAGCATCATTTGAAGAAGCTAAGAATATAGAACATAGAACTTCCAAAAACTTTGAAGAGAAAGCCCGTATTGCTTTTAAGTTTTCCTCTGCAAACTCTTTCGTATAGCGTTCTTTTGCTCTTCTTTCAGATTTGCTTATTTCATCCTCAGCAAGTATGGCCTCTTCAACAGGAACTGACAATGCTTCCTTGTTTTGTTTAATCAAAACCTAAAATATACAAGCCAAAAAAAAAGAAAAATAAGCTCAAAAGCATAACTTAAACAGAAGTACTTGCAATATAGAACTAACCAGATGCAGTGTGAAATACCTGAATACTAGAACAAATGATACCACGCAAGTCAAGCTGGTTTTTAAGCGTGTCGCACAAAACATTCTGCAGAGCTCTAAAGTGGATTGAGGTATCACGTGCATAATTGCAGCACGATGGTAACAAAGACCATAGTGAATACACATAACCTTCTGCTCTCTTGGCGGAGAAAAGCTTATCTTCCTTTAAAAGCTGTTCAATTGAAGATGTTGGAAACAGTCAGTGCAGTTTAAAATGAAAGTGCTTAATCTGTTTTTGCTTTAAAACTATTAGGATTTTCAAAAAAAATGGACGATACCTTTGGAATGTTCTTCTCTACAGCTCTAATAATGTCCCGAATATCTGTTAAGAAAAATTGTAAACTGGCACCAACAATGTGCTTTTCTAAAATGGGGAAGATCCATTCATTTTCATCAGATATTGAATGAATCTGCAGGATTTTAAGAACGTTCTTTGGTCCCATAGCAGCAACAGCTGAACCAAGACATGAATCAAGCTGCAAATAAATGCATATGAAGGTAAGCCAGGAGATAACCAAACATACATGGAGTAAACAAAGTTAGTTGCATGAAAGGTATAAATTTGTTTATATTATGCTGAAGGACAATGGTGCTTTTTCTATGGGAAAAGTTACCTGCTTCCGGAAAGAGAAGTCATCGTCTGACAAGTTTTGCATGTCTGCCAAGTTCTTAAGTGCTTCAGGCAAAAGGTCAGCTGACGATTCTCCTGTAGTTTTGCATTAGAGATCAGTACAGGAACAATTATCACAAATAATCAAGCAACTAATTACCAATAGCATAATTCAATTTAACAAAAACACCTTTGGATAAAGGTTGTTAATGGCTCAAGAAAGAGAGTCCAACACAAAAGATGTGAACAAGAAGCTACATTGAATCTTAATGCTCTGACCAGAGGAGCCAGATTACTAAAATAGAGACTCTCATATTATTCCTAAGCTATTGAATGATGAGGATATGCTAACGTAGTGGTATACTTACCCAATTTGTCAAATGCCATTGAAATCACATGAAATGATTTGTCCCAGACATCACCGTACCGGACATTTAGCAAGCCCTCTAGGATAGCACATATCTTCTCTATGGTTGTGGGATCAGATCTTATCCCTGGATGTCTAGACTTAATCTGGGTAATTCCCTGTAAGATCATGCTTTCATCGATGCAGTCTTCTATTAAACTTTTGAAAGCCTCCACAGCAGAAAATCTTGCTTCTTCAAATTCACTTGCCAATATATCTGGCGAACAATTTACAACAAGACTTTTACACAAAAGACATAATATGACTTACTAGGTATAATTGATCAACTTAAAGGTGCCAAGTTTTGTGAGAAGAACCAACCTCCAAGTGAAGTAAATACTAGTGGAAGCTTTACAACACATATGTTCTTATTCTGATTATAAATTTTTCTAGTAGCAACATTTAGAAGCCTTGCAATTGAAGCCATTTCATCCCCTGATTTTCTTTCAACAGAGACAGATAGCCCCAAAGAGCATACTATATCCAGTAGCACGTCAGATTTAAGCTGTACAGTTGGACTGTCGCCAACAGCATGCAGAATCTCCAATATGCTCCGTGTCAAGATTGGTTGGTGCAGATCCAACAGAGCTTTAAAATATTTTATGATGGTATTGGAAGGTTTTGATGACATAAGAGGGAGGCAGCATTTTAAAGCATTCAGAATATACAAGACTTCCTTAGCCCCCTTAGGTCCGCCTTCTGCTACATCTGTGTTTACAGCATTGGATCCACCAGCAAGCAGTAGAAAACGCTCAAAACATCTCGTTATTCCTTCACTCGCAGGGACCAAAACAGCTTGCCTCTGGAAACTGAGCAGAATATCTCGCAAGCATGAATGAGACTGCTTCCTCACCTACAGCCCCATCAAAGCAAACTATGAATGATTTTTCAGCATGATACAGAGCAATTGAATTTTGATACGAGTAAAGCTAACAACATGAACAAAATCTGCTGAGCCAAGAATACAATGTGTGCAGTATCCTTCTTCGATTATTACTCTCTCCAGTCAAATTTATTTGACATCGGGAGAAATGAGTTTAGTTATATTATTTTACTATGAGGGAGTATGACTCTAAAATTATGAAGTCTAGAATTTCCCATTAAACTAAACGGTATTCTGCATCCTAAATCAGATTAACTGAAACAGCATTGGATGCCCAGTAAACCTTATCAGTATATCACAACAAGTTACACAGCAGTGCATATTTACCCGCATAAGTAATAATTTTGACAGCAACATAGTTGAGAGAATTGGTATTTTGCTAGTACCTTAGGCCGGGGATCAACTGCTAGACGTAGCACCACCCCATAGAGCGGCTCCACTGCCTCCCAGTTCGCCTTCTCCCCAGCCGAGATCAAGTGCGCGAGGCACCTTACCCCAGCCCTCACACCGGAGTCAGGCGTCGAAGGGAACTCGAGCACCCGCACCACGTCGTCCGCGACCTCACGCCCCCGGGCGCGCGCCACGGCTGGAGGCAGCGCGGGCACCGCGGCCGAGAGGAACGCGAGGAGCGCGCCGGAGACGTGCCGGTCCGCGGCCCCGGCCCCCGCGCGGGCCAGGGGCGCGAGCGCCGCGGCCGCCGCGGCGAAGTACGCGACGGGGGTGGCGGCGACGCCCTGGTCCCTCACGGCCTGCGCCATGGCGGCGGCGGTGGCGCAGAGGTGCTGGTCGTCCTCCCGCGGCGACCCGCCGAGCCGCGCCAGGACGGCCGCGGCCAGGTCGGGCTCCCCGTCCATGAGGGAGAGCTCGTCGTCTCCGGTCGCCGAGCGCGGCGTCTGGGGGAGCTCGCCCGTGTCGACGTCGGCCATGGCGGGCGGCGGGAGGTGGCCGGTGGCGGGGAGGCGGGGAGGCGAATGCGTTAGGGTTTTTGGCGAGGCGTGGGAGTCGCACACGGGTTGAGTGGTTTTGCACTTTTTGCAATGTGTTGGTGGGCCCGACCCACTAACGGGCCATTTCTGTATCATTAATGGGCTGTGTATTCCTTGTTCAAAATGTCTTGGATGGGCCTAGATACGGATCTGTATAACGTAATGGGCCTTACGAGGCCTAGATTGGGCTCTACAATCGCTTACACCCTCTGTAGGAATAAGTTCATCTGAGAGAGGAGGTAGAAGAGGAGGGGTGATAATGATACGTGGGGCTCACGTGGGCCCATCATTTTTAAATTATTTTTTTGTGTAACTGACATGTGGGGTCACAAATTTTATTATTTTCCAAATCAAATTGTCGCGTAAGCGCCACGTAACTGCCACGTCATATGAAAACTGAGTCAAATTAGCCACGTAAGCGCCACGTCAGCGAAAACCGTCGTACAAACCACCATGAAATTTATATTGCACCAGTTTTGACAGTTAAGGGACCCGTTGTATCTGGGTTTTTCGGTTGAAGGACGAAAATCAGATTCGTTGATAGGTTAAGGGACCTCAGATGAACTTATTCCGTCCTAAAATAAGTTCATTTGTGGGTTTCTGGGTCCAACGTTTGACCGTCCGTCTTAATTAAATGCTTTTTATGATTAGTAATTTTTGTTGTTATTAAATGATAAAACATGAATAGTACCTTATGTGTGACTTTTTTTAAAGTTTTTTATATTTTTTAAATAATACGGAGGGTCAAACGTTGTACACAGAAACCCACAAATAAACTTTTTTTGGGACGGAGGTTATAGCCTTGTAAGTTGAAATGAATTAACACTTCGAATGGACGTGCTAAAATAGTTCCATGTCTATTGTCTTATTCCCTGTATCTCAAAAAAGAAATGCAGAGCAGAAGATTGGTGTTTGTTCCACAAAAAATTGAAAAAGGATTGCATGTCTTCCCAAACAAGAGTCTTCGGTGAGGAAGATGGGACTCATTGGCTCTGGTGGTAACAACTTTCAACTTTGGTAGCCTGGAGTGTCCAATATAAAGTGGTGTGTTTAGTACAAACAAGAAAAATAAACAAATAAATAAAAAGAAGTTTCTAAGAAGGGTGAAAAAAAAAAGGTTACATGCTTAGAACAAATCAAAAAATGCTTCTAGAATGTAGTTTTTTTAAAAGCTTCAGCTTCTTATTTTGTTTTTTTCCCTTCTATTTGCATAAGCCAGTCTGGCTGATTGCGTCGTGTAACTATAACTATTTTCTTCTAATATATTGACGTGCAATCCTTTTACGCGTTCGTGAAAAAAAATACTTCTAGAATGAGAAGGTTCTAAGAAAAACTGAAAGAGAAAGTCGAAAGCTCGTTTTAAATTGAGATCATTTAAGGGTCAAAGTGATTTTAAAGACTTCTTAAGATACGAATAGAATCAATGGATGAGGACCGAGAGGAAGAAAAATGACTAGAAATTACAACAGTGAGTCTTAAACTAGCTACAGCGCATGTCTTAAGACTTAAGTTATGCTTATCCGGTCAAAGAGACTGATAGTACGAGGTAGGTCAAGGAAAATGAAATGCTGAGGTCTACCATCCCAAACCAGAATGTCCTAACCAACTTGAAACCCTAATGGTAATATATTCACACACTGTTACAGAAAAAAAATGCCATCTTCTCCCAAGTAAAAGCAAAATGGTCCTCCCAACGAAGCACAAAGAAACAGTTATTACACTGAAGAACCTCATGGTTGTTGGGGACAGTAGCCACACAACATTCCTCTTCCTGCCAAACATTCTCTCTCCAAGCTTCTTTCCAACAGGAGTAGGCTATCTGCAGCTCTGCATCTGCACCAAAACGCAAATTAAAGCTGCTGCATCAGCAATCTCAGCATGGCAGACAGGAGTAAACCACCCATGGAGCTAGGTACGCACGCATGCATTGACCCTCTGCCTAAACCAATCCAATCAAAATTCTATCAAATTCGCAACTGGGCACACACGGATTATCGATTTACTTATCAGCATCAGCGCCCATGTCCACCCGACAACAGCGAGCGCGCGTGCATTTGTTTAGCCACAAAAACACATCACTCTCGCTGATGCCACCGGCTCTCAACTCTGTCCGCGACTGCACTGTCTGCATCTGACGACACCCCGCGTTGCCGATTAGATGCCAATCCCCAACCACATACACGCCAAATTGTCGCGTAAATTGCATATTTATATAGTTCTATACGCCCTAAATTGGCATACAAAAATGGTATTTACAAATTAAAAAGTTCTGCGTTTGAGCACTGACATCACATCAGTTGCCGCGCGTGCATTTGTTTAGTGGTGATATGATAGCCAGGCACTGGGCTCTCAACTTTTTGTCCGCAACTCGTCGTCGTCTCTCCTTCTGAGATTGTATAGCCTACTTGATCAGCTGTTCAAATAGTTAATTTAGTTTCTACTTGATCAGCAGTGTTCAAATGGTTAATTATCACCATAAAGATAAGAACTACACATAAGTGAGGAAAGACTAGTTTAGTCGGCCAAGATTAGGTTAAAACATGTGGCTAACCATTAACAAAACCCCCAGTTGCTGCAGGCTTTCATCTCGATCGCTTGATCAGAGTCATACAATCGTTTACGGTCGCCGTCCAAGGGCCGGGCCGACGGGCGGTTAAACTAGCCTTGACGCTGCCATCATCTCCAGGTAATCAAAGCGGCTTTTTGTCAAAAGTTAAACTCGAATGATCCCTCTAATTAAATTCACCTCTGACAGCGACTAACACAAGTCACACAGACAGAGATTTCATCTCGGATTAATTATTAACTGATGAACTGAACTCTGGGTTTTTAGGTTGATTAACTGATGAACTCGGATTAATTGGATTGGATGGATGGATGGGGATCCGAGGTTTGGTGGTCTGCCTTTGATCGATGAAAAAGAAGAAAACTTTAATTTCGAGAGGCAGGTTTGGGCTCCCTTTCACAGAGAAAGTTAGGTCTTTTTAGACAACCATGTCTTCCTACCACATGTACTATGCTTTTGCCCGCCTATATATACGCCACATCGCTTGCAAGTTGCAGCCATCACCATGCAATTCCTCTACCTCTCCCAGCTCTCCTCTCCTCCTCCAATGGCGAGAGAGAGGCTAGGGCCTAGCTAGCTCTAGCCCTAGGAGAAGAACTGAAGAAGGAGGGGTGAGCAAACCGTGCTGGAGAAGCAGGGCACGTGCTCGACGGCGGGGCTGGCTGGCCGGCCGGCTTGCAGCATGTGCGCTCCTTCTCCAGCATGGCTTCTCGCCCCGTCGATCGCCGCGGCGGCGCCGCCATTAGAGTGGGGGCTTGAGCTCGTGATCGATCGAGCTAAGTAGCACGTCCATGGATGGATGGATGGATCGGCCATCGAAATTCGCCGATGCATTGTAAGTAGAAGTGTTCTAAGTGTTGTTTATGTTTTCTTGATTGGATCTTATGAATGCAGCTGATACCTAAGCTAGCTAGCTGGTCTAGCTGACGAGTTAGTCAGAAACGAGGTCCTACAAGGTGATCGAATTCTTGACCTTTGAGCCAATTTGTCGCTAGAAAGTCATGGAAACTCGTGGAAATTTGCCTGAAAACTTTTGAGGTAAACAGGATACTGACGAGTTAATTTGGTCATTAATATGGTGTGTTAATTAGCTAGCTGAGCCCATAGGAAGGTTCAGAGACACATCTGAAATGGATCACCTGATTTTGACCAAATGGTATATATATGGACTTTTTAATTTCTCCTGTCAAAGTTAATTCCTTTCTCCACCAATGGATAGATCGAGTTAGTTCCATCGAAAGTTATACTTTTCCTCAAAGTTTGTACAGTAGCATCTATTAATAGCATGTAGTTATATGTAAGCAAAGTATGCTTATGGACAGACAAGGTGGGTATCACTGTGAGCAAAGCAAGACCTAGAACTTAGATGCATGTTCCTGAACAAGAAAAAAGGAACTTGCAGAGAGCTAGCTACTGATTTTCATACTGTCCTCGTTAAGCATGACAAAGTGACAAAGACTTTCAGAGAGAGAAAGCAAAGATGCAGGTGAGGGAAGCCAACAGTGTTTGATGTTGGTTGGTCCTACACGCATGGAAAGCTCAGGTATGTTCTTCTCAGTGCTAATATGCTGTTCCAGTAAGAGGTAGCTAACTGTCTTAGTTAAATCACACAATAGTGTTCTTGAGAATATTGGTCATGGATGATAGCATGGTATTAACTAATATTCCGTTCCAGTGAGTATATAGACGGTTCCTATACGGCAGAAACCATGAGATGCTTCTACACATGTACAAGCAGATTTACCTCCAACAAAACACACATGTACGATCAGAAGGCAACGAATGATAAGAAGTATGTTTAATTTACTACTTCATATAGTGTCTTATTAGATGCACTATATTTGGTGATAAACTGATAATCCTAGCCGTCTCTCCCAGCGGAAGTGCACAAATGAGTACTGTTCCTAGCATGCATGTTTGTTACAATGTTTTGATCTGAATGTCAATTTGTAGAGAAAAGAGCTACATATACAAATTATAAGTAGAGAGCATACATCACTAGGGGAAAGCATGTTCAGCTTTTTACTCATGTTTGGAATGACCTTCATCACATTTAATTAACCAAAGCTAAAAATCACAAATATATATTCTGAAATTTCGCTAACAAAGTGAATGTTCTGAAACATGCACGAGTGCTAATTTCCAACTAACCAGTTCACGACATATATATTGTGGATGGACAGTTCTCATTTTCATGGTACAGTATGCAAACAGGTAGTTGCCAAAACATAGACTGTTAAGATAAGAACATCAGAAGAAAACATAAACACGCCATCATACGTACAGAAGTATCTCCAAATCTGCTCTTCTTGCATCCTGATTGGTCTATGGAATATCCTTACTGTATCAAGGAATAGTATTCAGATAACAACATTTCACCTCTTTGAAATTTGAATCAAGATGATGCAAGGGTTTCTGATTTCTGAATATTTCAGGCAGCGACCTAATTTCCACACTGGTCTATATTTACAGTAGTAATAACTGTCTATTCCCAGTTCTTCAGATCAGCTCCTGCCACAGTTGAATGATCGAAACGAGAAGAACGACCGATGAGCTGTGACCAAAAAAAAACAGACAACATTAGTACAGAGGCAGAAAGAAACAAGAATGATCTGCAAAACACACAACAAAATCAAAACATTTTTTTTCACCTTTTGGTGATTTCTCCTGTGGGTCTATCTCATGCAGTTCAGACTTTGCAGGAGATGCAACCACAAGGCTTTGCAAAGAGCAACCTGCAGAGTTAAAACATGCAAAATGCGTTTGAAAATTCACATTAACAAGCATCAGAAATCTACCACAACATATCATGTACTAGTAATTACTAATTGTCATGTACTCTATGGAAGAACATGAAATTTGATTACCCTGTGGAGAGGCGGCAATGGCATAGCCATGGTCCATGTCGTCGGAGGCAGCGTCCGAGGAGGCCATCCTTGGCTTGATCGTCTCACCGGACGGCCACCCTCCGCTGCCGCTGTCGTCGTCGGCCACCGAGGGCACCGACGGCGAGGTGCAGTCGATGACGGTGACATCCTTGCCTCGTCTGTTCTTCTTCCCGAAGCTCAAGAAGCTCTTGAATCCTCGCGACCGCGCCGCGCCGGAGACCCTGGCCGGCGGGGTGGACATCGTCGTCGTCGTCATCGCCATCAGGGCGAGCTTGTCGGCGCTCTGCTGCCGCTTCTTGCGCAGCAGCGCGGCGTCCTCCTCGAGCAGCCTCTCGATGGACGGAGCTCGCGAGATGTAGGAAGCTGGCGCGCTGCTGGGAGGGGAGCCGCGCCCTGACCTGATGCCGGAGAAGGAGGAGGAGGAGGAGGAGGAGGACTCGTCGGAGCTCTCCCTCGCCGGTGCCTCTTCCGCGACGATCGTCGTCGCGCTCTCTGCCGCGACGGCGTCCGACGGTGGAGCCGTGGTCTCCTCGCCGCGCGCGGCGGCGTCGCTGTTATTCTTCTCCACCTCCAGCTCTGCAGGTTTGGCATCTGAGACAGCCAAAGCTTCAGAACGCCTCGCCATGGCATCCTCCTCCCCCTCGACGTCGTCCTTCTTGACGTAGACATAGCTCGGCTCGGTGTCCGAGTCACTGGTGATCTCTCCATTCGCCAGCTTCTGGGGAGACACCGTGACCTCCTCGGCGTCGTGCTCGCCGACACGCTTCGCCTCGGCTTCACGGTCGTATGATCCACCGTCCACTGCCTCGCCGCAGTCTGAATCCGGCGAGGCGGCGCGGGCATTCGCTGCCGCCGCGCCAGCGAACGGTGACGGGGGAGAAGCATTCCCGGTTTCGCCATGGACAGTAGCCTGCTCGGTCGAACAGCTCTGCGCCGGTGCAACCGCGGCACAGGTGTTCGACAGAACCGCCTCCTTGAGATTCTCCAACCCGCCGGAACTCGACCGCCGGGGCAGGGAGCGCGGCGGCTTCGGCTTCGTCGTCCCACCCTTGGCAGATGATGAGCCATGCTCTTTCGCCGTCGAGCTCCTGTGCCCTGAGAACACCCTGGGTTTCGGCGCGGTCGTCGTCGCTCCGCCGCCGGTGACCCGCGCTACTCGATGGCTGCCGGCGCCCGCCGTGGTGGGTCGCTCTGACGTCGGCGGCGGCGGCGGCTCCTGCGACAGCGCTCGCCGCGCCCCGGCGTCGGGGAGGCTGCTCTTCGTGGCGGTGGACGAGAAGCTCCTGGTGCGTGCGTGCTTCTTGCCGGAGATCCTACTCGCCGGAGCAGCCACGTCGGATCTTCTCCTCTTCTCGCCGTCTTTCCCAGCTTTCTGTAGTACACGCCACCACACCCGATTAAACAACAACCGAATGTATTATTTAAATGTTTTTTTAATATACGACGCTGTAACTTTTTCATAACCGTATTACAGTTTATCTTATTCATTTTTTTAAATATAAAAAATTTAAATCGTATTTTAAAAAACATTTGACAATAAATAAATAATAGTTACATAAATTGTTTTGAATATGATGAATGATCAAACAGATTTTAAAAAGTTAAAGACATCATATATTAAAAAACATAAGTATCAAATATATAAAAAAATTACGATTACACGAAAAACACATACACACATAATTTATTTTTTACAATTATACAGAAAACTCATATGCACACAGAGCACCACCACGTAGGGAATGTTTCACGTGGCAACGTGTAAGCTAGGGCAGATACAATTGACAGCGAAACCTAATAGTTGACCGATGCGACAGCAATATATATATTTTATAAACCCAATAGTCCAACAAGTAACTCTCATTTTGGACGGTGTAAAAACAATCTCTTTCGACAAGTTCGACATGAATATATATATTTTTTTATAAAAAAAAAGAGAAACAAGTCCATGCTCACGCAGTCAAGCACGGTTCCAATTTTTTTTCTCTTTTACGGACGATGAGTCGAGCAGTTGACGAAGCATGCGTTTGCACGGGAGCGCACGCATTCACAGGGAAGGACTCGCAGACTTGAGATGAGAGATATCATCAGGAATACACGTACGATTTATTGACACACGGAGTGTTGATGCTGCCTTGCTTGCTGCCTGCGCATGCAGTTTCTTCCCGGGACCGGGAGTTAACTCCTTGGCAGAGATATGTGCTGCAGCAGAAAGTGCTGAACAAGGATTTGGTCGTGAACCCACCATTTATCGTTTCACGTGAACCCTTGTGCCGTACTAAAAATTTTACCACTTTAGGTCCCGTTTCGAATGGTGAAATAATTAATCTTCTGAAAATTGAACTGACCTCTACGAAACACTATTCTTTTTCGCGAAAGCGCTACGAAATACTATAAAGAATTCTGCAGTCTAAAGATGACCATTAGTTATTAGATTTACTAAACAACACATAGTTAGCTTATTTTAGCCTTTTAGGACGGATGAAGTATGTGCCATGAATCAAATCTTGGCATATCCGGTTTCGTAGTACAATAATTTTTTTAGGAGGGAGGGTATAGGCTATAACACGTAATTTAAAACTAGAACGAATTAGTTTTGACTCTCTCAAGAAAAAATTTCAGAACGAAAACGTGAGAGGGGGATTGATCAAAGAGAATGCAGTTGCATACTTGCATGCACAGGAAGCATCGATCTAGGGATTTTTTTTTTCAGCGAAAGATAGAAGGATTCATCAATCATGGAATGGCATGCAGATTGCAGAAACGCAACGTCCAAACTATTTGGGTCAATCAATCATATCCTAGAAGGCTAGAAGCAACTTAGCAACTTGAGACCCGTTAAAAACGACCCGCGCTTGTTAAGTTGCAACAAAGAGACGGAACGTGTCGTGCCGGCGACCGCAAGCAGAAAACGACCTTTTTGGCAACGGAATTACCTACCTCTCGGACTCCGGCCGCGCCGCCGCCGTCGTCGTCCGTCGCCGTGGCGGTGGCGGTGGCACAGCCGGCGGCGCGACGCTCGAGCTGCGCCCAGAGCGCCCTGACCTCGGCCTCCTTGCGCTCCATGCGCGCGCGCCACCCTTCCCGTTCCCGCAGCCGCTCGTCCCTCCGCCTCGTGTACGCCTCGTACCTCCTCCCCCTCACGTCGCCGCCGTCTCCGTCCCCCTCCTCCTCCTCCTCCTCCTCCCCGCCGCCACCGCGGGCATCGGCGCCATCGTCGTCGCCGCGGGGCGCGCCGCTCCTCTCCGCCCGCCGCTGCTTGTACCCGGCGAACTGCCGCTCCAGCTCCGCCGCCATCGCCCACAGGTCCACCTCCCCACCATCTAGCGGCATGATCGCGACGATGCCGGCGACGGCGAGATCGATCGATGGGATTGACGAGGCCGGCGCGTCGCGTCGCGCGCGGTCGTGGGCGCACGCACACGCGCGGGCGGAGCGGCGACGACGGGTGGGTTTGGTTCGTTTTTTTTTTTTCTCTTGTACAGGTGGCGCGCGCGGTGGGAGTGGATATTTGGGGAGGCCGCGGGCGGGCGGTGGGGACGGTTGGGCGGGTCTGGGTCAGGCCGGCGAGCGGGTTAGGTCCAACGCTGCTTATGCTTAGGTAATCCACCTTGTAGCCATCGTCCGTCCGCGCGCATGACGCCTTCTCCGCACGGCGTATTCGGGCCGCCGCCAGCTTCGTGCAGTTTGGCACGGTTTTTTTTTTTCGCAAGGATTTAAACGTGTTCTTTTTTTTCATGTCTTAAGGCTAAACCGATCTATGCATTGTTTTTTTATAAATACAGAACAGACACAAGCACCCACAACGCACACACACACTCATCTTTATAAACGCACACACGCATACCTTACCTCTGTGAGCACATTCGAAAGATTGGGTCGGCATATCTTAAAATTGACGAAGTTACCATTGGAGTCTCGCTACCACTGAAAGAATAATTTGGAACGTAGCCTACCATTAAAAGAATAGTTAGCTATAAATACGAGCAATAAGGAACTTAATCAGTTGAGCTACGCACGCTTCATCTGACGTATGCATTGTGATTAGTCAGTGTTAGAGAATGTAGTTATACAACGAGAGGTCACAAACACCACGCATCTATGCACACCTGCATTGCTTGGTACTCCTGTTTCGCGAGAGTAACATGGACATGGTAACGTGCGAAACCTAGGCATGTACTGTACCCTGTCATTTGCCGCTGCCAATCCAGGATCGACACACCCGTCGTCAGAAAGACAGAGATCCGTTTCTTCTGCTCTCGCCCCGGGTGCGCTTTGTCCAAGAGAATGAAAATCACAGGTGACGAAACGATCACCAAGAACAGGGAAGAAATTCAGTTCAGCGTATAGCATCTTCTCTCGCTGTGCCTGATCTCTCTCTGATGAGCATTTAATATCCCTGACCTGAGTTGGATAGGTATAGGAGCATCCGATGCAGAGGTAACTGTAAGTCTGTCTGAATATTCAGATGAGGAATTTTTGCTCCTGTGCTCTGATCTCCAACAGGCCGGCCCCGGGTAGGAATACACCCTCTGCTTCTCGCCTCTGCTCGATCTGCACTGAGTCTGTATAGCCTCTGGCTCCTCCAATTAAGCTGCTGTGTTTGTCACGAGAATGGAGTGCCATGGACGCATGGTTGGAAGCAAATCACCTATAGTAGGCCGTGTTTAGTTCCATAATTTTTCTTCAAACTTCTAACTTTTCTATCACATCAAAACTTTTCTACACACACAAACTTCCAACTTTTCCGTCACATCGTTTCAATTTCAATCAAACTTCTAATTTTAGCGTGAACTAAACACACTCACCCGTAGTATAGTACTCCGAACATGTATGACAAGAGAAGAGACCTTATGAGGGTCAAGTTATCTTCAGAGTCTAGTATAGTACTCCGAACATGTATGACAAGAGAAGAGACCTTATTGGGGGTCAAGTTATCTTCAGAGTCAGAAATGCTTTGTTCTATAGGAAAACAATATGCCAATATACCTTGTTGCACCGGTGTGCTCCCGATCTCTCGGATTCCTCTTCGCCCCACCTGCTTCTGCATTCTGCATTGTGGGGTTCAAAAGCTCTATCTATCTCGACATGTTCTGGGTATAGTAATGTGTTGGAGCAGGAACCTGTACTACTAACCTAACATGCATACACACATTCAACAGATGCACACTATTTTGGAAGTAGATTTTTGTCCCTCGTGGAGATATCCCCTCGTTTTGTACATGTAGTTCAAAAGTTATACTTTTTTTAAATAATATCAAGATAGATCAATATATGATATATATTTTCACAAGATAGATTAATATGTGATATATCTTTTCACAAACATGCGAGTTAAAATTTAACTTATACAATTCGAAACAAAAATAACAAATATGACTGTGAATTACGTGTTCTATTCATAATTAAATTTGTTATTTTTATTTCTACTTGTATAAGTTGAATTTGAATTTGCATGTTTGTGAAGCGACATATCACATATTGATCTATCCTACTAAATTTTTTAATTACTTTTTAAGTGACATATAAAAATAAGGGGATATCCCCTTAAGGGATGATTTGAGTTTTCCCACTATTTTACACTTTGCTAGCATATTTTCTATAGAGCAATGCTACACGTACTAAATTTTTCTTACTAAACATTTACTAACAATCATCTCAACCGTTTGATTAAATAGATGGAAGTTATAAAAAATCTAGATGTACTCATAGCATGACACATCAGTGTTAGTAAGAATTTAGTAAGAAAAAATTAGTACGTATAGCCTTTTTCTTTTCTATATATGCAAATTAAGCACGTGGATTCTAAGTGGATATACTGAAAATCGACAAGAGTACAAAATATAATAAACAGTTGATTACCTTCGAATCCAAAGCTTATATTATAATAACTATGTGATATCGATCAACTGATTACGTAGGTATACTCATATGCAAAAGGACAGCAATGTCGGCACGGGGACAACAAAAGCAAATGCATAACATTACTATAGTAGCATAAAACAAAAAAAAAACTTTTTGAGTGACAAATTTCTCGTTTCTTACTTATCAACCGGTTTACGGGGCACACACGATAATGACTTGACATTGATCACAATGCCTTGCCACGCAATGTGCTTACACGTGTTATTAATAAGATGATGCCCTACACTTTGCTGCGGGATATATGTTAAACAATAGATAAATGAGAAATGATTTGGATTGAAATATTATGAAAATAATTTAAGAATGATGATTTAGCATGTATATGTTTAGTTTTAGAGTGAAGTAAATTTGTAGCTATAATTATTATATGTCTGCATGTTGAGATTTGTGGGCTTAATGGGTTGATATGGTATACTTACATGTAGGTTTTAGGAATGCTAGTAAATACTATGCTTGCATGTTGAGCTTTAGGTGTTCAGTGAGCATTAGCAGCTTTATAGAAAGAAGAGATTATGGGCGCTCTTTTCATAAAAATCTACTACTATCATATTTTTTAATAGATGACTCCGTTGACTTTTAAACACATGTTTGATAATTCATCTTATTAAAAAATTATGTAATTATATATTTTTATGTGAGTTATTTTATTACTCAAAGTATTTTAAGTATAATTTATATCTCATACGTTTACATAAAATTTTTAAATAAAACGAACGGTTAAACATGTGTTCAAAAGGCAATAACGTTATCTACTTAAAAAAAGATGGAGTATATGTTTTTCATGCTATTGCTAAGAGTTTTCGTAATCACAATCTTATATGATATTGTCTCCATCCTAAGATATCTTAGAGAGTTTTAGGCTTGGATACGAGTATTAAGAAAGCGGGTAAATTTAATGATTTATAAGGAATTTCATAAGATCCAATTTTTATTCAAACCTTTTCTATTTGGCCCTATGATTCAAAGGTTAATTGGATCATACCATTGCAAAATTACCGATTTGAGAAAATGTCACTATTATTCGTGATATCTGCTGGGTACCATTAAAATTGCTATGAGGGGCCCATAGTCCATCTTGATACTGTATCAAAATCCGCTCATAAACGGTATCATCGGACTTCACGGAATCCATTGATAAACCGATAAAAACCAATAAAATACAAATAAATTTTGTTGAAATTCAGGAATCGGTCGTGTCTTCGATGGCCCGATTCAAAAAAGTTCGGATTTCACGAGGTCCGAATCGGATTCCATTGGAATTGTGAACCGGGTTCATCTGTACGAGTAGCGTGTAGCCGCTGTCGGTTTCCCCTTCGCAATTCCGTACGCCCCTAGTGCCACTGCCAGCTCCCCCCCATTCTTCCTCGCTAGTCGCTAGCCTCCAGATTCCCGCGTCCCCTCCCCTCCCCTCCCCATCCATGGCGCCTCCTCTAAACCCTAACCCCGCGTAGTCCCCGCCCCCCTCCCCTACACCTCCTCGGTCCCCCGGCTGTCCCCGTGCCCGCGCCCCTCGCTCCCGCCTCGCCGGCGGAGGCAGGCCATGGAGCACCACCACCACAAGCCCGGGCTGCGGGTGCGCCTCCGCATCACCGCCGCGCGGCGACGCGCGTGGCTGTCCGCGGGCCTGCAGCCCGCCTGCCGCAAGCCGCCGCGCCGCGACCCGTCCGACTCCGTCCACAAGGTCGCGCGCCGCGAGATCGGCGGGGGGCACCGCCGGCCGCCGCGGCCCGCGGCGCCCTCCTCCTCCGCCTTCTCCTGCCCCGAGAAATTCCGGAATTTCCAGCTGCAGGTATGTGCAGCTTGCCCGTCTCCTCGCTCCTAGGTTTCCAGTAGTCGTGATTAACCTAGTGCCGCTTGGTAATTCATTCTGATCCGTGACACTTGATATAGTTAGGGATCTTTTTTTTAAAACTTTAGGTGGCAATCCATTCGATGCGATCAAATTTAACCAGAAAGTGTTGCCTGTGGAGACACAAGTATATTGCTACAATAGTGGTAATCTGGTTAGTGAACTGGCAATGTTATAACATTGCACCGGTGTGTTGCCATGGCTAGATCTAGTAATTCAGTGCTAGGAATATCAACTGCAAATGCTTATGATGTCCTGCACGTAGTTTTGCATGTTCTAGTTTGATATATGGAGTGTGCATAACCAACAGACTTAGTTTTTTTTTTTTAAAAAAAATAAGGTTGTTGATTATTTATAGCATATTTGCATAACTGAAAAAAAATAAGGCTATTGATTATTCATAGCATATTTGCATAACTTGTGAATCAGTGGTTCAATGCTATTGAAAATTTGAAATCTGAATGGGGTTGAAATTAGTTGATGCATGAGCTGAATAAACTGTAATTAGCATGACACCATTTGTATTTCAGGCATCATGAGATGCATATACTATACAGATTTTAAAATACATGCTTATTATTTTATACTTCTCTTCACTCTTTCTGTTCTCTCAACAGTAAAACATTACGTACCCAATGCGAATCAAATTCTAACTTTTCGTGCAAAAATTTCCCACGTGGCCACGTGTTGTTTATCTTTTGCGAATCTAGCCAGCTAGGCTAATAAAATGTTAATTAAATATGGCAAACCATAAGCTGGATGGGTAAGATAGGAATTTGTAGGCGGAAGGCTTTCATGATTCCACATTTTCTAGGTACCTTCGTCCTCCGTCGCATTTAACTGACCTTTTCTTTGGGTGTTGCCAGTTATTTTGCTTTAGTAATGCCACTGTTTTCTGATGGCTTAAAGAAATTGTTTTAACTAAAACAACCACTGTATCACATTTATGGGCGAGTGCTTACCAGAATCCACATATAAGTGAGTAGTAACAGTAACATATCATACAATTCCTTTCATACATACCTAATCGGTTGAGTTGAAGCTCATGGAAAAGAAACCGAGTGATATCAGAGTAGTGACGGTTTTGCGGTATCTTTAAAATTAGTGTTGTTTGGTAATATGGTGAAGGTAGCTGAAAAAGAAAAGATATTTGTGGATTTTGGTTGCTTGTATGTTTGCCACTGGAAGCCTCTAATATGGAAATTTTCAAGTGGGAAGAGGACATGTGCAAGACCAATGCTATATGCTAATGACATGGAAGAAGACATATGTAGCTGCTATTGTGGCACCATGTATGATTGTATTATGGGGGTTTTGCCTCCGCAGCCATAGTAAAATCTTAAAAACATTAAATCACTCTGACTCTGTTGTCTGTACATTAAAAGTACTGAACAAACATGGATCATTGAAATGTTTATGGAAGCCAATTTATTCTTTGAAGATAATGCCTACCATATTGGCCCTGACAAACCAGTGGGTCCACCTGACATAATAGGATCTAAGTAACTCGGCTACATTCCAAAAAAGGTTAGTAGTAAAACTTTCTGTGCAATCCAATTAAATTTGCATGATCGGCTCCATGTACAGTCTGGACATGAGCTGGATAATGACCTTCCTATAATTTATTTTTAGTCTTTAATGCCTTTTTTGTTGTCTTGTGTGCATATATGTGTGAAAATGTTCCATATTGTGCCAAATATGTTGGATAAACAGAGAAGACATTGATGTAAACGCCACTGAGGTATCAGGAAGTGGCTAATAAGTAGATTTGGACAAGGAAGGGGAGGGCAAGAAAACTCCAGGATTGATCAATGGACACGCCTGATCTCACATTTCTATAATCGTACCTGCTAAATCTGATCAACTAACTTTCATGCACAGAATTTCCCTTAACTGACTACTTTGCAATTCAGATATTTTAATATTTAAATTATTGTTTACTAATTTATGAATTTAATTTGATTGTGCAGGAAGAGTATGACACCTATGATGATGAAGTCCATTTTCTTGTTCAGCTGCCATTTTTGTGGAGCAGAACCAAAATTATTGAGATTGTTGCAGCAAAGGATGTCATATTTGCACTTGCCCAATCTGGACTATGCGGTGCATTTAATCGGGGTAAATCTCATTCTTCAATGCTAACTGGTTTTGCTTTTGTCAGATTTATGTTCCTAACAAAACTTCTTCTCATGTTGGCAGCAACAAACAAGCGCATATGCTACTTGAATATAAGTCCTGATGAAGTGATTAGGAGTTTGTTTTATAATAAAAACAATGAATCCCTTATCACCGTTTCAGTTTATGAATCAGATCGTTTCAGCTCGCTCAAGTGCAGAACAACTCCAATAGAGTAAGAAGCCTTATTTATTTCTTCTTGAATTATTCTGTGTATGAAAAGAGTATCTTTGGTGCTAAACAGTTGAGCTTCCTGGTGTCTGCAGAGCAAGATGCTGGTTCTTTGCTCTCATTATGTTTATTTAGAAAGTGATAATTGGGCTTGTCACAACTCACAAGTTCATGCCTCGATCTGTTTGCTAGCTCATTTTAAAGCATCAACATATTTTCTCTTATCATAACTTCTTTTTAGGTACATTAGAAGAGGCCAATTGAATGATGGGTTTCCTTTATTTGAAACGGAATCACTGAAATACCCTGGATTTGTTGAGTTTGATGATGTTAATGGCAAAGTACTGACTTTTTCAGCCCAGGATAGGTATGTAACATTTTACTTTACAGTTTGACAGCAGTGGTATGTGCATAGTGTAATTGTTTCTCCTTTGCAGCACTTACAAAGTTTTTGATCTGAAGAACTACAACTTTCTGTATTCTATATGTGATAAGAACATCCAGGAAATCAAAATAAGGTTCGGTTATCACTGATGACTGATTACATAAAAAAATAAGTTTTCATCTTTGATTTGACATTTTCTTACATTCATGAAACCTCTCTCTCCAGTCCTGGAATCATGCTCGTAATTTATCAGAAGTCAGCTAATCATGTTCCATTAAAGATACTCTCAATTGAGGATGGAACCCCACTGAAAACCTTCACCCAGTTGCTTCATCGGAGCAGAAAGGTTGACTTCATCGAGCAGTTTAATGAAAAACTTCTTGTGAAACAAGACAAGGAAAACCTACAGATTATTGATGTACGTTACTTATGTTCTTTGTTTGTGGCAACTGCAGTTTGTACTTTGCCCTTGAACTAACTTGGTTCTCTGACCAGGTTAGAAACTCCAACTTGATTGAGGTCAACAAAACCGAATTCATGACTCCTTCGGCATTCATCTTCCTCTACGAAAATAATCTATTCCTGACATTCTGCAATAGGACAGTTGCAGCATGGAATTTCCGTGGAGAGCTAGTTACTTCATTTGATGATCATGAGTTGTGGCATTCTAACTGCAATACCAATAATATATACATCACTGCCGACCAGGACTTGATTATCTCATACTGCAAAGCTTCAAAGGAGGTCAGAGATAGTGGCGGCTGCGAGGGCATAGGTAATTTCAAATTTCATTATTCTGTTTTTTTTTTGTTTTTGAATTCATATGAATAAATTGGCAAGTTGCCTACTCAGCTCCCCCCACGGGATCAATCAACATGAGCAACATCTTCACGGGAAAGTGCGTCGCCAAGATCTCCCCCCTCGACCCTACTCTCACAATTGCTCCTCGAAAAAGAGGTGACAGCAGCAGATCTACCATTCGGAGCACTGTTTCTGATGCTCTTGAGGACATCACCGCACTATTCTACGACGAGGACCGCAACGAAATCTACACTGGAAACAGCAAAGGCCTGGTGCATGTCTGGTCAAATTAGTTTCACCTCCCCTCATCATCAACCTTGTAGATACCTTCTGTACCTGTGTTTCTTTTTACTGCTCCATAACAAATGTAACGATCATCCGGTCTGATATAGTGGAACTGTGTGCTCCCTGACATTATACGATTCGTTAGAATAATCTGAGTGTAGATTTTCTTGATGTATATCAACCGTGGTCCGTGGTGGAAGTTTTTTTCTCATCGGCCTGTGCAATGTCAAGTATAAATGGCCTGTTGTTTATGGTTTACCCAAGCGGTACTTCGAAGCAGTTAGCTACTGCTGCTTTTGATTACTGATCTTGTCTATGCAAGCATACTGCCAGGAGAGTGCTCAGCAAGACAGCAATTGACACCATCAGCTCACGGTTATTAATGGTGCAGGAATCTGAAATCTGAACTCATTGAGAAAGTTTATTAGTAGGCTATAAGCCATGTGAAGAAGAGAAAATTTGAAAAATAAAGAAGGTTAAGAGTAGAGCCAACTATAAGCTTATAGCTTATACTCCCTCCGTACTAGTAAAGGAGGTCGTTTAAGATAATATTTAAGTCAAACCTTAGGAATATAAATCATGAATAACTCTCAAGTTGTTGAGTTTGAAAATGTAAAAATTAGATGAATAGATTTGTCTTGAAAAATACTTTCATAAAAATATACATATATCACATTTCAATAAATATTGTTATATAAACAAGAAGTCAAAGTTGTATTTTAGAGACCGTTTCGCTGTCCAAAATGGCCTCCTTTACGAGTAAGGAGGGAGTATTAGAGTTAACATGTATTTTTCTTCTCCTATGCATTTAATGTATTCATTTTGAAGTATGTGAATATGCGTAAGCTATTGGTTAGCTCTACTATTAAACTTGCTCTTAAAGCAGGTATAATAGCAGACTATAAGCCATCTATAAACACATTTCGAGGAGATAAAAGAGGAGAGAGAAGAGTAACGGGCTACAGATTTGTAGCCAGCTGTAACACGAACTACAATACGCAATGTGTGTATGATATGTGGGTCCATACATCAATAGTGTAATATATGTTTATAGGTAACTATTGTATGTATTGGCTATTAAATTGACTATACATGATCTGAAACCCATAGTTGACTATACTGTTAAACTTGCTCTTATAGAACCTATTTAGGCTGCGCTCGTTTGTAGGGGTTCCCAACTTTATCCTTTCGTTTTTCGCGCGCATGCTTTTTAAATTGTTAAACGGATCCTAGTAGGAAGGTTTAGCGCATTTTTTGAAAAAAAAAATCTATAGGAAAGTTGTTTAAAAAAATCATATTAATCTATTTTTCAAGTTAGTTTTAGATAATATTTTAATTAATCATGTGCTAATGTGTTTCTCCGTTGTTCGTGCTGGAAGGGAAGGTTCCCAACCAACACAAATGAACAGTCTTAGGCTGTTCGTTTAGGATGGTTGAGAACTAATATATTCAAATGAACACAGTTTTAGCTAATATTTAATTAATCATGTGCTAATGAGCTACTCCGTTTAGCACAATAAAACGGCGTGGCTCATTAGCACATAATTAATTAAGTATTAGCTATTTTTTGAAAAATGAATTAATATAATTTTTAAAAGTAACTTTTGTATATTTATTTTTTAAAAACGTATCTTTAGCAGTTTGAAAAGTGTGCGCGTGAAAAAAAAGAGAGGTGAATTAGAAAAGGAGAGGGAAAACACAGCCAGTGGTCATTGCGAGTTGCGACCGGTTTGCTACTAGCCTAGTCCTAGTAATCCCTCCGTCCCAAAATATAGCAATCTTGTACTAGGATGTATCTCATCCAGTACAAGATTGCTATATTTTGGGACGGACGGAGTACTCATTAGTACCACTAGCTAATTGGTCGCGGTCAATTTATATAATTAATTGCTAATTAATCACGGTCAATTTATAACATACCGCAGGTCCGCAAGTGACGAGGTCTCTCCGGAGATTCCCTCGCCCTTTTACCCCCCTCTTCGTTGTAGTATTATTTACGGCTAACAACCACATGGTGGATCTATCGGGTGAACCTACACTCACACTGACATGTGTGGGGCCTCCATATGACTGGCCCCACCTGTCAGTGGGGCTCGCTCGCTGGCTGGCTTGCAAGCAACGTTAGCGCGGCGGCTACTCCACCGTGGCTTCTGACCTCTCCCTTATCGCGAAGAGAAGCAAAATTTGGTGATTTGGTCGAGCACGGCGACGCATCCACGCGAGCCCGCCTCCCTCTCCATCCCCTCCACCGTCGTCGAGTTAGACCAAACCGCCAAGCGAAGCCACGACGGATCGAGCCGCCGCCGCCGCCGCCGTGCACGCCCATATCTAGGGTTTCGATGGAGCCCGCCTCCTCCTCGTCGCCGGCGCCGGCGCCGGAAGCCGCGGCTGCGGGGAGGAGGGTGCCGGAGGCGGCAGAGCTGAAGCTGCGGCGGAGGACGCTGGAGACGGTGCTGGAGCAGTGCCAGCGCGCGCTCGAGATGATGCGGGAGGCTGATCTGGGCATCGCCGTGTCTGAGGAGGAGGAGGAGGAGGAGGGCGCCGACGCCGTGGCGGCGAATCCGGAGGTGGGGGGCAGCGACGGGTGTGATGAGGAGGGTGCGCCGCCGCCGTCTCCGCCGTCGGAGGCCGACTACGAGACGGACGAGGTGAGGAGGGGGGAGAGAGCTGTGCCTCTCAATTTTGTGATCCGGGGGGTTTGTAGGTGATTCGGTAATCCAGGTAACGTCGATGGCTCGATTGATTGATGATCGGTAATTCATGACATTTAGGCGTTTGTGAATGTCATATGCTCCAAATGTTCGCGGATTAGCTGGATTAGAATTGGTAGCCTACTGGAATTAGCTGAAATTTACACGGAATTAGCCTTGTATGAATGACATGATGGCGCCATAATTTGGCTCTCCCTTGTTGCTATGATGTTTCTCTGGTGTCGTAACGTGTCGTGTGTTGAGTCCACTATTTAGCTAAGCTAATTATGGCTGCTTGCTGTATATAATTGCGGTAAAATGTGATTGTGGAAGAAGAAAAGTGTGTTTTGTATTGGCCAATCAAAACGTGCAGCTATGTTGTTTAGCAAAAAAAAAAAAAAAGGTGAGAAAGCTATGGATCGTCAAATCAATTGTGTCACAGGGGGGAACTTGACAGTTTGCAAATATAATGAACTATGGATCTTCGAATAGTTTGATTAGTGGCTCTTAGTCTTCATAGTGTCTTGAATGACAGGTATCTTGTTTACCATGGTTGACTGGACGTAGGTGTTTGTGTTGTCATATCCTTTTGAATTCAGTTTCTTGATGAACTGTCCTAAACTGTTTTCTGGCGGTCTGGCCTATCATATAAAAATAGGTGCTAGGTTTTATTATACCTATTTCTTTTGTTCTATAAGTATACTAAAGTTTTTAGTTCACTCTTTACTTTGCAGTTGTGCGATCTTCTCAAATCGAGGGTTGCATCGCCTGAATTTCTTGAAAAACTCGATAATATTCAGAAGTCGGTATATCAAAATGGTGCAGGTGCATATTTCCTTTTTATGTTTGGGATTGTACCTATAAATCAATAGATACACTTCCTTGGCACAACATGCTAAAATTTTTGCTAATAATTTTCCTTGCACTAAACCTGACAACTGAAGTGTTCCACAATTGCTCTTGTAACAGTAGATGAAACTATATCATGGGATATCATAAGTGCGGCAGACATATGGGACGACATTGACAAGGGTATGAACATTAGTGATGATTCAGAGGATGGATATGTTCTCATTAAACAAGAGGACATAGTTGATGGTATTGCAAGCTTCATGGCTGCATACTTGCTGTCGCTGAAACAAACTAAGGTAGCAAAATTTAATACACAATTTTAATATTCGATTTTTATCCCTTAATGTCTTTATTTATTCCTCTGTATTTGGTCTTACTACTCTGTTGTGAAGAATATTAGGTATCTGACCAAAAATATCATGTTTACAGTTACTATTGTTTTTCTTGACATGGTACAAAAAATCATGATTCCTATCATGTTTTTTCCCCTGTGTCTTGGTTACTAGATTATTATCATGGAAGAGAATTTCATATGCCTTATTGAGAAAATTTCATACATTTGATGTTGATAAATTTCATGTGCAGGACTTGACACCTAATCAACTTCAACAAGGTAATCTTGTCATTCTTTTATAAATTCAGATGAATTATGTCAATGCAGAAAAACTTAACTCCCACCTTCCATTTTTGCCAGCTCTTAGCAAGACCTTTTCAGCTAAGAAGAGGAAAAGCAAGCTTCAGAAAGCATGGGATGGAACAAAAGTTATTTATAATATAGCATCATGGAGTGCAACTGCTATTGGGTAAGCTATTGTTACTAGTCTACTTGTAACCAATGTTTAGGATGATCTAAGGTGGTTTAGGATGATCTAAAGTGGTTCGCTAACATCATATCAAAGAATGGTGTATTGATCTGGACAATTGCCAAGCATTGGTTTCTCTAGAAACTCCCCATATTAGTTTCTACTACAGGGGCTGCATAAGCCGTTAGAATTCTGTGAGCTTTTGAATTGGTAGTTTACCTCTGATTAGTTAGGTTAGTTTCTTCCACCTGTTGAGCAGTGCCATTTCCTCTAAAAGTATTTTTACAACTTACACTTTTCAAGCATTTAAATAATTAGATTTATTGCATCCTTGGATAGAGAGTGGCATCTTTGATTTAATCATGTAGCTATAAGCCCACAGCTGATGAGTACCTGATGAGGGTGCATATATTTGCTCTTTTTGGTGTCTGTGTAACTAGAGCTAACTGACCGATTGTGTTACCGTCTTGCTTCCATGCAGCATCTACCAGAATCCAGCAATTCTAAAAGCAGCAACTGCTGCCTTCTGGACTTCCTGCCGTGTAGCATCCAAGTTTCTGTGAATAGTCCATGGCTGGTCGTTGTGGTGCTGTGTACATTGTGTGACTACGGCAACGATGTTGCTTCCCCGTGCCATCTGTCAAGGGGAAAATACTTTTGCCAAAACATTGTAGTACACTCAATTATATGATGATGTAATTCTATCGAGATCCTCCACCACAGGTTCACAGGTTGATTGACAGTTAGTTCATGTGTCAGGAAAGATTTCAGCTCAGACCACATTTGTTATGAACATGTGGGCCTGGTCTATAGTATCTTGCACCTGATCTAATGGTTGGAGGACACCTCCCTCCCTGTGTTTACCTGTATCATTTGTATCAGACCACCTCCGGTTTGTGATTCCTTTGTACATATAAGCCCGTTCATTGTAAATATATCAGCCATTCAACACTCCAACAGTGTATCCGTCCAATTGTAAATATGTCGATTCGTTTGAATAAACTCATCGATCACATGGCTTTCACTCCTCTGGAGTAACCTGCTCCCATGTTACTCTCTGGAAATTGCATCTATATACTGTAGTAACCTCGCAGTTTATACTCTGGAATTTGCATCGTATATTTCCAATGTGACTGTCGAATTTCGAAGACAACATCCCCAGTTGAACCATGCAAACCGCAACATTTACCAGACTAATAATAGAGAACAAATATTCAAGTTGAACATGCTAGTATAACAGAAATACATACATCAGAAAATCTCTAGATATGTGTGTTTACACCCTTGAAGAGGGAATTGTATGATCTAAAGTTTTTCTAAACTAGACAACAAAATGGACCCCGCCCCCCCCCCCCCCCCAAAAAAAAAAACACACCGTAAAAAAGGTTCTCGATGAAGGCAATGTTACTCTTCCTTTCTGATAAATGACTATATAAGAACTACTAATTTTAAAACTAATTATAGGATTTATCCTTGTAGTTTCTCATCCTGAAGGAAAAAACAGTGCAAGTGTAAACTGCTGTCACGGCTATAATGAACACTCCAGCGCAAGTGCATACTGTCGCTGCACAAACATAAAGGTACCTGTATGCATTGGAAATGAAAACTGTCCATAAAACAACAACAACAACAACCAGATGTAGTATATAAGAGCTTGATGTGCTGATTCAGTAAGAAGTCTCTATCAATGATAAACGTTGCAGCAAGTGAAAACAATCTGGTCGCAGTTCTGCATCTAGTTTTCGTTAAGGAAGATCGGAATTGGAAACTTGAAAACGCCATAAATTTCTTTTATTTGGTTTCACATGTTCTATGCAGTATGCAGCAATGTGATGGGCATGCTAGTGGCATTAGTTCATATGGTTACAGTCTCTAGAGTACGGCTGCAGTCACCTATTCTGGTTTAAAAAGATAGATTATCGAATACTCACTTCGGTGAAAATACGCTCCAAACAAACAAGTGGTTCCTCATGAGCAGCAAAACAATGGTGTACGATGTCAAGGCAATAGAATTAATGAGCAAAGGAAGCAAACAGGGCAACGTGATCATTTTGTCCAAAATGCAGCTCCATTTCGATTGATGTGGAGTAGAGATATCATCACTGTTTATCACTGATATATAAAAAACCATCCCAAGGTACAACAGCAGAGGTGATCCATATGTAATCATGAACATCAATATGCCAGAAAGAACTGTGGAGTAACTTGAAATGCCCTGTTGAAATTCACTAGTCAAACCAGAATGCAATGAGGATAAAAGGCACTTAACTAAGTCTTTGTTAAACTTACAATGAAAGCTCCAGCAACATCAATGCTGGCAAGGTTATTGGTGTTTCCAAGACCAAAATGACCAGACAACCCCAATAATTGCATTGCGACAATCTACACAGTTCATCAACGATGATTACTCATTAGTAAACCATTTCATACCATGCCAATATTCATGAAAAATATCATATTGGTAAGCAAATATTAATAATATTTAAAGGAACTAACCTGTACCCATTTCTTATGCAATGATTTATCCAGAGAAAAATGCATTATACTAGAGATTATTTGCAAGAAAATGAGCAGAAGAGGTATTGCATTTATGGGCTGCTGCAGAAGCAATTGCAGAAGGCACCAGAAAGCCGCGTATGTTATTCCAATCAGGAACATAGAATGATTTATGCCTTGCAGATGTATTGCCGTTTTAGGACTCGAGCCAGAGGATGTTGGTTCTGCTTCCATAGAATGTATTGGAAATATCCAAGGTGATGCAACAAAAGTGAATGTTAATGAAATACTTGCGATGACATAAAATATCTGAGCTATTGATGTTGTGCTATGTTTGGTTGGTAGTGAAGTATTGATCTGGCTTTGCCAGATATGGAGTACAACCAAAATTCCACAAAAAAAGTGACTCAACCATACGAGCAGAATATTCAGCTTCCTTGGTCTCAGTAACAGGAGTGAAACTGAATACAATACCACAACTGCAAGAACGGAGATAATTTGAAGAGCCTTTACAACAAATGAATCAGCTTGGGCCAGTGACTTTGAAATGTCAGGAAAGTGAACCCAGTTAACCCCACCTTGATGCCAAGCTCTTAGAATTCTCCCAGAAACAAGAATGATAATGATAGTGCACAACTTGTAACCGTCTCGCATACTGGGGATTAATTTACAGCTAGTAAAATAAGAGCAGTCATTTCCATGAAAAATCTTGCCTTCTGCTCGTGCTACCGCTGAATTTGATTCTCTCAGCATTGATTGTGTCGTCTTGATGAGAAATATTAAATACAGAGTAGAAGTGAGATAGTGCCATGTATACTGTTCTTCTTCCACAAAAGAGCTTGATCCAAGACTGCTGACATAAAGAAAAATCCCCATGATAATGAACACTTCATCAAGGTGCCAATGGTAATCTGAATTCCACTCAGAATGATGTTCAAACTGACTCAGAGACTTTCCCTTAAGTAGGCAAGAGACAATCCCCATGAGAGAAAGGCATGAAACAATCATCAATGAGATCGCAGAGACAAGTAAATAGAATGGTTTCTGCAAATATAACAGTAAAAGGAAAACAAATCAATTTGATCTTAAGGTGAAAGGAAAAATGTAACAGAATGCTACTTCACACTAGGGTTGCAAAGATAGTAAAATTACATTGGTCGCTCTGTGAGACAACCACTCACTCGCATATCTTAAGAATTCATAGTAGGCGTTGACAGCAGTCCTGTTGCACCCAGCTTCAATGGACCTGAAAAAGGATGTATTTTTAAGAAGTGAAGGTTGATCATATTCACAACAGTTTAGAGGATTTTAACAGCAGACGCTTACTTGACATTAGATGTCTGATGAAGGTGTGAAGGATGGTGGGAATCAAAAGCTTTAGAAAGCAAATGACACAACTTCTTCTCAACAGATTGAGGAATTTTATCAATTCCTAGACCATACTTTGAATTAATGCAATCCTCAAAGCAGAAAGCAGGTAACTGTGCTTGCAACAATCTTAAGAATTGCAATGAGTTCAGCTCTAAGGTCCGCAGTTTTTGCTGATCTGAAATAAGATGCACTCATCATATTTTGAGCTGAAGAGTTTTGAGTACTGAATCATGCAATTTGTAAAATTCCAATATTCCAGACCACCAGTTTAACTGAGAACTAGCATAATGCCTGTGTTGCAACGGATTTTTTTTAAAATAGCTCATTACATATATTTTAAAGCCTATAAAAATATAGTCTAATATATTATCATCATACTAATTCTGCTGTTACTTTCTAGGTGACTGTTCAGTTAGCTATAGGGGTCAGACATCACAAAGTCTTGTCTCACTGTTCGTGGGTCTTACATGGTAGTTGGGTGGTGGTGGTGGCAGACCCACAACTACCACTAACATCTTTTGAGATAGTATAGATATAGACATAGCAATCAACTAAAGGCATCGGGACACATGATTATAAATCCATCAAAATCCTATTACCTATTGAAATCGTTATAAAGTCGACATGCATCAAATATCTTAAATTTTTTTATGAAGTATCCTGCATCCTGATGAAGCGCAAGAAACTGAAAACAGAAGGTAAGGATAGATTCACCTGTCAAAGAATTAAAAACCTCTGGAAGCACAACACCTATATTGTTCTTCGGAATTGGTGTCCCAAAGAGGAGAGATAATGTTGGCGCAAGGTCCACCTGACAAAGAAAAAAGAGTAGTCAATGGAACACTACTTTAGGATTGTTCGCAAGTATAGCTTAGATGATGACAAAATGAGTGGTTTATAAATAAAATATTCAACAACAACAATGATTTATATATGAAAACATACTCGATGAGTGGATTTGCCATAGGTATCCAGAGATAAAGAAAGGATGAAACTACATTCAGTGATAGAGTAAGAGTTATACCTGAAGTGCTTCATTCTGGTCATAAGGTGAACAATATGAACTCTGAACACTGTGTCCTATAAAAAGGGCAAGGGAGTCAGTTTCTTCATAAGAGGATCCTCCATGATTACCACCTTCGGTCATGCCATGATCACTAACCACAACCTGAAATGTCGGGCGGCAGAAATATGCCTATGAGATTTAATGTAGACCTTTATCTTTCCAGAAAAGGCACAGACTTGATCAACGGTTGTAAACACTACTGAACTTAACAAGCTATTATAGTTTGCTGCGAATCCAAAGCAAATACAATACAATCAAAAAAATAATGAAAACAATTTTTGAGTTATTAACACATCAAATAATTATTTTTTTTGCAAGGATAACCCATCAGATAATCAGAAACCACAATCAATAAACATCACTACTATTTAGAAAGGCGCCAGAATAAAAGTTATTAAGCATACATGTATCAAATCATCACTACAAACTTCACCATTCACTAGTGGACTTTGTAGTAATCTCTTACAGATGTAGGATCAAACTTGTTTGTCACAAACATACATGCTACCAGGAATCTTACAAAATTTATAGGACTCAGATAGGATCACAAACCAAAAGTGTTCTGTCCAAATTATCTTCAAGGCCTGATACGGCATTGTGCACTCTTCTAATCACATCATCCATCTCCTTCAGCTTTTGGGGCATCAAAACACTGTAAATTTTAAAATTTTAACTTTACTTAGACACCATTCAAATAGAAAAAGGCATGGAAGATGTATGGTATTTACCTCTGACGGCCACCAATGTGGCCAACATGATCTAAGCCCAAATAGTGGAGAATCTGAAATTAACAAACAAAACAAACCTGATTAGTACATAAGAATAGAACACTTGCAGGATAACCTTAGGAAACAGCACAAACAAGGGAAGACAGTGTAAAGATTGTTAGAACACTTATCACAAGAAACATTAATTGGATACTTGGAATAAATTGTTGTAATCCAAAGACCTATATTTTACTATAAGTTCACAAAGGAATAGAACAAGTGAACATGAACTAAGCCAAGAACATACCAACATGTTCCAGTCTTTGGCAGCAAACTCAGATTCCAGATGACGAGAAACATTAAAATCAACCTCAACCGTATCTTTCACCTGACATCCAGTCACAATCATTAAATTAAGTTATACAGGTAGAAAGACTGAATGCAAAACAAAGAGGACTGCTATTAGCCTATTAGCAAAACCCAAGCACCAAATCACAAGCTTAAAATACCTAATACACAAATATCTATAGTTGGCAACCTACTGTTAGATTAGAGTTTCACACGATAGTAAGTTTATTTTATCAGTATTCCAAGTTCAAGTACACTCTCATCTTTCAATCACATTATCTTGTGAAAAAAAAAGCATGTGATGCATGAGAGGAACTCACATAAAAACTGCTCACTCCATCTTGTCTCCAGAATAATTTTGGGAACAATTTGATCCATGTCTCATCTCCCAGCATCACTAACTTATAACCAATCATGTGGAGCTGATCTGCATTGGTGTGAACATATTATAAATATAGCTCATAAGGCATTTTCTTGTTTGGTCAGGCCAGAACTGATGGATGACGCAGAACACAGAGGATGATGAATTTGACCAACATGTTGAACTCACCATGTTGGCAATTAGGTATGCAAAGAAGATGATTAATACAAGAGAAGGATAAGGTCAGGTATGGAGAGGTTCTAACCAAGAAGATTGTCATCCAAGAAGGCTTGAGTATTGAAGTTAAATGCTACATCTAGAAAACCTCCAATTGCCCCAGATACCATTGCCTGAAAGTATAACATATTTAGGATTACCAAATACTTACACAAATAGGAACCTCTATATAGAATCAGTCTTACTTTTAGCCGTGGCATCGTGACGGTTGGAGGTGCAGCTTTCGCATGATAACCTGTTGCTTTGCAACCAGCTAACAGAGATTGGGTGTAGGGCATGGATTCCACCATTTCTTTGCTTGGAGGTTTTCCAACTCTCCCCAATACGAATTCAGCAGGAAGCCCATCTATAACCTAAATTGACACGCATAAACTCAAAATGCCAAACATTAAAAGGGTAAGAATAAAGTTGCCACTGAAGCGCCTAGGATTATGCTGTGAGAAGAACAGGCACATCAATTTTGTGCATACCATCAACACCAAACGATCATACACAGGAGGGACCTCGGAGAGTTCCTGGAATTAATCATAGCACAAGCATGAGCATCGCAACACTAAAAAAACACTGCACAGTATGAATTAACTTAACATTTCAAATCTTCCATCTCTCTATCACAAGTAATGCGCAGCAGCATGAGATGAACCTAAGCCGGAGGAACCGAGATGTCTCACCCTGTACAGAGATCTGAGCTGATCCGGCGGAAGCGCCGGTTGCTCCCCGCCACCGGCGAGACCACACGACGGCATCCGGTAGCTCTCCGCTCCACTGCGGCCACCAACCAAGGGTCAATCGAAGCAAGCGCCATCGACAGCCGCTGATAGAGCAGAGCAGAGGTAGAGGCGCGAACCTGAACCCGGGCAGCGTGGGCTTGACGGGGAAGAAGCCGTAGAGGAACATGGAGAGGCCAACCACCTGCAGAAGCACTGCGGTCACGGTCCAACCGGCGACCGCCGCGCAGGAAGGGGAGGCGCCACCGCCGCCGGCCATGGCTGATTCCTCGCCGGTGGCCACGAGACAGTTCGAACGGGCTGAAGTGACGAACACTTCTGGGCCTAATGGCTTCAAAATGGGCCGTGGGAAGTACACTAGCGTTGGCCCAAAATCAAAATGGGCGTTAAATTGTATCGATTCAATTTTGCTTCGACAAAAATTTGTCAAATGTGCAATTCCATCCTAACTTACATGTAACTACAATGTATTACCTTCATATATTTTAAAACCATTAGGTTAACTTTAAAATTTATGTAAGTTGGGAAGAAAAGAATCATAGCACGCACACAGGTGAGAAGATTCAGTCTCACGATCTTTGTTTCACGAAAATAGCATATTGTAAAGAAATTATTAAAATTACATATATATTATATTGTAGTTACATGTAAATTATAATAATGTAATCACATTATAATTATATATATTATATTTATATTTGATAAATTTTGAGAAGAATTTTTATATAGTAGCCCCCATTGGTTTGGGCCCAAACAAGCCCACAAAAATATTTTGTCACCTTCGTGCGCGTTCGCCGTTTGGGATAAAGCGTCTCCTCCCCCTCCGCTTCGCGTCGGCTGCTGCTGCTGCTGCTGCTCTCTCCGCGCTGCGCTTCCGCTGCTCTAGGGTTTATCTCCTGCTGCCGCTCGGATTTCGCGGCGAGCAATCCACCGGAGATGGCGCCCGTGCAGTTCTCCGCCGCTGGAGTTGGCGCGGTGGCCTTCGCTACGAAGGGGATGGCCTCCCGCGACGCGCTCCGCCTCCCGCCGCCGGCGGCCGTCCGGGTGCTCCGCCAGGCGCCGCGGCCGTCACGCGGCCTCGTCGTCAGGGCCGCCGCCGCCAGCGTCGCCCCGAAGGTGCGTTTTCAGTGCAATGTACCATGGTGGGCACACTGGTAATGCTATTCTCGGTTCAGAGTTTTTCACTTAGAGGGTTAGTTGGTGAATCGCTGGATTGGGTATTGCGGGCAATGCTATTACGATAGCGATGAAATCGACGATGATTCCGCTGGGTTAACTGATTTATTTCTGTTGAATTTAATGATGAATGGTGATAGATGGATATCCGAGCCCGTCTGGTGTACGGTGTGCCCTGTACACACCTGTATTGCTGTGGTGGTTAGCTCATGGTGATTGCTGATTAGGAAGTTTTAAGATTGTGATGCAGTGAGCTGTGATGTGTCTATCGCTGCTTTCCCACGTTGACTACCGAACTTACTGTCAGACTGATGAATGATGAAGTGCAAATCAGTTTTGGAAAAAAAATGAATTATGTATCCTTGTAATAAAAGAGTAATGAAGTGAATTATAGCTACTCTATACTTTATATTTTAATTATTATGAGCAATAAAATAATGACTTACAAGTACACTATGGATTCAGTGAAGATATCGAAAGGGGGGGGGGGGGTTGAAAGCAATTCTATGCTTAATATTTTAGTTTATTTTCCAGAAAATATATTTGTTATGCTTTTCAGTGATGAAGTTATGTTCTGTTATTCACTTGCAGTATACAACGCTCAAGCCCTTGGCTGATAGAGTGCTTGTAAAGATTAAGTCTGCTGAGCAGAAGACAACTGGTGGGATTTTGCTTCCTTCGGCTGCTCAGTCTAAACCCCAAGGGGGTGAGGTAGTTGCCATTGGGGAGGGACGAACTGTTGGGGATAACAAAGTGGAAGTTAGCATTCAGGTATATTTTTCTTTGCAATATAGTGAAAAAATATGTATGATGCTTTCTAACAGAATCAATGAGCCTTACTGGTACAGCTATTCGACTAGTCATTCATGGATCATAAAGCATTGTTTCTTCCAGTTGTCTGGAGCATTTGTTTCCATGTATCATTTGGTTGGTAGGTTCCAACCAACCTGTCCAAAGAACTATTATAGAATAATAATAAGGTGCGAGGCTCGCCTGTTCCAGCCTCCAGGTACATGAATACAGAAATCAGACCTGAAACAAAAAGAGTAAAACTGGCGGATTTAGCATTGGACCCGTGGCTAATAATCCAATAATGAGCATGCTGAAAAGTCGGGTATGATAAAGTTGTTAAAGGATTTATGTTGCCTGTTTTGACTTAAGATGTTTCATATTTTATTGAGGTGAATCTTACTTGATTGTTTTTTTAAATTTCTCGAAGTGTGATCATTTTGAGTGTAAACAAGCTATTACTGTTGGCAAACAAAAGAATATATACTAAAATGCACATATGTGACTTGCATAGGTTGGATCCCAAGTCGTATATTCAAAATATGCTGGAACAGAGGTGGAGTTGAATGATTCCAACCATCTGATTCTTAAAGAGGATGACATCATTGGTATTCTGGAGACTGATGATGCAAAGGACATGAAGCCTCTTAGCGATCGTGTTCTTATCAAGGTGGACATTTCTTATACATTTGTCTGGATAGCAGTGTAATGTTGTTGATTAAGTAGGCATGGCCAACTAAAGCTGAGGCCGCCCTCCTTTTGATTGTAATAATTTCTTCCTGTTTTCCTACCCTTTTCTCATACTATAGGTCGCTGAAGCTGAAGATAAAACTCCTGGTGGCCTATTGCTTACTGAAACAACAAAGGAGAAGCCGTCTATTGGAACGGTCAGTCACTCAATTTGTTAGTTCTGCTGGATATTTTGTGGTTTTGATCAAAGTTAAGGAGGTAATGATGTGTTGGTTGATTGGTGACAGGTCGTGGCTGTTGGCCCTGGTCCTCTGGATGAGGAAGGCAAGAGGATTCCATTGTCGGTCTCTGCAGGCAGCACTGTTCTATATTCCAAATATGCTGGCAGCGAGTTCAAGGGCTCTGATGGCACGAGCTACATAGTGTTGCGGGTGTCAGATCTAATGGCTGTCCTCTCCTGAATTACCAGGTGCGCTCAGCTGAGCCATCCATCGTACTATGCCCTTTCAGCAACCATCTTTTTTGGAAAATATTGCTCCTGGAGATAACATTAAAGCCACTCGAATCCCCTTTTGTTACACCAAAATTGGGGTGGTGGTATATCATACTGATAAATTATAATGAATGCCAACTTTTTTTGGTTGTTTTCAGCTTTGTAATGATTTATAGAAAAATGGGAGAATAACTCCTAACCTTTGCACCAATCAGGATGCACATATCCATTTATTAATCGTAGACGCTAGAATTTGAACCCTTACGGCACCAATCAATGGTGGGGTTTGGTTGGGAGCTTATTGGGCATAGGGGAACCGGGGGGTTATCGTTGAACTCACTACTTTTTAAGTACCAGGTAGGAGGTGCGAATTGGTAGGGAATTTCCTCTCTTCTGAGATTGAGGGAATGAGAGTACAGGGTTTGGACTTTGGACTGTGGATGTGGGAGTTTTAGGTGGGATTGGGGTGGAGAGTTTGTCCTCTAACTCCCTCGCTTTTAATACCGGGGTGGGGGTGGGAAGAGCCATCCATCATCACTTAAAAAGTCGAACTAAACTTTGTCTCGGAACTAGATTAAGAACAAAAACCAAACTCTTATGACTATCCTGCCATCAACTCCCTCTAAACTCCCCTTCATCTCCTAAGTTACTACCAAATAGGCCCGTGATACTAGCGCTTGGTATGCGTGCTTAAGGTCCCATTCGACATGGATATTTTGTTGGGTTACTTCCTCGATTTTCATTAGTTCCTCGATTTTCATTAGCACGTTTCCTATACTCCTAAATGATGTGTACTTTACAAAAACTTTTCATATTGAAGTTTTTTTTTAAAAAAATCAAATTAATCTATCTTCAAGTACTACCTCCGTTTTTAATAGATGACGCCGTTGACTTTTTCTTACATGTTTGACCATTCGTCTTATTCAAAAAATTTACGTAATTATAATTTATTTTGTTATGAGTTGTTTTATCACTCATAGTACTTTAAGTGTAATTTATATCTTATACATTTACATAAAATTTTTGAATAAGACGAATGGTCAAACATGTGAGAAAAAATCAACGACGTCATCTATTAAAAAACGGAGGAAATATATAATAGTTAGTTAATTATGTGCTAATTATTCACCTGGTTTCACGTGTCACAAATAGCTCAGCTCAAATAGCTGATTCACGTGTCACTATTTGGTGGTGGCCTAAGTAGCCCATAAGTGTTAGCAATGTGTTTTAAGTATAATATTAGAAAGTTTAGCTGGGTAAGGGTTAGCTTATAAGTCTTGATGAGTTAAACCTTTTACACGTAGAAACGATGAACGTGTAAGTGGGGTACGATGTGAACAAAGAACAAAAATCTAACGTGTAGAATGGATTAATGCAGATTTTAGAAGCTAAGTTGAGACTTGAGAATGAAATTGTAAGGGCATGTACAACGGTGTGTAATAACGGATTCTCTTCGTTCCCATGCAAGTAAAATTGATGATGTGGAAGAGAGAGAATGGAGGAAAGGGAAACATAGTTGCTACGCATAACAACGGGTCAGAGTCGACTCTTAACGTTTATTAAAGGAAATTTTGTTACATGGAGGTGGAGAAAAGGAAAGAAGGGTATAAAAAAAATTTTTGGTGCACTAATGATCAAGAGTTCTTGTTGTCTTAACTATTGTAGTAGAATAGTCTCTAAGTGATATGCGTTAACTAAAAGACCATCCATCTTAGACTTTACCTTTGTTCATGCCCTACTACAACACAACTGAAAAATATCGACAAATTTGTACATATCCTATCTAAGCCATCACCATTACATTGTGAATCTTCGCTAAAATTCCCAGAGCACCTTTCATATTCCACCTCTATTCTTGTCCCCTCATTGTCTCACCCACAATCCCATGTATCCTCATGCACCCTCCTTTTTTTTTTGTCCGCCTCACGAACTCCGACCGCGAGCTCTACACGTCTCGACCGACCGAGATACGTGCCGCGACAACTATTCGACAAAGAACCACAAAAACACCAGCGCCGCGGCGCTACCGCGCTTAGCTCTAGCATATGCTTGTAGCACCACATAAACCATCAGTTGCTTGCCGCACGTATCTCGGTCAGGGCCCTGACAAGTGACAAGTCAATCATTCAACATTTTATTTTTCATTTGAATAACAACCATTCAACATTTTGTTCTGAAGTACAACGACTCAACATTTCGAGCTTGTTCAAACCTTAACATTTTTTAGTAATATCAAATTTTGTATTACCAAATTTTATTGTGGTAAAGAAAGGTTTGCGGTCTTTGACGTGAGGCCTTTTCAAATTTCGGTAGAAGTTTACGAGAATTGAAGATTCCAAAATTACCAAAATATGGTAGAGTTGTGTTGAAAACAGTATTCTTTAGTGAACAACCCCTTCAGTTTGTTTGTGCTTGTTCCAACTCATTCTCCTCTTTTTCCACGCAGTGTGTTTTTTTTAGCAAAAAAGAAAATTATAGGAAAGTTGCTTTGAAAAAATCGTATTAACTTATTTTTTAATGTTTTTAGCTAATACTTAATAATTGTATGCTAATCTATTGCTCCCGTATCAGGAGGTGAGTCTCACATAACATAGCCTTAGAGCAAATTTAATAGTATAGCCAACTACTCCAATTATCTATAGTCAATTCATATAATAGTTACCTATAAACATATACTATATCCGTCTTAAAATATAACAACCTAGTATTGGATGGGACATATCGACGACTAGGATGTGATGTGTTCCATCATGTCCCAAATTGTTATATTTTGGGACAGAGGGAGTACTACCCAATTAATACATGATCATACCTATCATATACACATATATTTTGGAATCATGGAGTTCGTCTTGCAGCAGCTGCAATAAATCTGTAGCCCGCTATTTTTCTCTCTCCTATCTTATTATCTTTTTGAAATATATTTATAGCTGGTTATAGGTTATAGTATGCTATTGTTGTTGCTCTTGACTCGCAACTATGCGGAGACACCCGCGCGCTCGTACTACGTGGCCGCAACCGATGGCACGCGCTGGCAGGGTCTCGCGGCCGGAGCGACACGATCTCCTTGGCAGGTAGCAGCAGCAAGCGAGCGAGCCGGCCAAGGCCAAAGCCGTTCGTCAAGCCGGAATCGCACGATCCGTTCCATGGTCGCCATGGCGAGCCGTCTCCACGTACTCCTTTCTCACTACAGCTCCTCGCCTCGCCTCGCCCCGCCGCTTGGGAGGCTGGGAGCCCGACCGACCGACCGCGCGCGAGCCGCGAGGTCAAACCGCTTCCATGCTTTGACTCTCTGACCGTTCTGTGTCGTCTCTGCTGTGCTAGCTAGCTCCAGCCTCCAATTCATTCATGATACAGTACTCCTCCAGGAGTACTCTAGTATGTGTGATTCCAGGCAGCAGCTATATAGCTCTTGAATTCAAAGTTCAAAGTCCATCTATATCCAACTTTATTTTACGGCGGCCAAATCTCGGATCTCCCTGTATGATTATGATCCAAAACTGGTACTACTGCATAGTGACAGATCACTGTAGTATCGAATAAAGGAGAGAGCGATGCATGCGGTGTAGTCAAACAGTATTGATTTTGACAAAAAAGAAAAAATGGATGCGTGCGTAGCCTGGTAACTGTAAAATTATACGACTAAATTTACTGTGAATACTTTATAAGCCGAGTCGTCCTCCGCCTTCTCCCCATCATCTTAGGCTGTCTTCAGGAGGATGGGTTGGGAACTCCTCCCCGACATGCACAACAAAAAAAACATATTATTGCACGATTAATTATGTATTAACTAATTTTTTTAAAAAAAATGGATGAATATGATTTTTTTTAAAATAACTTTCGTATAATTTTTTTTTACAAAAAAACACAATGTTTAGTAATTTGAAAAGTGTGTGCGCGAAAAACAAGAGATGTGAGTTGGGAAAACTGGGATAAGAACTCAACCTTAGTTCCCCACGTAAAAGGTTGTTAGTAAAAAGACCACCGCACCTAAAGATTTGTGTTTCCAGACAAAAATCAACTAGTATAATTTCAATCTTGCAGTAACTTTTTTATTATTTTTTAGAGAAAAATATTGTTTACCCGGCCTTTACATCTAATCGGATATATGCAGCCATTTAAGTTGAGAACTTAGTCCCACAAACAATCCAATATAAAATTCGCTCATATATAGATTTAAACTTAGGACTTTTGGATGCTACTCAGGTTATTACGACCGCTAGGTTACATGCTTTTTTTATGGTCTCGTGGTAACTCATAATGCATGAACATGACACTAATAACTTCAAAGGAATAATAAAGTATCGTGGCTCAAATTAACCACGTATAATTAACTCTGAAAGGAAAAAAAATTGTCACTTTCTAGGGAGTATCTTGAGGTAATAAAAAATATACATGTCCGTTAATTCCCAATATACTATGGAGTAATAGAATATCATAAATAAATAAATATGAATGTGCCTTAATTTTACATTAGACTTCCTTTATTTCTAAATAATTTTACATTAGACTTGATCCATGTTACTCCCTCTATTTCTAAATATATTTTTTCTAGATTATTTAATAAGTATTAAGGTTAAGCAAAAAAATATTATCTTTTAGTTATCTTATTGATTAATTTTTGAAATTTTAATTGCTTGGATTCCCCTCACACCCAATTGTATTGGAATCTGTGTCACCAAGATGTTTATATCGTGTACTTTGTCCATTCAAAATTCTAAGGCAGACATAAAAAAAAAATCTAAAGTATGTTTTATTTTTTGTTTTTTAAATGAGATGGACATATTTGTAATCTATATGTAGTAAATTAAATTAGTCATCTTAATACTAATTGGTTAGATGTATGCATATAATTTATTGGTTTTATCAGACGAGTTAATTTTATTTTTATCTTGATGAAAAGAAATTCAACCAGTCAATCGAGTAGATTGCATTAAGGATCATATTAGTCACATGAGCTAACTATTCCACTTTACCTATTTGACCCATTCTTACTGCTGACGGATCCAGTTTACTTAGCCCAATCATCATGCGGTGCAGTGCCAGAAAGGTGCTAGTAGGGAATCCACTTTTGTTCTTTAGGTTTCATTCCGACCTGTCGGAACTCAGGGTTGTTGCCACACCACACGTTATCAAAGAAAAACTGGTATCGGAGGGGCCATGGATATCCGGTGCACCCCAATTCTCTTATTTCTTTTAACTCCACTTTCATATAATTTAAAAAATAAACCAATCAAAACTTACTATTAAATCTAAAACCTCTTGTTCATGTCATCCTCGTTAGTGACAACACAATCTTACCTAAAAGAAAGACTTTGGCGTGACAACAATGAAAAATATTTGACTAGCATAGGTGGTGCGGCTAAAAAGGTTGTTTTCAAAATACATATTGTAGTGTTTATTTTTTATATTTAAATGAGACAGGTTAAAAAATAAAATAAACTGCAGCCACGATCATGAGCAATGCTTTAATTTTGCTCGCGCAACTTAAGAACAAAGGACAGCGGTCAAGATTCATGGATGAATGGCGATGAATTGTTTGACGGAAATCATTTTGTGCTGGAGTAGTAGTACGTGAAGCATATCTGGTAGTAGTAATTTGGTAGCATGGATGTTCATTAATCCAGTGATATTTTCAACACGGAGGTGATTTGCAGTTGTAGAGACATGTTCTTCTTTAACAATGCACTTGTGCCTTTGTATCAAGAGAGTAAGAGACACATTTTGTGCAGTTCATTTTGCATTAATACACATTTTCTCTTCAGGATTTGCTATTTCACTTGCGATATATTTAGGTTCGTATCTTTCACTTTTTCATTCACAAAATCTTGCATCAAGAATTATATTCTTATATATCAACTTATAGTACAATCAGTTACGCAGCACTTACACGCAATTACGGTGTATCAAAATTAGATTTTACAATGGGTTTTTCTGTAGATTTACGATTTTTGACATGTTTATTTTTTATTGTATTTAAAATGGGTTATATCCATTGGTCAGAAAAATTTATAGGTAATCCCTTCTCCTTAATTTGCCCGGTACATGTTCCATCCACTATTCAGAAAATAATCTCATTATACTAAAACAGAGTGCCTCAACAGTTGATGATAACAACATACTTTCTCCGTTTCATATTATAAGACTTTTTAACATTGCTCACATTCATATATATGCTAATGAATCTAGATATATATGTATGTCTAGATTCATTAACATCTATATGAATGTGAGCAATATTAGAAAGCCTTCTAATCTGAAACGGAGGTAGTAACTAATAATTATGCTATCATAACATAATTTTTGTCTTTAAAAAAGAGTATATCGAATAAAGACAAAAGGCCCACCGGCCGATATATCTAGTAGAATCCAAGTTAGGATCGAAATCAACCTCAACCTAGTCGTAGTAGCATCGCCTCGCTAAGCTTTGGTTGCTGGCTGACACCTTGCACGTCGCCGTCCGACGCGCCATGGCGAGTCAACGCGTCGCACCCGACGACGCATGGCGACGGTATAAGTAGCCGAGGCGACCCCGCCAGGATGATCCAGCAGCAAGCAAACCCAAAGCCACCATCAACACAGCACGTACACGTACGTGCAACGTCACTGCATGATGTCATCGTCGTCGCCGGTGGTGGCGTCACCGCCGGAGATGGAGAAGAAGTACAAGGGTGTGCGGCGGCGGAAGTGGGGGAAGTGGGTGTCGGAGATCCGGCTGCCCAATAGCCGCGACCGCATCTGGCTGGGCTCCTACGACTCGCCGGAGAAGGCGGCGCGGGCGTTCGACGCCGCCTTCGTCACGCTCCGCGGCCACGGCGCCGCCGGCGCCGACCTCAACTTCCCGGACTCGCCGCCGTCGTGCGACGCCCGCAGCAGCGACCCGCGGCAGGTGCAGGCCGCCGCGCTCTCCCACGCCAACCGCGCCCACGTCACGCCGCAGCAGGCGGCCGCGGCGCTCATGTCGCCGCCCTCGCTGTCGCCGCCGCCGGGGTTCGCCACCGGCAGCGAGGTGGTGGCGCCCGCCGTGCGCGCCGACGGCAGCATCGACTGGCGCCCGGTCATGGCGCACCCGCCGCCGCTGTACTCGCCGCCCGGCTGGGGCGGCGGCCATGCCTACGACTTCTTGCAGCCGCCGCCGCCGTCGCCGCCGTTGCCGTCGTGCGACGACGACATGGTCGACGTCGTAGATGAGAGCAGCGCTTCGCTTTGGAGCTTTGACACGCGAGACTCCTACTTCCGATACTAATTACATGCATCGATTAATGCATTATGCATGGGATCAGCTGGCATTGATGGTAGCTTAGCTGCCCCACACACACACAAATTCATTAACTAGAATAGACGGCCATTAATTTAGTTTCTACACGTTCGAAACGTTTTTTCAAAGAATTAACGATATTTTGCGATGGTCGTGTGCATATGTCTTGCATGCTAAATGGTATCTTATTCAAAGCATTATGGGTAAATAGTACTCACCAATATGAAAAGTAGTGAGGCAAGTTTTGTCAGTAAGGTTATATATGCAGAAATGTTCATTGTATTTTAACTCCCCTTTTAGGGAAAAAAATGTTTTAGGGGGGGTAGTTGAGGTTGTGCTTAATTACTTAATTTGATGTATGTGATCTGATCTGCACGCACATCACACACTGCAAAATGAGCTCAGGCTTATTAACATGTCTATTTCATGAGCTAAAGCTTTGATAAAAAGCCTTCATGTTCTTCTAGCAGCAACTTGTCACATAGGCAAATTTTAAAGACGTCATTTTCAAGCATGTGACATTTTGCAAGGTAGAACTGGAATATACAATGATCCAACTGGGCGATGTGATATATACAACACAGTATATCAGTTCGGTGTCGCAATCGGGGTTTACACTTTTGTTTTTCACCGAAATTCCAGAAATTTCGAGGTCACCGAAATTGACCCCAAAATTTCTGTAGTTTCGGAACATTTTACACAAAATTATTTAGAAATTTAATAAATTTTGAAGAAAAAAGAGAATTTCGGGTGAGATATTTGCATGCTGGAGGGTAGCGAAAAATTGCAATCACTAGTCGGTGACGGATAGTCCCAATGGATAATTTACGGATAGTGCCGAATACGGAAACGGATACGGATAGTTTTTTTTTAAAACGGAAATGAATATGGTAGGACTAGCATCCGATGGATATCGGAAAATGTTGGGAACTATCCGCAGTTTTATCCGGATATCCGTACGTAGGGATCAATTTTTTTTAAAAAAGTATATATACATAAATTAAGGATCTCTCAAGGAAGTGAAAAATCATTTTTACATGTGGGTTAAGAATCAACTATAAAAATTAATTTTCACAAATGTTTATGGAACCGTGTAGGTAATTGACCATATAGAATTTAGAAATGTTGACTTATTATTTTAAAAAAATAACAAGCAATATCTTTTTCATTGATTCAGAAAACCCAATTAGAGGGGTTTTTTATATTCCGATAAGTAATCATTGCTATATTCGTTTTGTTTCGTAGTCGCTCCATATCTTTATTCGATAATATTCGATTTTATTTTTATATCGATGTTTTTATCCTAATTCCAATTAAAAAATGAAAACGAATACAAATAGCTAGTTTCCGTGTGTTTCCGATCTTTTTTGTTCCTACTAGTCGCAATAGTTCAACTCTTCAATCCATTGATCAAGAGGTGAAAAAGACACAGTAATCTTTTGTCTCAATGCGTGACAATCGGAAAAAGCTATAGAAAGATGCTGCGGTCCATATATCAGTGACACAAGGAATTAAGGATCTATGCCAGACAGTGAGATATGAGCACAAATGGAATTAAGGAGTATTTAATTAAATTAACTCGGAAAAATGAGATGTAGCATCTTTTATGACATGATGGTGACTTGCAAATTTAAACGTTCACCCACTTCTACTTCTTCACGGCAGTGGCCACAGCACGAGACACGTTGATAAAACCGTATGTAGGGCCCTTTAAAACACGGGATACAATAAAACTGAACAGAAAAAACTCCCTCTATTTTTTAATAAATAATTCCATTGACTTTTAAATATACATTTGTTTTATTTAAAAAATGTATAATGTATAGGATATAAATCATGCCTAAAATACTTTGAGTGATTTAACAACTCACAACAATAAATTATTATTACATATATTTTATGAATAAGACGAATGATTAAACGTGTGAAAAAAATCAGCGTCACATGTTTATCTAATTTTAGAGAAATATCTAATTTTAGAGAAATGTAAAATACATGTACGTCAAATAGTATCCCTTTGGTACATCACCGGAAACAAATAAAGCAAATGATAGTTTCTATGAGGTTGGACCTCTCACTTATTTTCCTATAAAACTAAGTCGTAAGAATTTAGTTTTGTAAAAGAATTTCTATTCTTTCCTATGAATGAAATGATTATGTAGGAATTTTTCTTTTGAAAAATTAAATCCTCCAAAATTCATATTACAATCCTCAATGCAAAGGAGCCCAGGGTAGCTTCTTCATCAGCTTCATCACTGTCAAAACGTAAAACAAACACACGCTATTACACATGATGAAAAAACATAGCATTAGGTAAACTAAGGCGACTATGGTAACTACCGTTGCCTCACATTTTGTATTAAGATGACTAAGTTTTGTCTTATCACATCTTTTGGCAAACAAAATAATAAGAGTGAAATACATAGGCCGGTCCTTAAATTTATGGGGTGGTGTTACTTAGCTCCGTGAACTTGAAAATTGCACGTTTAGATCGGTAAACTTGGTTTAATGTACCATCCCCGGTCCAATCGTCGTTTGACTACGTTTGATCGTCCACGTAGGCAACACTTTTGTGCTCAGGCCCCTCCACATATACCTTCGAACATAACTTGCCCTGACCAATGCATTTCAACCCAAATCTCCCAAAATATCCCTAAATCGGTTAGGGTTTCAACGGTTATATTAACGGAAGGAGGCCGAGAGGTAACAGCTATGATGACCTCGACAATGAGATTAGTGGCAGGAGGCAGCGCAGTGCAGCAGGGTTAGTGGTGGCACAGTGCGGTCGGATTAGCAATGGGAGGCAGCGCAATGCGGCTTGCACGCTAGGTATCCTGATTCTCCAAGCTTGTCCTCTTCTTGAAGTCGCCGGAAGAAGGTGTTGTTGATCAAGAGCCCGTTATGCAATGATAAGGTCATTTTGGAGCGCAGAGCAATGGCAATTGCTAATCAGGACCGCATTTTCTACACATGCAAGGAGAAGAATAATATGGAGATTTGAGGATTTTTTTTTTTGGATTCTGGTGTCACTATATAGCTACAAGGAGATATATGCGACGTGTTGTGAATTGTGATGTGGAGGGGGCTAAGAGCAAAAGTGTTGCCTACGTGGCATGCTACGTTGGCGGTCAAACGCACTCAAAGGACGTTTGGACCGAGTTGGTACATTAAACCAAGTTCACGGATCTAAATGTACAAGTTTCAAGTTCACGGATCTAACTGACACCACAACACAAATTTAGGGACCGGCCATGTATTTCACTCAAATAATAAACTAAGCTTAGAAAAAAAATAGACAAGAAATATTGTGTATGACATGTGGGCCAGGTGATTAAAATTTAGATAAAATAGAGTTATGATATAAACCAACACTATCTTCTGAAAGAAGTGTGGTTTACCTAAAGCGACGTGTGACAAAATTAGTTGCTAACCAAATAGCGCTAATACTTCTCTTCAAGCGTCCAAATTAAGATTTCAAATCCGTGCATGCACTTGCTGCCGCAACGCAATAATCACAGCAACTTTTGGTAGTACTTGTGCAGAGTTCAGTTAGGCCCGTTTAGTTCGTGAAATGAAAATTTTTAGGTGTCATATTAGACGTTTGACCGGATATCGAAAGGGGTTTTTGGACACGAATAAAAAAACTAATTTCATAAATCGCATGGAAACCGCGAGACGAATGTTTTGAGCCTAATTAATCCATCATTAGTACATGTGGGTTACTATAGCACTTATGGCTAATCAAGGACTAATTAGGCTCAAAAGATTCGTCTCGCAATTTTCCCCCTAACTATGCAATTAGTTTTTGTTTTTATCTATATTTAATGCTTCATGCATGTGTTTGAAGATTCGATGTGATGTTTTTGAAAAAAACATTCTGGAAACTAAACATGGCCTTAATTAGAAGATCAAACATGCATGCATGCACGGGAATGTTTTTTCAAAGAAAGGAGATAGGAATAGGATGTTTGTCTTTCTGACTGTCAACGAACTAACAAAGTAACAATGACACTTTCCTCTGCACTTGATACTGCCATTTCTCGACCATGTGAATGGCGTGTGCAAATTACCATCTGAGCACAACACGTGTATAATAAGTGTCAGCAAATGGGCAAATTACCATGTCAGCAAGTTTACTTTTAGAGTAATTAAAACATTTATACTTCTATTCTTTATGGCCCAAAAGCGAAGCCTAAAAATAGAAAACAATAAAATAAAAAAAACCCAAAATTAAGTTTCAAGTTTAAATTATAGTCGTGGCTTATAAGCCCTACCCAATTCCCTATTTTTTGTCAGAAACCAAAAGAGATGTGAAAAAACCCAATTAACATGAAAACAAGAGATATCTTATTTTATTTTATGCATAGGATCTAAGGCTGAGTTATTATCTCAGTTTTTCTAACTCACATATCTCGTTTTCCGCACGCACGCTTTTCAAATTGTCAAAAGGTGTGTTTTTTTGTAAAAAAATTCTATACAAAAGTTGATTTAAAAAATCATATTAATCTATTTTTTTAAAAAAAAATAGTTAATACTTAATTAATCGAATACTTAAAAAAAATCCGTTTTACGTGCCGGGGAACACACCCTAAATCTATACTACTTTTGAAATAGTAGTGGTGGCAGTACCACCCCACGGTCCACTATCAACTCCCTACTTTTGTTAAAGGGTTAATTGGATCCATGCCACTGCAAATGTGGCAAATCAAAAAAATGCCACACATATTCGCGTTATCGGCTGGATGCCACTGCAAATTTTTAAAATAAGAACCATGCCACTCCATCATGATTTCCGTCCAATCTGTCACATTTTCCGCCGTCTCCGTCTTCATCTTCTCGTCGTCCTCGTCTCAACGGCAGCACCAGCACGGCAGTACGAAGGCAGGCGCGGATGGCAGCACGGCAGCACGGTGGCGGATGGCAGCACGGCACCGGCGACGGTCGTGCCAGCGTCCGCTCCCCGCGCCCCTCCGTGACCTCCTCGCCGACTTCCTCTCTCTCCACCACCGTTGCAGCCGTCGTCGTTGACCATCTCCGCGGTGGACCCACCGCCCTCGCCGTCGTCGACCTTATCTGCGCGGGAGAGCTCGGGAGTCGCCGCCGCCATTGTTGTCCTCGTCGTGGTCATCGACGAGCCGCACCGCCTCTGCCCAGATCTGGCGAGGAGGGCCGCTCGTCGTTGCTACCGATGGAGGAGGCGTCGACCCTCGAGCTCCGCCGCCGTTGGCCCCAAGCTTTGTCACTGGTGCTGCCGACGCCCATCTCCTCTCTCCACACGACCATCCTCGGCAGCAGCTGCGCACCCTCCGCGACCTCCCCGCGAGCGTCCTCGGTGGCGGCGGCGGCCTCGCTCACGACCGTCCTCGGCGGTAGCAGCTACGCCCGCGCCCGCCTTCACGGCCATCCTCGGCAGTAGCTATGCCCCCTTCCCGACCTCCCCGCGAGCGTCCTCGCCGGCGGCGGCTACGCCCGCGCCCGTCTCCGTGACCGTCCTCGGCAGCGGCCATGCCCCTCCGCGACCGTGCTCGTCGGCGGCGGCTGCAGCTGCGCCCTCTCCCTGCGCTTGCGACTGTCCTCGCCAGCGGCAGCCTCGTTCTTGCTAATCGCCTTCTCCCCGTGCAGACGTGAGAGAGAGAGAGGAGGATGACGTCGTGAGAGAGGAGGATGAAAATAGTGACAGGAGTGGCATGGTTCTCATTTTAAAAATTTGCAGTGGTATCTAGCCGATAACGTGAATATGTGTGGCATTTTTTTGATTTGCCATATTTGCAGTGGCATGGATCCAATTAACCCTTTGTTAAAAGATAAAAGGATTGTAGTCCTAAAGGGAACACATGTCAATCACCTCTACCATCCAACTCTTTTTTTAAGAAAAAAAATGATGTAAGGCTAGATGGTCCATATATCAGTACTTTCTCTGTTTCACGATGTAAGATTTTCTAGCATTGGCTACATTCATTTAGATGTTAATGAATCTAGACATATGCATGTGTTTAAATTCATTCACATCTATATGTATGTGTGCAATGGTAGAAAGTCTTACATTATAAAACAGATGGAATAACAAATATATGTATAAATTAATACGTGATATATAAAAAAAATATGGTAATAGCGGGTTAATGATCTGTTGCAACGCATATGCAATATGCTAGTGACTACCAAAATTTAAACAAAAGATTATTGTATCACATATTAGCTCACAACAAACACTACATATGTAAGGTCAAATTCGGTCCATGGATGAACAAAGAAATCCAATGTCAAATGCTCTCACTTTTTCAGTTTGTTTATTTTTCTCGAGTTATAAATCAAATTCAATCTTACATGATAATCTATGTTGACTAGCTTTTTAAGAGTATTTTTTTTCTTAGCTACTAGAAAGTATGAAAGGAAGTGCTATCAAGGTTCTGGGGAGCTGTTTATCATGCAATATAAATGCATGGTCACTACCTGGTTGGTCACATAACTGTAACACGGAGTCACGTACTGTTATTAAGAGTAGTCCTCGTCCCTTGTGAATTTGGAGGTACAGCTTGGAGAATTCTTCTGACTTTTGACGGGTCAATCCTCATGTAAGAGTTGTCAACTTGTCACCGTCACCGTCTGATCATGAGATCTCACGAACGTCCACTTGCAAAGTTACTTGCCTTGAATGGGAAAAGGCCGTGTTAAGTTGTTTTCGCAAAAAAAATTAACCTACACGGACACGCATTTAAAGTATTAAACGTAGACTAATAACAAAATAAATTACAGATTCCGCATGTAAACAGCGAGATGAATCTATTTAGCCTAATTAATCCGTCCTTAACAAATGTTTACTGTAGCACCACATTGTCAAATCATGGCGTAATTAGGCTTAAAAGATTCGTCTCGTAATTTACATGCAAACTGTGCAATTGATTTTTTTTTCTACATTTAATACTCCATACATGTGTACAAATATTTGATGTGACAGAAAAGTTGTAAGGTTGAAAGGAACTAAACACAGCCAAAAATAATGTGCCATTCTCTCTCTTTGCAGGATATGATGCACTGCGAGCATATGGAACATTTTTTGCAAACACAAGGAAACATGGTAGAAGGGATATGTTTAAGGCATTTTATAAGGAATTTATGAAAACTGAACTAAATTCTGTGAAAACCGTAGAAATCCATATGTTTTATGGAGAGCTCGCTCCAAGTTTGGCGTCCTGGCATGGCAATAAAACGTGTGCGTGTAACGAACGGAAAGGCGAAATTTTTCATGAATAATTATGGCACACAAGAAATGTATAGTCTTGGGTTTACTATCTTGAGCCTCCTTAGCTTTATATATAGTTAATTATTAGACAAGTGCCATAAATTTCCTGAGAGTGACACTTAGCTAACACACCTGACAGTCTTGAGACAAAGAACCGAAGGATCTCATTAAGAAAAACAGGAAAAAAAAAGAAAGGGATTTGCACGGCACGCGTTTGGATAGACTATAAAATTGTACCTTTTTCTATGGACCACGAGCACACATGCAATGCACAAGCAGCACAATGCGTACAAACCTACCTCACAGAAGCTTCTCTTCTACCTCTTGGCTTCGCTGATCGATCAAGCTTGTGTTAATTGCTAACAATGTGATGGTCCTGCTTATAAATCATGGTACAACCGATTAATATGAAGATCCACCTGGGAGCATGATCACCTTTTGTCTTGTGGAAGAAATCAATTTGCTTCATTGTTCCTTCGGAAGCTCAGAAAAGTCAGCTGACACATTCAGAGATCAGACAACTCGTTTCTTAAAGTGAATAGTCCTGTTACAGGTCTTTCCAATGAGTTTGATACGGGAAAGCAAAAGAAATTACGTGTGGTCTGACCTCACAGGTGAACGTGATTCACAACTGCTTGATCATGGTGCAGTGTTTGATCCAAATGGTTTTGAACCATGGAAATTTTTTTTCCCAGAAGCTGCAAAAACAGCGCAAATAGGGTAAGTGAAAGTGATGTTTACAGAACAGTGGTGACATCTCTCTAAGATTTAAGAAACCTTTATGTTGACATTGCAAGTACGTAAACCATTATTATTGTAACTAATGGACTAAGTGTTGTTTGTTAAACAATATATAGCAATGAACTCACTTTTTAGTTTTCAAGCATTGGTTCTGAACTTCTAGTTGATTCCGTTGACAAGTCTACAGGCTGCAGAAACCAGCAGTGGCAGTACAATGATCAGCACGGCAACAGTGATAAGAGAATAAGAATAAGAGCACATGTTTGTAAATTTATGTGGTTGTTGATGTGTGGGATCTAATAACAGCGATAGCCATGAAGGACCTTATCTGTTTGTACTACAAAGATTGGCATATCCCCAGCTATCTGAATCCCTGACTCTGACAGTTACTTGCTACACAATACCTATCAATCTCTCAGAACCACAAAAACATCTAGTAATATCTATCCATGGTGCTCCTCTTTCACAAATTGATAAAGATGTGTAGTACTTGTTAAGAACAGAACGAATTGGGAACAAGAGTGGCCATAAGTAGATAGAATGATGGTATGGGTGACTTACACTTGGCTCAGGCTGAGAGCAGGAAAGATTTGGTTCCCTGTCCTCAGAAAAGAAAGTTCACCACTTCCTCAAGCTCTGTCCAACCTTGCTTCATGATTGATCTCTTGTTCACAGCTTTCACTCCTGAACTCCTTGTCATGTAACCATGCAGCTTCCACTGTAAAAAGGAAACTTGAAAGATAAATTTATAAAGTATGGTAGTAAATAAAAATAAAATAAAAATGTAACTTAAACACACTTTACTTTCCAGCCGTCTAGCTCCACCAAGAGTCCAGGTCTGAGGGAGGTGAAAGTGAAAAAAGAAAAAGAGAGCAAAGGTACAAAAACTTTTGCCAAAATTCATACCACTCTGACAATTGACATCATCAAGCACCGATAAAACAATAATTAACATCTTTTACTTTCAGTTGGGCAGGGATGGTGAATGGCCAAGTGTATTTCTAAGATTGCAAGGTTGTATTACATGTTTGGCAGCAAGAACAAAATGCTGGTGGACAAATGAAATGAGAGATACAATTAGCCACTGCATTCAAACCTATGAAGAGGTGAATCTCCTATGTATATACAGTTCTAATCTCAAAAAACACAGAAAGACTAAAAGAACAAAAATGAGGATGGGAATGCCACCCATGTTCTGCTGTTAGCCTTAGCCACCTATATCATCATATGTCATAATCAACTTCCGTGCTGTTTACCATTGCTGCACGCTTAACAAGCTGCCCTTGCTCATTGTAGAGATCCAAATTCTCGCATGGTTTTGGAAACACTGACCCGATGACACGCCCCTCAATGAAGGAACACTGGAAAATATGTTTCTTCTTGTAGCTGATGCCGATAGACATGTCCTGAAAGCTGATGTCCTTGATGGGAATGTCACTGCTGCCATGAGCACGGACTGGCACCCGGACACCTCGCCCATGTATTTCCTTGAATGATATGTTTGTGATGTCTGGAAAGGCATCCCGGTCATACCCATCATCAGCGTGCTCATTGTAGTCAACCTTTATCACAATACCAGCACGGACATTGTCGAAGGTTATGTTGCGATAGGAGATATCGCGGATGTAGCCCCCTCTTCCTATGGCAGTCTTTATTCTCAAACCTCGCCGTGACTCCCAAATGCGGACATCCTCCACTGTAACATTTGCAATCCCACCAGACATCTCACTGCCAATTGAAATTCCAGCACTGCACACACCAAGACAACTGTTGTAAACCTTACCTGTAATACTCTATATTCAATTCAAAAGAACTTAAAAGTTAATCCTAATTTAATAGTTTCTTTCTCATACCATTTTATCTTGAGCAGGATTTGAAAAAGATATGCAAAGAAATATTTTAGATGAAGCAATGCAGCCAAAAATGACTCAACTGTTACCTGACCAATGAACGAGCCATTACATTGCGTATCACAATGTTACGAGATGGGCGCCCATATGCAATCCCATATTGATCCCACCCACTCTTTACCGCTATGGCATCATCACCAACTGAAATGTAGCAATTCTCAATAAGCACATCCTGACAAGAATCTGCATACAGCTATATGTCAGCATCACCAAATAAAAAAAATGACTGTCATTGATAACAGAAACAAACCTAGATGGTATAACAAGAAGCTGAAATTATGCAGGATGATTGGAAATTACTGAAGAAAGGTTCGTATGATTACCTGGATCTATGCCATCTGTGTTTGGAGCACTAGAAATAGGAGCTAAGATAGTAACATTAGAAACAGTTATATTCGTGCAATCATATGGGTGGAAGTGCCAGAAAGGTGAATTCTTCAATGTTATATTTGCAACAATAATGTCCTTGGACCACATCAGCTGCAAAAGAGGAGGTCTTGTATTATTCAGTATCCTTCTGCGATGCTTCATCCACCAAACTTCACCCTGTCCATTTATGCTACCGTTGTGTCCTATTCAACAGAGAAAAAATAGGGAGCATGTGAAAGTTAAATAACTATCATCCAGTGAAGAAGTGATACAGAAACACCAAATGCTCTATTAGTGCAAGGATGAGAACCAAATGCATACTGGAATCTCTATAGTACAAGTGTTTCCATTACAGTGGACTTGCATATTATACTTAGCAAAGTATCAGTAAGGAACACAACAACAAGAGAATAAGAGTGTTTTAACTTTTTATTTATTTTTTACATGAGCAGGTAGTGCGATTATGCATACTGAAAGAAAGTTCATTCAGACCAGGGGATAAAAATGGGTTAAACAGTTGTTTTATGTCACCATAACATACTGCCAAGTAGGAGAAGTTTCCATCATTAAATTGCTTAAAATTCACACCATGCACTTCTGTCACTGATGTTGCTTAATTCACAATTCTACGACTACATCATTAGGTGGTGTAGTTTATTCAGAAAACACTTCAAACCTGTAATGACTACATCTTTCAAATTTTGTCCATGAATGAGACTTCCAAAGCGAGGTCCTTTCCTCTCCCTGCCATACCCATAAGACGGCAATGCAGGCATGAGCGGCCAATACCTCTCGTCCTGCCATGGAAACATAAGGAATCGGTACACCTGTCAATCAATATATGCAGCTCTGCGCATGCATCTGAGATATCACAGCATGTTTTCAAAGACCTTAATTAGATAAATTATACAACCAGGACAGAATTAGCAGATAGGTGAAAACTAGATCATCCAATTTCCACCCTTTTCCAAATTTCAATAACATTGATATCACTTGAGACTTCAGTCTCAGCAACACATAAGACAGAAACAAATTATCCATTCATACCATTGATTTCTTTAGCCATGAAGCCAATAAGCAAACTCACTTTTATTCAGCTATATGCTTACCCGATCAAAACCACTCAAAAGAACTAATTTTTGAACTTCACGAAAAGACTATGAATGCATTGCAAAATTAACAGCATCACTCCAGTTCTATTCTACGGCGTGAGGTACGAGGTATCTTTCTTTTTCCTTTTTTTTTTTTTTTTTGCGGGGAAGGTATGAGGTATCTCACCGGAATGCCAAGGATTTCTGAGCCCTCGGCAAGAAATAGCGTCATGTGGCTGGTCAGGTTGAACGGCGCGGTGAGCCATCGGCCGGGAGGCACATTGAGCTGCCCTCCGCCACGCTCCGCGAGCGCCGCGATGGCCTTGACGGCGCGCTCGAACGCCTCGGTGTTCACCGCCCGCCCGTCCCCGACGCCGCCAAAATCCGTCAGTTCGTACGCCTTGGGGCGCAGCAGCGGCGCCGGGCGCGACGGCGGCGGCGGCGGCGCCGACCGCAGCCTGAGGAACCCGCCGCCCCCGCCGCCGCCGCCGACCGATACCTTGGCGCTCTGCCACAGGAACACCAGCGTGAACCCGATGACCCACGCGGCGGCGAGCAGCGTCTTGTTGGCCGCGAGGAACGCGGCCACGCTCCGCCGCTGGCCGTGGGGGTGGAGCCTCCCGCCGCCGCCGGACGTCTCCACCATTGCGCTGTCCCCGATGCCGGAGGCGAGATCTCCCGATCTAGGGCACGGCGCGCGGCGAGGCTCAGATCGATCGGTAGGGCAGGACGCGGCGAGCTCGGATTCCGCGGATTGGGGCGGAGGCAAGGGGCGCAGGGTCGGGGATTTCCGCCATTGGAGGAGTTGGTGGTGGGGTTTATAAGTGGAGGGAGCCTTTCGAGTGAAGTGGAAGCGAGAAAGATGTGGGCTTTTTGCGGTGCGGTTGAGGGGAAGAAGATGATGAGAATTACCACACTGCCATCACGTCACGTGGGCTGCTTCGTGCCGTAGGATTTAGATCGGACGGTGCGTATTTTATCTCCTCGGAGGATGTTTAACTACTTACCCACAGGAGTCCAGAATCCACATAATTTAGAATTTTACAGAGGGAGTTTTTCTGCAATTTCCTTATGAAATCATGCGATAATAGTGAGCCATTTTAGGTTATGTTTTTTTTCCAAATATAAATTAACCAAGATGTTCAGCCGGCCTCCTTTTTCTCCATAAAAATATTGTAGTGTGGAAGAGAAAATCGAAAGGCAGGAACTTTAGTCGGGCCTTTTCTTTCTCTTTGCCTTGTCAATGGGCAACCCAGTCATCCTGTTCTTGTTATACTCCACTTTTCCACAAAGCTGATGCAAAAGACATATATATTCTTCTTTTTCTCCCCTTATGCTAGCTACTACTTCCGTCCACGAATACAAGTATGTGCGAGTTGTTTAGCAAATATTAAGATTTAGAATAAAATACTTTGGTATTCCTCGTTAAAGAAAATATGGTCAATAGTAGGAGGGTGGTAAGATAAAAAAAGAGAGAGAAATGATTAATAAAACAAGTCGTTTATGAAATATTTATATTATAGACCGATATATTTTAAGATTGACGAAGTACACTTTTCACTTAAAGATTATTAGCGATCAATGTGAGCAACTGTGTCAAGTCTAGGATTTGAATCCAGATGAATTGGTTTTACAAAAAAATCATTTATATTTATGAATAAATTTCACACGCTTCGTATACTTATATTTACAAAGAGGGAGTAATAATCAGCTAGATTGGCCGCTGGCTGTTAGCTAGGACTAACACACACTATCTATACCCATACTCTTCTCCAGTAGTACATATCATGAGGCGATGGTTAGGTGCGGTAGCTGGTGATGAGCAGCGTCACCAATTCTTCCTGGACGCCGATCGATCGGTTTTGGCGTAGCAGTCACTACTCGTTGCTCTGATCTCTCGCCGGATCGGAGTTAGCTAGCGTTTGGTGAGACGTGTCTCTCGTTAGGCGAATAAAGGTGGGATATAGCTCATCCATCAGTTGCAGCTGTGTTCCAGTATTGCAAAGATCAGATGCCTGTGCTTTGGATCATATATATGTTCTGAAGATCTGATCTGATCTGATCACTTAGAGCACCTAATTGCATCAATTCAGATGTAATTGCTGCATCAATGCGCCCGTGTCGGTGGGTTATGGAGATGATTATAGTTAATGCAACAAGAACTGCTTAATTACTCATCATCAACAGTAGCTTAGCTAACTAAGTACCGATTTGATGTAATAAGTTTCACTTCGAAATTAAATCAGGGGTAAAGAATTCCATAGTTTTCTACTTAAGTTAACGCCAACTTACAAGCGATGTTGGAAAGTTGATCGAATTGGTAAATCAAATGTCTCTAAATTCTCTCCATTGAGGGATCTAAAGTGAACTTATTCCCATCGATGCAGCAGAGACGGCAAGTTTCGGCCCATTTATAAAGCCCATATGGGGATCCAACCCAACTCCCGTTGCTTTTTGTTGGACCCACTTGGTGGGAACGGCCTGGCACTACGTGGGCCGTGGCCCATAGGAAAGGGAAGTGTGTGCCTCGCAAGCCTCGTCGTCTCTCTCCGGCTCGCCGACTTCGCTCGCCTTCCTGCCGTCGCCTCCGGTGCCCTCTGCTGCTGCTGCCGGCGCGTGCGCCACCGCAGCGGCGCCATCGCCGTCGCCGTCGCCGCTGACCTAACGTAGGTACGCCTCGATCTCGATGTCTCCACCGCCACTCCCCGAACCCTACGGACTCCCTCCCAATCACGCCGCCGGGGTGGCCCGCCTCGATGCCTCCCACCGTAGTGGCGCGCCGCTGGGTTCCGATTTGACTGGCTGCGAGCAAAGCTAAGAGGGTGATGGGGTTGATACGCATCTCGGTTGGTTTGGCTGTGCTTGCGCGATTTCTCTGTCTAACGGGTCCTGACTCCTGCGTTGGTACATATATCGGGAGATGTGGGTGTGATCACCCGTTGCGATTTTTTCATGATTTATTTGTTTACCGACCACTCGAATCAGAGTATCACTTGTGTTGGACCAAATCTATAGTATCGATTAGCTGCGGATTTAGCATATTGTTTGTATCGTGATCGTTGTGACACTATAATGGCTATGACATGCTCTTCTTCTTCTGATGATTTCAATGGTTCAGCTGAAAAATGAAGAGACAACTTCCCATAAAAGGTGCATCGGGGGCCTCGGGATCTGGGCATGGAAAGAAAGCTCCTCAGGAGCTGGAGAACGTCTTGAAGCAACATTTCGGATATTCAGGCTTTCGAGGAAAGCAACTAGAGGCTATAGAAGCTGTTCTTTCAGGTGCTCTTCCCGTCTGTGTTTGTGCTTGTAGTCTTTATTTCTTTTTAGTTTTGCTGAATATTTCTGGTCAAAAGAACTTTTGTTGCTGATCACTGAAGTATGCTGTCTGAAACTTTTGTGCACCATGGATTCTATTAATGTAACAAGCAATTTATTTCTAGGAAGGGATTGCTTTTGTTTGATGCCAACTGGAGGTGGAAAATCAATGTGCTATCAGATTCCTGCTCTAGTGAAGTCAGGCATTGTTCTTGTTATCTCACCCTTGATAGGTGAATTGATCCACCAAACTTCAGTTATTTCCAGAAAAAAATAGTACTTGACAAATGTGCATATACTAATAGCTTCTTGATATGGTTGAAAAATCTGCTGCTTAGCACTAATGGTAAGCTGTGTTATCTGTTGGTATCTTTTTATTGTTGTTCCTGAATACTATGGATCATCATGGTTTATGAAAATTACAGGAGAATCAGGTTGCCAGCTTGAAAAGCAAAGGTATTCCAGCTGAGTTTCTCTCGTCAACACAAACATCGCACAATAAACAAAAGGTAAGGTTTCCACATTGTGCAGATTAAGGTTTACCTAGGATATTATCAATTATTTATGAAAATTTTCGACTCTTTAGTTTCAACTGAAATTTTGACTCTATAAATTCATAGCTGGCTGAGTTTACCTGGTCACATGGTTAGTTCGGTATGATAACACTCTTCCTCTTGACTTTGTAATTTGTCATACATGCCTTTCTCCCAGATACATGAAGACCTTGATTCTGGTAATCCTTCTCTAAAATTGCTATATGTTACTCCTGAGTTGGTTGCAACATCTGGGTTCAAGGCAAAGCTAACAAAGCTCTACAATAGAGGTCTCCTTGGTCTTGTTGCTATTGATGAGGTATAAATTAAGTAGTGTCTTTACTCCTCTAGTAACACCCTGTTCTTCTTTTATCTGTGATGAAGAGCATCTGTGGCTTATTTTGCATTTTTTGTCTCTACAGGCTCATTGCATTTCAACTTGGGGCCATGATTTCAGGTATGCATTTATTTTTAGTGTTTGGTGGTGGCTACTTGCTTTCGTCTGTTGCCCGTTTGCAGATTCATTGGTTAAAAAATGGGTTGAAGCATTCCTCCTTGTTACAGAATTTGTAAATTGTTCTACTCATTTTAATGAAATACAGACCTAGTTACCGCAAGCTTTCATCACTGAGGAACCAGTTCCCAGACATACCTATATTAGCTTTAACTGCAACCGCAGTTCCAAAGTAAGACACTATCCCCTTAATAGTCACTACCTGCCACCATCACTTCTCTTGATATTTTAATCTAGTGTTTTCTATTCACACTTCATTCTCTTTTTCTTTACACCAGAGTCCAGAAAGATGTGATATCGTCACTGTGCTTGAGAAATCCATTAATTCTTAGGGCATCATTTAATCGGCCTAATATATTCTATGAAGGTAAGTTTTCCAACTTATGGGTTCTTGAACACTTAGCTTGAGTGCACCGACCTTTTATCTTTAGACTGGGGCATTTGTTTTCTTGGTATGTTGACTATTCTTCTGTTTTTACATTTCCATGCTTTCCATCATCTATTGTGGACGCGGGACAGTATTACTGATGTTCCCTTCCCTCATGATTATTTAGTACTTTTCAGTTATGTATCTCCCAGAACATATGGTTCCTGTCAATTGTTTACTGCTATGCCTATATTTTGTCTCTATGTTCAATTCTCTCTTAATTACATATTATAATATAAACTACTTTTTGCAGTTCGCTACAAGGATCTCCTTGATGACGTTTATTCTGACATATCAAATTTACTGAAGTCCAGTGGAAATGTTTGCTCAATTGTGTACTGTCTTGAACGTGCGGTTTGTGATGATCTAACTATGCATTTGTCACAGCAGGGTATCTCCTCTGCTGGTACGTTAATTTAAAGTCACAATTTCTAAGTCTTAAGACCTATTAGGACTGTTGAATTGAGAATTTTCATGGCAGTCCTGTGTTCTCCTTATCAGCTTATCATGCTGGCCTAAATAGCAAGGTGCGGAGTTCTGTTCTTGATGATTGGCTTTCCTCGAGAACTCAAGTTGTTGTTGCCACTGTTGCATTTGGGTATAGTTTCCCTCCACATCATTTGAAATATCATTTCTGTTATGTGACATGCTGATTCCATGTCTACAAGTTCCAGCACACATGTAGTATCTGAGTACTGTTACCTTATTACCTTCCAACCTGTAGTACTTGTTTATGATTGATTTTGGCTTCTGTACTTATATTATATATTTTTTCCAAATGAGGCTCTTACTCTGTTTCCCTCTACATCGCCTCTTTCAATACGGGACTTCGTGTGCATTGATATGTTGATTCTCCTTCCACAGAATGGTATGTTATACTAATTGTTTTTTTTTTGTCAGTCTTTCTGAAGAAGTGCTTTGCTAATACATTGGGTTTTATTTTTTTTTCAGGGTATTGATAGACAAGATGTCCGTATTGTGTGTCACTATAACTTGCCTAAGTCCATGGAAGCCTTCTACCAGGAGTCAGGACGAGCTGGCCGTGACCAACAGCCTTCCAAAAGTGTTCTATATTATGGATTAGATGACCGAAAGAAAATGGTAATTAGGTGCCAGATTGTACATTGTCATTGAACATGAAAACTGAGGCTTCTATGGTCTTACTCTTACAGGAATTTATTTTGAGAAACACCAAGAACAAAAAGTCAGAGTTATCGTCCTCTTCAACTGAACTTTCAGAGAAGGCCTTAGCCGACTTTAGTCAGGTTGGTGCACTCTTGCTACCTAACATGGAATTGGTCTACTATATCATGCAGTAGATTTCATGTTTTTTTTTACTTGCATCTCTTGATGCAGATAATTGATTACTGCGAAAATTCTACCTGCCGACGAAAAATGATCATTGAGAGCTTTGGGGAGAAGGTATGACATTAATCCTGAATATATTACTAATACTCCCTCCGTTTTTTAATAGATGACGCCGTTGACTTTTTCTCACATGTTTGACCATTCGTCTTATTCAAAAATTTTATGCAAATGTATAAGATATAAATCACACTTAAAAGTACTATGAGTAATAAAACAACTCATAACAAAATAAATTATAATTACGTAAATTTTTTGAATAAGACGAATGGTCAAACATGTGAGAAAAAGTCAACGGCGTCATCTATTAAAAAACGGAGGTAGTATTTTCTAGTTTTTTACTTCCACTATTGCATGCTAACCTGTAAAATGAGTAGGTACAACCAACTTTATGCCAACGCTCATGTGATGCTTGCAAACACCCAAATCTAGTGTCCTCACGTTTGGAGGAACTTCGTCGTGTGCCCACCTGTCGCTATAACAAGATATCCCCAGTCTTCAAAAGGTATGTTAGTTGTGAACTGGAATTTTCCTTCATGTACTCATGATGTTGCCTTTTAGAGAGAACGCACATTGCATAAACATTTTTTTGACCTCTCTTTTCATGCAAAATAATATAATGGGTATATCCATCAAGATAGAACTGATAACAAATCTTATGTGAAGTAGTTGAATTTTGGGCAACAAAATCTACCTTTTTCGATCGGCGTTGGTACCCCTACTTGTTCATCTATAACTTTTTCTCATCGGACAGTGGCACATAGCATTTAGTAGACTCAAGACAGACTAAGTGGAGTAATTTACTTCTGGATTATGCTGTACTAATAATTCATTTGCTTGGCAGCTCGTTGGCTAATCCAAAACACATGGAGACAGAATTTTGGAATCGTGAAGATGATGCAAGCATATCAGTTGAAGATATATCTGATTCCGATGGTAGAGCTCACCTTTTCCCCTCTTTGTGCGTATATGGTCACTGTGCACTAATGTCTGTGGGGTAATGGCAGATGGGAAGGAGGTGGTGAGCAATACTGCCATTTCAAAGCTCCCATCAAAAGCAGGGCTAGATGCAAAATTTGAAGCATTGGAGCGTGCTGAAAATGCTTATTATCAAGCTAAAGGTCAGACCAAGCAGCAGGTGATAGTTTGCCTTTTTGTGATTCTTGTTTCTTTCGCAACAACAATGAGTTAATAACTGCTTATAAATTTGACAAGACATATTTTTGAAAGAATCTATCACGTTGCTCAGCTAGTCATAAACTTCAACTAGTGATATAAATAGGGTGGGAAGCTTGTTGACAAGAAGAGCATATCTCAGACACTAAGAGATGCAAGCCAAAAGCGATTGTTGAATGGCCTTGGACAAGCAAAGTTGCGACTTGGGAATCTACCGTGAGTTTGTTTTATTCTACAATGATTTATTGTCAATACATGATTTGTACTGTCAGTTTCTTTCAAGTTTCTTCACTCATTTTTTGGCCGATAATTTCATAAGTATTAGGCCCCTTTGGTTTATAGGAAATACACAGGAATTTCATAGGATTCCAATCCTATAGAGAAAAAAAAAACCATGAAGAGGCCTTTGGTACAAAGGATTTAATCATTTCTTTCCCTTTGAAATACCTATGGAATGACAATCCTATACAATCCTGTGTTCTTTTAAAAAAAATTCTTAAAAAGCAGGGCACTCACGTTGTTCATCTAAAATAACAATCTTGTATTTTTTCCTATCTTGTATGCAAACACATGTTTTGAAGTTTTCCCTATGTTTTTCTTCCCATAGGATTGGAGAAGCCAAGCAACTCCATTCTTATGTTTTTCCTATTACCGTGTTTTGACTTTATTGTGTTCCTAAGGGAGCCTTAACCTTGGGTATAGCATTCGGTCTAAAATTTCATGAGTATTACCCTTTGGTTCAAAATTTCATGAGTATTAATATTTGGCCTTACATATTATAGGTCGTTTTGACTTTTTTTCTAAGCCAAACTTCTTTAGATTTGACCAAGTTTATAAAAAAATATAGCAATATTTTTAACACAACAAAAAAAAATCAAAATATGTTCAATGTTAGAAATATTTTTTTGTTGTGTTAAAAATATTGCTAATTTTTTTGGTGCTTTAAGTGTTGCTCTATTTTTCTATAAACTTAGTCATGACTTAAAAAAGTCAAAGCAACTTATAATATGAAACAAAGGGAGTCCTTTAGTCTAAAAATACATGAGTATTAGCCTTCGGCCTAGGGCTGTCAAAAAGGGCTCGAGGCTCGCGAGCTGCTCGAGCTCGACTCGTCTTAGGCTCGATTCGAGCACGGCTCGAGCTCCAGACGAGCCGAGCCCGAGCCTCTCCCAAAGCTCGCGAGCTCTGTCGAGCCGAGCTCGAGCTTCCAACGAGCTTAATAATATATAATTTTTGTTGTTATTTAATAAATTAGGAGGTTATATATGTTATTTGTATGTCAAGTATTGGCATCATATATTTATTTTATTATTTTTCCTCTTCCATTTACATGGTGAACTAGAAATTATTTTTTAAAAGATTATCCTTGAAATATATATTGTTTTACTGAAAAATCGAGCTCAGTAGTCGAGCTCGAGCCGAGCCTGTTTGAAAGCTCGAACATTTTATAGGCTATGTTCGAGCTCAGCTCAAGCTTGTATCGAGCTCGACTAGTTGACAGCCCTACTTCGGCCCAAAAATACATGAATGTTAGTTTTTGGCCCAAAATCTCCTAAGCTTCACCCCATAATTTCATGAGTTAGCTTTTGGCCCAAAATTCCATGAATGCTAACCTTGGGCCCAAAAGCGTTTTAGTATTAGCCTTTGACCAAATAACACATCTAGTGTTAGCCTTTGGCCAAATAACACATGAATTAGCCTTTCGCCCTAGAACACATGAACATTAGCCTTTGACCAAAATTTGTGGGTATTAGCCTTCTGTTGGCCCAAAAATGTGATTGTTTTCCATCGGCCCAAAAACACGCACATATTAGCCTTCGGTCCCATGAGTATTAACCTTGGGCACAAAAATGCTTGCTAGCCTTCACCTATAAACATGCAAGTATTAGCCTTCGGCCCAAAAATTAATGACCCAAAAATGCATGATTATTAGCCTGTCTTGAAAATACATGAATGTTTGCCTTTGGCCGAAGATTTGTTAAGTATTAACATTTGGCCCAAAAACGCACGACTTAATGCCTTATAAAGACATGAATGTTAGCTTTGGCCCAAGATTTCAGTAGTATTAACCTTTGGCCAAAATTTTTAGTAATATTAATCTTGGGCCCAAGAACATGTTTAGCCTGTTGCCAAAATTCCATGAGTGTTAACCTTGGGCGCAAAAATGTATAATTATTGGCCTTCGGCCTAATTACGGATGAATAAGCTTTAGCCCATTTACACGTATATTAGCCGATACTCCCTCTGGTCCAAATTAAGTTCACTTTTGTACATGAATTTGGACATAGGTTATATCCAGATTCATGTACAAAAGTGAATTTATTTTGGCACGAAGGTAGTAATGTTCATGTGTTATTTGGTCAATGGCTAAAACTAATGCGTTTTTATGCCCAAGGTTAGCACTCATGGAATTTTAGGCCAGTGACTAACATTCATGCGTTTCTGGCACACTATTAATACTCACAAAATTTTGGGCCAAAGGATATTACTCAGAAAATTTGTACTAAAAGCTAACAATCATATGTTTTTGGACCGAATTTCAATGCTTGTATGTTTCTGTAGCTTTTTTCAAACCGAAGGCAACATTCATGTGTTTCATTTGCGTAAAGGTTAATATCATGAAATTTTGGACCAAAGGCTTTATACTTGTGTGTTTTGGGGATGAAAGACAAATAATCACGTGTTTTTGTTCCCAAAGGTATTAACTCATAAATTTTGGTTGAAGGCTAATGGTGATGTGTTTTGGGAGCAAAAGGCTAACTAATGTGTTTTTAGCTAGAGGTTATTAGCGTTTTGTGCCTAGGTTAGCACTATTGGAATTTTGGGCTAACATTTTTATGTTTTTGGGCCCAAGGTTAATACTCATGAAATTTTGGACCAAAGGGCGATACTCATGAAATTTTGAGCCAAAGGTCAATTCTCATGAAATTTTTGGTGAAAGGCAACTCACGTATTTTTACGTCGATGGTTAATAAACACTCATGAAAGTCTGGGCCAAAGTTTAATAGTAATGTAATTAGGACCGAAGGCAAACAATCATGGGTCCAAGCTTAATACTTGTGAAATTTCAGGCAAAGACTAATGGTCATGTGTTATTCGGCCAAAGGCTAATATTAATGTGTTCTCTAAATATGAGTATTACCCTCCTGTGCAAAACTTCAGGGTATTAAACTTTGACCCAAAATTTTCCCCTTCGACCTAAAAAAATAAGTGTGTTAGCTTTCAGCATAAAAAAAAGATTAGTTTTAGCTTTCAATCTAAAAAATATGCCTCCAACTCAAAAATTCACGAGTATTACTTAAGAGCCAAAAAGTCTTGAGTACTATCCTTTGTTCCAATATGTATGAGTATTAGCCTAAGGCCAAATAGCTCATGTATGCCTTTGGGCCATTTATGTATCTATAAATCTTCAACCCAAAAATTCATGAGTATTATGCCTTCGGCATGTGTACGCATTTATGTATGATGAATTCGGCCTGATAACTCATGAGTATTCACCTTTGGCCTATTTACTCATCTGTATAAGCCTTCAGCCCAATAAATCATGAGTAAAAGCCTTTGACCCAATAAATTTATGAGTATTAACCGTTGGCCCATTTACACATGTATTTGCCTTTGACCCAAAAACACGTCAGTATTAGCTTTTGTTCCTGAATTCATCTGTTATACTTGGGCCTCAAAACACGAGTATTACACCTTTGATCCAATAGTGCATTTGTATTAGCATTTAGCCTAATAATCCATGATATTAGCATTTGGCTTATTTAAGCATGTATGTAAGCCTTTGTTCCACTGACTTGTGTATATAAGCCTTGCTCAATAACTAATGAGTAAATTATGCCTTCAGCCCAGAAATGCACGGAATTACATCAAAGCTATAACAGGATGGATCCATTATATTTTTGTTTTCAGATTTGTGGTGCTTCTCTTGCACTGTGAAGTGTATATGATTGCTAATGATTTCAATGAATGGGTGCTTTCAGGTTTGATGAAGAGCCTTCTGCAGCACACCTTGAGGTAGAGTGCTTCAAGAAGTACGAGAAAGTGGGCAAGACGTTCTACAACTCGCAGATAGCCGCCACAGTTCGGTGGCTTTCGTCTTCGAGCCTCGACCAGATACAGGACCGCCTCCACGCCCTTGCTGACCAAATCACAGATCATGGTGCTGCGGCAAGCTCCCCTTCCATCGTCCCAGAGTCTCCTCCAGCATCTCCTGATGTAATCTGTAAAATCCCTGGAGAAGCTACTAGCAACGAAGCTAAGGACATACCTCTGAAGAACAACACGGAGGAGTTTGTAACGACGGAGCATTCTGACGAGATTGCAAAGGTGGCGGTTTTATCTGAAAATATGGAGCTCCCCAAGATACCATCATTCAGAGAATTCATGAGCCAAAAAGGAAGGGATCGTGCAACGAGTTCTTCCAAAGTAGAGAGCCTGCCTTCCGGTGTTCGTAGAAAGGTTGGCATTGAGAAGCAAGGGACGACGGGACCATCCAAGAAGATGAAATCATGAGTGATGACATCACTGTTGTACGTACTGCATACAACATCCTACCGGATGAATTTTTCAGTAGAAATACTCCCAATGGTTCATATTATAAGACTTTCTAGCATTGTTCATATTTTTTTTTATAGATGTTAATGAATCTAGACACACATATATATATATATATATATATATATATATACCTACATAGGATACCCATATGGAACTCCATGGTGCCCGGGCTCCAAGGTATAAAACACACAAATTCTCTCAAATTTTTAAAAATTTTCAAATTGTGAGTATATACCTAGGTATATGAATTTGATTCATACATATACCTAACAAGAAAACAACTTAAACTCAACTTTATTTCACAATTCATTATTACATACCTAACGAATTATATGTTTGAATGTTATATATCTAGAACCAAAATCTAACAAAAAAAAAAGGTTCAAACTCAGTTCAAACTTGTTTGAACTTATTAGTAAAGAAGTTAATGTTCATATCTAAACATTTAAAAAAATTTCATACTCATTCAAATTGGGTATATACTCAATTTGAATCTTGGAGCCCATACTCCATATAGCACCAATTAATATATATATATATATATATGTCGAGATTCATTAACATATATATGAATGTGGACAATACTAAAAAGTCTTATAATATGAAACAGAGGAAGTACATAAATTTCTCAGCAGAAATGCGGCCATTTCTTTTCTTTAGCTGATGTTTTAGTCCATTTCTATTCTTTAGCTGATGTTTTTAGTCAACATTGCAAGTTTGCGTGAAATAATCTGTTCTGCAAATGGGATGTTGACAGATTTTGTGCTGCAGATCCGTGCCTACGATACACTTAAAGTTACATACGACTAAGATTGTATGGGCACGGGAAAAACTAAAATTGTATGCTACTTACACTTGGAAGTTACATACGACTTGCACTTGAATTACATTTGTAATTATATCTAAGTTAATATAATTACAACATAATTATACTATAATTACATTTAATAGATTTTAGGGAAATTTTCCGTTCAAAGTTGTATAGCTAATCCCTTAAATAATTTCACATCCTCTAAACGAAAAAAAGGTAGAAATTTCTTTGCGTAACAGAAATGGTCCTTGAGTTTGTAAGAAATAGGGCAACGTTTGTGGTGCCTTGTGATTAGGGACCTGAGAATTCTGTAATTATTCCAGAGGATGTTAGATACACTTAACGAAACTATCATTCTATTGCATCAGCGTTTACAACAGCTGGAACTACATATATGTATGTGTCAAACTAGGGAACTTCACTGTCAAGACAATCACTGACTGGGAATGACGAATCCTTCTCAAGCTCAGCGATCAACTGCTCAATATTTCTTCTATATATAGGCATGTAATGATCGTTAATCATCATTTTTGAAAGCCTCAGTTTGCCATATAATGACCTTGGGGTCAAGAAGATGCCTATTCTGGTGTCCGAATCACCGGTCGTGTCATCTTCATGAGGCACGCTCGACTCTTCGGCACTGACTGTTTCCTCTATGGTGGAAGTTAATATATGCATGATTTTTCCTGGAGGATAAAATCTATGTACCTCCTTGTCATTGGTCTCACTGAGCACATCTTCAGCTGTGCCACCCACCTCTTCAGTAATAGCACTTTCAGTCATATCCTCCACTATTTCGTCATCTTCACTCCTTCGGTACAACTCATTTTCAAGTTGCTGCCACAGCTCTACGTCAGTCATCCTGTCCTCATCCACATGGTGATCAATGATGTCCTCACCGTCACTATCTACCTTCTCATCCATCATTCCAACAGCATCTGACACCTCACTCGAACTCTGAACCTCTTCTGATGAAGCAAACTGCATGGTTTCAGTTTTAACTATCTCTGTGGTTTCAGTCAACAGAGAAGTGGACTCAGAGCCATCATTTGTTGTTGCTCTTATTTCTTCTGATGTTACTGTTGAAGTGGATACAGTATTAGTTCGCCTCCTTGGGCCAATACATGTCCATGAGGATAGCTGAAGTGCTGGTCTTGTCCAAGCTGCTTGTGCTACACTACGAGCTCTCCTCATTACAACCTGACCATAAGGATACATAGCCAACATTATTAGTCAAGGATAACATAAATGTATTTGAACTTAGCGAGAACAAAGCTATGGAGGCAACCTGTGTCCCGGTAGATACAGGTCTTAGGATAGCACCAGCACCAGCTACTCTTGCTTTGGCATTTGCTATTGAAGGAAGTCTTGATCCCAAGGCTGACGCAGATCGATAGAAAGTGCTCAGAATTCTGGTTTGCTCTATTTGGTGGCGCAGATCGTTTAACCAGGCAGATGCAGTAACCTGTATGCAATAACTTCTATTTTATATTTTGAAAAAAGCAGGAGTTATTTTATTACAAAAATGGCATTATTGTGAGCTATGACGATATACAAACATCCCTACAGACATGAAAAAAAAAGATATTTTTTATGCAACTTAACTATGACTATTATATCTTATATCTACTTCAACAAGAATAAGAACTCATATCAATTACAACAATCCTGTTGACAGTTGATAAGCTGATAAGACTAGCTGTAATACTATGTTCCACTGCAGAGAATAAATCAATAGAATGCAAAAAAAACCTCTGAACGAAGATCGTCTACTGATGCAGCTGAAAAGGTTGGCACCAGATCAGCTCCATTGATGACTGTAGTGATAAAATGCACTCCTGATTCTGCCAGATCCCATGTCATACAAGCAGCTGCAAAATAGAGCATCAACAAAACAATAAATCAATCCCAATATTGCAACTTCTGTATTGGAGATATGGTAGTCCATCAACATTTTGTTCGGAGTTTGCAGTGGAAAAAACTCCATGTTCTTAAGATGCAAATATGCACATGGCTCTATTAGATTCGACAGGCCTAACTTCTAGGAGAATCAAAAGTAAGCTTCCAATGAGAATTGGGGAAGAAGAGTTAAGTTTATATGAGATTCTAGGTAGACAACAATTATGTTTATGATAGCTCCAAACAATAGCAGTTTCAATCTTAAGATCATTAAATCACTATCTACACCATAAGTTGATCTAAAAAGATAAGGATTGGAACCATTGTACTCAAACGTGAGGAAAAAAACATGTTTACTTTTCTGCCCCAAAATATTAAGATGCACGTTTCAAATACCCAAAGAAAAAAGAACTTATTCGTCAAAGAGATATCTAGTCCGTTATCCTATAATGTTTACTGCATGAGATGCAGGTTTATGTTAACAAAGGAGATGGCCAGTGGAATAAGGAAAAGTGACAAAGCAGTATTTTCAATTTTCATTGTTCAGTGTGCAGCAAGATAACTCTCAGAAAAACATCATAGCACACATACCTGGAGCAAAGGAGACACAAGTAGTAGATGCAAACTCCTGCTGTTCCCTCAGGACATATGTCAACAGAGCTGCTGTACCACCACCAAGTGAATGTCCAACAATCTATACAAATTTACCATGAACACAATACAGAATAAGTGCATCCGTCTCTAAATGGTTGTGCTGATACGACGTTCAGCACTATTACAACAGTGGGTAGGAGAGCACAAAAACAGTGCAAAGCGCTGTACCTTTATTTTATAATCTGGATGAGTATGCAATGCCTGAGCAAGACAAGGGGCTGCAAGCTTTGCAATCCATCTAGCTGCTGCAACCATCCCAAAGTGCGCGTACCCTAAAACTAAATCGCTAACACCACCTTCCTGTACAATAGTATGGTGGAATGGAACCACAGCACCAGTGGCTGCTGTTAGTGTGTCCCTGATGCTGTGGGTTCCCCTAATTAATAGAAGTATACATTGCTTGTCTCTATCAAGTATAATGGTGAAAGCTGGCTTCAAAATCTGCAAGGATCCCAAGAAAAACACCAGATCAATGCAAAGTAGGCACTTTTTTCCTTGTGAAATATTACAGGAATGCAGAATCAGCAAGAGAAGAGATACCCCTAAAGAAACACAGGTAAAATTCACTCACTCCTGCTTTAGGCTCTTGCATAAGAACATCCTCCGAAGAGTAGCCAGTCGCCTCCAAAAACAACGGGAACGGCTTCTTGGAGAAATGCCAACATAGTGTCAACAAATTTAAATGATGCTTTAAGTCAGCAATTACTGGAGCTCCATTGAGCTCCACACTATCATCTCCAGCATATATGCTTGCTACAGGTACATTCCCCTGGAACACATGTCACAACCAGTGGATCAGAAACTCTGCTGAAGTGTGTGTGTGCCGGTGTGCACTACAGATTAGTTTTATGCTGTAAAAAATATGCTTTCAGTTGTATGTATTTAGGATGGGCAGCATTGTGGATGGTAACATACAAAAGGAATGGGGGTAAATTTAATGGAGTGAAATGAGGGAACATATCCTATGCACACAAGTCTTCTCATATATACTAAAACATGTCACCAAAAATTCAAAAAAAAAAATGTATATGTACTTTTAGTAGTATTACATCTATCTGTAAAGTCTCATTTTCAAATTCATTATATATAGTGAGCAAAAAAAAAGAGACAAATTTCTAACAGATTTATACTCTCAAAACTGTCAAGAGTTTTTATCTTTTCTGTCACGGCTAAAATATATTGATTTGAGGTTAAGACTTTGCATATAAGTGTAATACTATTGGAAGTACTTGTACATTTTTTTCTAGATTTTTTTATAAAATTTGTTAGTTGGTGGGCACAGTGTTTACACGAGAAGGCTTGTGTACAGGATATGTTCCCATGAAATGATATATACATAAAGGGCTTCTTTCAATGATACCATAATTTTTTTTTATCCATACTACAAAAATCCTTCATGTACTTCTACCAGAAATTGTTGTTCCGGAGAGGGGTAAAATTTTGCAGGGTTGTATGGAGCACCTTCTCCCTTTACTTATATCAGATGTTCAAGACAAAAAGCCAATAATACAGATTGAATAATATGAGGTAAATGATCTGCGAGCTGTTCAGATCGTCAAATCAATTTATAGGCTAGGATAAAGTGTTTCCAAAATTATTTTACTTTTAGTTTAACAAAATTGAAGAGCCCCATTATGCTAACAAAGCTAATATAAATGCACACTGCACCATATTATAATCACTACAATATTTGCAAGATAAATCATGGAAGCAGACCCTATTAGCTTACAATTATTAAGTAGTACAAATTACAAAGATGCATGTTTATTAGCAACAAAGGAATGGTTACCAACCTGCCTCTTGAGGAGGAAGCTAATCCCAAAAGCGAGGTCACCGATGGGCCACTTCCCAAGGGTCTCTGAGTATGTGAACCGCAGTGTCTCCGACAGAGTGGAAATTGTCTCCAGCCATGTGGCAGGGGCACGAACATCCCTCCTTGACACCCTGCTCCTGCTGGTGGTACTGAGGGCCCCCCTCGTCGCGGCATCTCTTTCATTGCCGCAATCGCCTTCCTGATTCAGCTTCTCCACCTGAAGCCGGCGGTTCAGCGTGTAGTACAGAAGCGCAGCCGCGCCAGCTGCGGTTGCCATTGTTGCTGTCGCCATAGCACCTGCCTAAGAAACGCCCCCACTCCACTAGCTTGCTCACAGCCTCCACTCCAGTGGAGCACCACCACCACCACCACCACCACCACCACCCAAGGTTATTAATGGCGCAGCCAGACAGCGTTAATTTAATCCCTCTGATTCTTCCGCTGGAGATGCAATCTTGGGCAGCACAAAGTCAAACCTGGTACCACACAGATAGATTTCGAGCCTTAATATTACAGCGAGGCCGTCGATTTTTCACCGAGATAATAATTAGCCGTTACAAACGGGAAAACAAACCCTAATTTTCCCAGCCCTACATACAGCACAAGTAGTAATAATGGATCATTGAACCCCTACACCAAATCAACCCCCCAAAAAAAACCACAAGATAATAAATCGACCGAGAAAACCAACGTGCGGAAGCAACGAATTACCTCGAGAATCACCGCCAAATCACGCACACACAAGAAAAAGAAAGAGAGCGTAAAGGCTCAAACGCGGAATAGTAGGAGATTAAGATTACCCGGAAGAAGAACGCGTCCGAGCGACTCGGGGAGGCGGAGTCGATCCGGATTAGGACCCCGAACTCGCGGTCGCGGCTAGGGTTTAGGACGGGAGAGGAGGAGGGATATAGGAAGGAGGCGGCGCGGCTCCTTCCTCCGGATGGAATCGGTGGCGGCCGCCGCGTCGCGTTCGTGTGGAGCCGAGCCCTGCGGCGAATGGGGGACGAGGAGGAGGAGGAGGAGGGATTTCGGTGGGAGGGAGACGCGGCTCTTCTCTTTTTTTTCTTTTTTATTTTTTCTTTTCCGGGAAGCGGTTTGCCGCTGCCGCTGCGCGAAGTCAAGTGGTCCGATGCGTTGCGTGCGGTGGTGGGCCGGGGAAGGGGGCCCCAACTATATCCATAGGATAAGGGTCCGGTTACTTCGCGGCGAAGTGGGTCTCGGAGTAACAGTTTCCCGGAACTGTGAACTCGGTGAGACGGTGAGTAGCGATTTGTGTTTGTGCCCGTCCAAACTCCAAATCAGGACTGTTATCCAGTTATCAACAATTCAAACAAACTCTATAAAAATATGAATTTCAGTTTTACCTTTTCTAGCTTGGCCAGTGTTTCAAGCGGTTTACCTTTAGGGGTTGTATTTTCTCCTACTCTATTCAATGAAAAGGTACACCTGTGCTGTTTTTCATTTAAAAAAGTAAATCTAGAACTGGATATGACATATTCTAGTATGTCTAGATTTGTTGCAATAAGATATGTCATATCTAGTTCTAGGTTGGTTTTTATGGAACAGAGGGAGTATATAAAAACAAATATTGGTACTACTCTTGAAGCAGGTGAAAATTTTATTTTTTGAGGTTTGGTGCTCTCCTGAGCGGGGAAGGAAGGCAGTCGTGGTGCCGTGCAGGTGAGAGCGGGCCACCGGTCCCGGTCCGTGTGCCTCCGTCCCCGGCCGCCGTGGGCGATCAACAATCATCCAGCAGTGCTGCAGTGGCCAGCGGCAACACCACCACCAACCTTCCAACACCAACTCGATCAACCGCGTCCCCCGCTTTGCACGCGCGATTCGGTCCATCCTGCCTGCGTCTGCGTGCCCTCCTGGTCCACACCCGGTCGCGAAAGCGCGCGGCACGGCACAAAACCGCAGGCAGATGTCGCCTGTCCGGAAGCGCATCGCGGCAGGCACGAGTGATGCCCAACAAAAAAACTTTTGCTTTGCATCGAGTTCGTCGTCGCGTTCTAGACACCGCTCTTTTTATCTTTTCTTTTCTCCCTTTCTCTCGGCACATGCATATGGAATGGATACGAGAGTTCATGAGGGGGAAAGAAATGCAGCGTAGACGTGTGAGACGGAAGTGATTCGCGATGGTTTGTTACCACATCATGCAAAAGAAAAGACAGTCGGTACTGAGTCAGTCGTAAACGGGTAATGATGTACTCCCTCCATCCCATAATATAATAATCTAATACCGGATTGGACATTTCATGATACACCGAATCTGGACAGGAGGTTATCTAGATTCATTGTAACATTTCAATGTCTCATCTAGTATTAGGTTGCTATATTATAGGACAAAGGGAGTAATATTTAAAGGATCCACTACAAAATTAGTGAACTACTCTATCAATATCTTCTACCGTGACATATGACATTGGTGCTAATTCTATCTTCTCAAGAATAACTGAAAGGTTTTCTTTTTACAGGTAGAGCCTAAATAAATTTAGAAACTACGTGAGCATCATGCATATGTATGCATCCATAAACCACCAATTGCAGCTTTGCAGGAGCATCGTTGCTCCAACTCCAGCAGTGAGCCTATATCCAGTTGTTCAGTGAACTTAAAGCCTCATATCTGCAGGTCCAGGACCAAGGATGCCTTTCTCATTATCCGCAGGAGGAAGTATATCAGTACGTGAGACCCTTCCATCGTCCATTGATGCCTGCTGCGTCCAGAGCCATTCCTGATATTTCACTCACAGTTAACAAAAAAATATCAGTAAAATGTGATAGTAAATATCAACACCTGCTAAATGCAGAGCAGACCTCTTCTTGATCATTCTCAGGATCATGCAATTCGGGTGTTACAATTGGTGGCATTGCATCTGGGTCAGGCTTCTGGAAAACAAAAGTTGAATACAAGCCTGCAGAAATTATATCAGGCAATGAGTAAACTGGGACCTTCAGTGAATCCTGAAGGGAAAAGGCTACATCACCTAAAATATCAAACGAACGAGCGACAAGCTTTCCACGCGGATCCACCAAACTGGAACCATAACCACCAAGCAATGGAGCAAACTGAGTTCTGGAGTCGGTGAGAACACACACACAAAAAAGTAACTATCAGCTTTAAACAGGGTAACCTAAGCATCGCAAATAAAAAAACCGAAGAATGGTTACTCTAAATAAACAACAAAATGATGCAAAGACAATAATATAGAACTTGCAATAGGATATTGGCACCTGTTATCATCGTAAAACTCGGTTAAATTCTGGATCTCTACATATTCAAGTCCTGCCTCCCTTGCTAATCTGTTTCAACATAATCTAACAATGTGATACCTTACGAAATAAGGCTGTACAACAATTGTTGGAAGACTAATAAGGAAAATATTACCTCATAAAGCTGGGAAAGTGGACCAGGCAGTGATTCTCGAACATTGATTCATTTGCAAATTTGAGTTGGTACTTTTTTCCAAAGAAAGGAAACCTGCACCATATTGCATATGATCCCTCACCATAACAAACCTGAATTTTTATATATATTTAAAATACACAAGCTCGAGTCATACTTTTCTTCCTCAACTTCAAAGGTGATGACATAGTTCTCTGAGCGAATGCTATTTGGAACAGTCTTCAGACCCTTATTATGTGAAGCCTCGACATTCTTTTGATATTTTGTCCTACAATTTAGAAATATCATATAAGTTAGAAACATCCAACAGTTACGGCTAACTCAATTGAGGTATCGATCTTATTCTTCTTGGTAATAATTCTAGCCTTCTATCTTAGCAACTGCAAAATTTATGCCATTGGCTATTTCTTATATAATCTATAATGCAAGAAGAGATTTTTTTTTTGGAAATAATACAATTTTAATGGAAAATCGCAAAAATATATGCCAATTAGACGAAATCGCAAGTTTAGCAACCTGTCGAACATCTGTGGTTCGATAGAGTACCTATCAAACAACCGTAGTTCGACAGGGTACCTATCGAACTGGGACAGTTCGACATGTGATAAAATATTTTTTTAAAAAAAAGAAAAAAACACTGTAGCACTGTAGCCGCGCCCCTATCGAACATTGCCTGCTCGATATGTCCCCTATCGAACTTTGCATGTTCGATATGTTCCTACCGGATACTGTAGCAAGTACTTATTTTTTTTTTCTTGGACCAACTATCCTGTCAAACTACTACAGTTGTTCGATAGGTTCCCCTGTCGAACCACGGTTGTTCCCCTGTCAAACCACGGTTGTTCGACAGGGTGCTAAACTTGCGATTTCGCCTAACCGACCTATATTTTTGCGATTTTCCATTAAAATCATATTATTTTTTTTAAAAAATCGCAAGAAGAAAGAAATTAAGACATAAACAAGGTTCTAAAAAACTTAAGTGTTATGCCCCTTGTAATACTTATGCAGCATAAAGGACTACTTATGCTATTTATGTGCTACAAGATTAGGCACCCATTGCCTGTATGCAGCCTTGAAGACCTTGGTCTATAACGCTAGACAGAAAAAAACAGAATTCTCATGAGTTGCCCATACCATATTGTAGATGAATCAGGAATTATGCCAACAAAATAGCCTCCAGGTTTGAGTAAAGATGATACATTATTCAGAAGCTTTTGAGCATGTTCCTCACTCTCGAAACATAACTGTCTTTCAATATAGATTAACAGTGAAGATTAGCAAAGCTCATAAGTAAACACCATATTACAGCAACAGAGAACAGACAACTTGCCTGCAAATGCTGCATACAACAAACTATATCTGCTTGGATGCCCTTTTCTTGCATTTGAGCTTCAAAGTCATCCTGTTGTATAAACCACTAAAAGTGTCAGCTATAAACTACTCATGCTAGAATGTTAGTGTATTTAGTTGCAAGTATGAAAGGAGGGATGGAGGTTGTACAGCAGAAGGATCTAACTCGATGAACTCAGACGTGAAAAGTTTCTTTCTGCTCTCCCACAGCTCACGAGCATCATTGACACCTGATGCAGAGGCATCTATTGTAGAAAGTAGTATGTTCGTCAAATTAACAAGACAGACTAGACAATGTAACCATGGAGAGGCTTAGGCTAGTGTGAATTATCCTACCAATCCCTATGTAGTGACCAATTTGTGCATCGCCCCACTTGTCTGTATCAACCCCACCATCACAATACAGGTCACAGACCTATTGTATTTCACAATCAACAAAGAGAAGCATCAGTTTTCTGATTCTAAGATTCACGCTGATCTGGAACATGCTGATCTGGAACAAAATCGAAGATCAGGAAAGAGGGGAGCAGATAACAGACCGTGGCATAAGGGAATGCGAAAATCTTGATAAGGGCAGTCTTAGCAAATTCATATAGCCGATGATGCGGTGTCACTGCCATGCACTAACCCTGCAATTACAGATAGTAGGACATGAGCCAATGATGAAAAAATATTTCTACAGATACTGCAATGGTGGTGTTGAGCACATACTAAAAAATAAATCGCAAAATCAAACAAATCTGGCTTTACTAACTCAGATAATAATAGCACATGCAACCGCTAACACTACGCTTCCCTAGTTCCTTAGAACTTAGAAAGTACACCAAAGGTTTAGGGTTTAGGGGGGTGAATTAGGTCAAAGTAATTCCTGCTCTAGTGACATAATTAGCAAAAAGCAATCGAGTTCTAAGAGCTTCCCGATCTAGAAACTGCAATAGCAGCAGCTCATCCTCGAAAAAAAAATCAACCCATTCGACAGTGCCCAATCTATCTACCGCGCGCGGCGCAGCAGGCAATGCGGGGACACCAACCTGGTGACGCGGCGACCGGATGAGGAGGAAGAAGAAGAAGCAACCGGCACCCGCGTGCTGGACGAGAACCCAGCGACGAGCCGCGGAAGGGGGCGACCGCGGCGGCGAGCGCCAAAGGCGGGCGGCGCGGAGTAGGCGGGGAAGCAGGGGGGAGTCGGGCTGCGGCTGATCGAAGCGGAGGGTGGGTGCGGAGGCCGAGCACGCAACGAAGGGGGAGGAGGAGAAGGCACGCGCGGATCGGGCGGCGAGGCGAGGCGGAGAGCGGAGGCCGGAGGCCGGAGGGAGGAGAACAGCGTTGCTCACAGGCACAGCGAAAGAGAGTCAAGAGTCAGAGAGAGAGAGAGAGAGAGAGAGAGAGAGAGGGCTGTTTGGGGAGCTGGAGCCTTCACCCTTCAGCTCTCACAAGCTCTGTAGATCTTCACAAGAAACTGTAATTGTAAAACTAAAAAATAAACTAAAAGTCAAAATATTTTCACCAATTAGCTTATCAGCCTCAGATAGCGGATCTAAATCCACTCAAGAACGGTAACATCGGATTTCGTGAAATCCATTGATAAACCGATAAAACTTGATCCAAAAAATGAAGAGGTTTTTGTTTTTAACCAAATCCGAAAAGTCCACATTTTTGGATTTCATTGAATTATAACCCTGGGCAAACGTAGCATGCGGAAATAGGAATACCTCTGTGTGTGGCCATACGGCTTGTGAGTAGTAGGGTTCAGAATGTCGATAAATTTCGATCGGATTTCTCATCGTCTCGAGTGTGGATTTCGTTTAGGATTTGTCAAAATTCATTGACAGACCCATCATTTGGTTGATAATAAGCAAAAGCGTAACGTTACATTTGCAAATAAAAAATAATTTGTGAATAAAACTTTTATATACGTGTTCTTAACGATTTAAAAGCAAAGGCCGAAAAACAAACTATGATGAAAAAGAAATCTTAAAATCAAATATTTAAGGTTGAAAATTTAAATTTTAGCTGATAAGCATAAGCGAAAAGATGAGAGGATGAAGCGTGGCAAAATTAGTCGACGTCTCGTTGGGCTCAAATTTCACTGGTCAATCGAGATCGCAAACCCACTCGTTCTCGTTGGGACCAGCTTTCACTTTGTAAGGCCCAGCTCACTGCAGACTGCACTCGGTTTAACTAACTTCTGTAAATTGTCCCTTTCTTTTTTAGGTCTGACATCTACCGGGCAGCCACAATGTAGCAATAGGAGAGGGTCTTAAATCTCTAAAGTGGTCATTATACATTGTGAAAGTAATCCATATAGTAGTCTTTAAGATAAGCTACCCATAATGTCATAAGAATAAAATAACAATACTTTCTCTTCTCTCTCTCCTCTTCTCTCTCACATGCCATATAATTGAGTGAAACTAGTAGGACCCAGGCTAATGCCTTCTCTTGCCATATATATTGTAGCAAACACCATAACTAATACCGGGTCCCACCTTATTGCTTAAGTAGACATTATACATTGAGCATGCTCTAATACGCACATTTTGACAGTAAAAATGATGAGAGATTCTAATGGGAAACTTCCGTCCCCTCCAGATTCCTGACATGACCACAAACCTCAGTAAGAAACTTCTTAGCTAGATAATTTCAGTTTAGTCTCAATCCCTATATATAATACCTCCATTTCAACATCAAAAAATAATCACCTTAACCAGAGAAAAAGGGAAAATCATGAGTTTACCTCCACCCCAAATTCATGCGCAACACATGTGGCAATTCCAATAAGAACATAAACATTGGTTGAGAGGACTACCGTAAGTCTCCACGTTAATTAACTAAAAACAAGTTATACCTGATATGTACATACGACATGTACAACGAGAAACAATACAACATACATGATGTTTCGTGCCGTTCTTCTCTGGCCCTTGGAGTAGCTAATTAGTATACGTGCATTGTGCATACAGGTATAGATAGATATATTTTACATTGTCAGGTTAGGGCTCACCTTCTTTTTTCCCCCTAACCTCCTTTTCTTCTCCCAGATTGTTTACCTAGAAGACGATGTTAGCACAGGTTAACATGGAGCAGACCAGGCTATGGCTGCGTGTGATGGAGGCCTTCATCCAGGAGGAAATGTTCAAGGGCGTCCGGCAACCTTGCCTCGCGAGAGCCCTTGGTGTGGTGTCCTGTTCCAATGCAGATCATGATCTGTGCCTTCTCCAGCTGACCTTGTAGCACCCATCAGGAGGGCAAGCTCAGCCTTCACAACCTGGATGGCTTCGCTCACCTGAAGCCCATGCAAGTCGATCAGACGGTCCTGGCCTTGTTCAGATGAAAATGGGTTCCTGCAACGAAGCAGGGGAAGCTAAAAAAAACTAGATGCGCCTTTAGAGTGCGAAAAGATACTTGTATGCAAGAGGAGAAAAGATGAATACAATGTGCAGTCCAGGTCCTGGTATTTTGTTAGTGGTCAGTAAGTTGGCAGGTTGAAAAATACTTTTATTTATGAAAGGTTAAGGTCATGTCAATTGGTTATCAGGGAGTTAATCCACCTTTGCTGATAAATAGCTTCCCTAGCTGTCTCATGAGCTGCCTTCATTTGCAGGTTGTACAACTGTCCCTTCATGCTCAGTTCCTTTGCTAACGCTTTGTTTCCCATCATATAAGCTTGCGTGGCCTGCCAGAAAATATTCCAATCATCCAAAATAAACATTCCACTAGATCAAAGGACAGTGATCAATAAATGGAGGTAGTCAACACAAGAAAACTCAAAGCAAGTAAACAAAATGATGCCATGAATACATTGTGCAAGATGAACATGCAATTTAAGAGTGCTTACTTGTTCAAAACATGTATTGCGTATGCGGGCAAAATCACCAGCTTCCCCCCTTGATTCTGAGCACATGCTTGCTGGACAGTAGCATAAATGCAGGCTATCAATCCATAACTGGAGCATGGTCGGAAATCAAAATGTCTGGATGAGAATATTACCCATGGCATCACCAGTCTTTAGACTGACTGGGGCTGAGTGAACATTACTACTGGCCTTAAGGAACTTGTTTCCTAAGGAAGACCTTGTATCACAGCCATACTGTTTCCGCGCAACAATACTCAAAAGACCATTAGCATACTTGGGACTTTCATTTTTAAACTTCATGTGGCCAGCATCCTGCAATGCAAGTCTTTGAATAGCTGAAACAAAATCTCCAGTCCTAGACATTGTTGAAGAGTTGTGTCTGTTTGTAATTCCATGGGCACCTACATTGCCTTCAAACAAACAATTAAGGTCTTCTGTTCCAGGTAGTACAGGGAAGTTTCCTGTGCCAATGTTTGGTGTATTTGGGGCCAGATTCAGATTCTGACAGGAGCTAGCATCAACTTGCATCTGCAATCAAAAGAAAAGGTCGGATTTGCGTGCAAGTACTGCATTTTTTTTAAGAGAATGGGAAAATCCCAGCCTACATATATATGCCACAAAATCTCCAGAACACAACATGCACTAAAAGGTTTTAAAAAATGTAAGACAAAAAATATGTACAGTTAAATATAGATATGCTCTAGCTTTAAGGGTCAACTTTGTACTGTTACACAGAAAATGTAATGTCCCATCTATAAGTACCAAGCAGAAGTTTTAAAATTTTTACTTGAAAAAAGAATAACTTTAAAACAAAACGATCTGCCTACAGGTCAAAAGAGGCTAAAACAATAAGATAGCAACACAAAGCTCTAATACTAATGCATAGCAGTATAGCACGAATTATTCATACATACAGTTTGTGCTTTGTACTGACAGCCTAATGCAGCAGCTAATAGATGAGCAAACGGAAGTTGAGTGAACATTATACTAGTTTTGGTCATTATTCTCACTTAGTGAAGATGTCCAAGTTGTTAGCACCAGTCAAAGCAAAGTAATAGAACACTACATTATAATACCCAACTCTGCATCCCAGCAAAGCAATTAATACGGGACACCACAATGTTGCGAATGATGGGTGCACAACTGGCTATCAAGACAAGAATATTTTACAGATTTATTTTCCTTATATTAATATTTAATTATAAGGACTAGATTAGGAGATCACCTCTAACTGAGTGAGAATTTCAACAGTAAGGTCGAAGTCGCAACCATTAGCACAGTACAACTCAGCAAGGCTCTCCACAGAAAAACCAGGAAACTGGGATGCTAAATACTCAAGTGGGTCATGATCATAAAGGAGGTCAAGCTTCCCATTAGTATAACATAGGTTATCTGCATGATTTTGCTTCCCACTGTTTGAACCTGAATTCTCATCATAATACAAATCATTGTGCCCCAGGTCAAGATTCTTGCCTGCTTGAGACAATAACCCATGATGCTCTCTCGACAAGTTGCTGGCTGCTGTGCCAAAGAAAGGGGGTGCATTCAATGACAATCCAGAAAATGACAATTCTCCATGTTGCTGTTCAACTTTTTCCATATCACTGAAGTCTGGAATAATATCATCAGGAAGCTGTCTATGCCAAAACTGGTGTGTTTCATCATCCGAGTTATTAGATTTTGATGATTCCGACCTACCAAGGTTCGTTTTACCAGAGAGCCCCCTAAAATCTGGTTTACTTACATCCGCAACTGTTCTACTTCCAAAAGGCGACCTAAAAGTTGAAGGGACAAATTCTGCTGCATTTGGATTTAGGGTGGTAACTGTACTTGGTAATTTTGACCCTGCATCTCCGCCTTTTGTAGAAAATCCATGTGAACTCATCTTCTTGCAGATTCTGTGCAATGTCACCAGTACAAGGTAATATATCCAGATGATAATTTATCCAAGCCATGGAAAACAGTTCCAGCAGTAAGTAAATGCTGGAACATAGTGGCAATTGGCAACAGCCATTTCCTATTCTAGGAATACTAAAATTTAACTGAAGAAAAAACATTCCAACAGCGAACCAAGAATATGCACTACACAGTGATATAGACTATTTGGCAGCATGGGAAGAATAAAAAGGAAAGAAGACAAAAATAGGTCATCACAACTAGATAACAAGAATACAGGTAGACAATGTCCAGAAATTACAAAGCTACAAGCAATCCACTTTCGCTAATATAACTAACCTTAAACGGTCAGAGATTTTCCCATTCTAAAAATGCTACTACTAAAAAAAGTTGCAACCATAAATGTAGCAAGCAGCCTGCTTCCCCATTCTCACAGCTCATAAACCAAACAACGTCTCTCCCAAAAGCCACGAATTTAGTTAGCGTTACCACCACGGTAGCAAGTGAAACAACCAAAGCATCCACTCTCACACCACCCCTAGAAAACTTCGCCCAAGAATGTACTCCAATTCAGTCTAGTAGTATTGTTTTTAACAGAAGCATATAATTCTTCGCAAATTCGCAAGTGGATGGAAAACATAAAGGAATTTTGTCAAGGTAGGTGTGCACAAAGGCAAAGAGTGCACAGTTATTCATGCCCACAGCTCTAAAGCGGAAACAGAAAGGAGGCCTTCCGCACGGGAACGACGCACAACCACCCACCCACCGCACCCAGCCCAGCCGAACGGGGCACCGCCATGGATTCCAAGCCAGATCTAGGAGGAACACGAGGAGGAGCCCCTGAGCCCGCGTGGCATGATCCAAATGGGAGCGAAACGAAACCCCGCCGCACCTTTCCGGCGGCCGATCAGCTGGAGCGCAGCCGGAGGCGGCCGGCCCATATATAAGATGGCGAGCCCTCGACGGAGAGCGGCCCCTCCGGCGGCGGCGGCGGGTTGATTGCTCGACCGCGTAGAGGAGTAGAGAGGAGAGGGAGTGGAGATGAAGATGGTGGGGAGGATTCCTTGGAAGGAATGGAAGAGAGCAGTATCGGGGGAAGGAGGGCGTGGAGTGGAGTGAAGTCGTCAGCGTCTGGGCGAGGCGAGGTGGTTGCGGTGGCGGACTCGCGGGAGCGCCCTGTGTACCTCTACCTGCTCGCCGGGGTGGCGCGTCAGGATTGGTTTCCGGTCGCAGTGCTGATCTGGCTGACACGCGCCCTCTAGTAATAGGGCTGTGTTTAGTTCCTGAAAAAGTTATAAGTTTGGGAAAAGTTGAAAGTTTACGTGTGTATAAAAGTTTTGGATGTGATGATGTGATGTGATGGAAAGTTGAAAGTTAGAGGTAGTTGGGGGTGAACTAAACACGGCCTAGGGGTGAGTTTGAGAAGAGAGGAAAATACGCAAAACGAGGTGAGTCATCAGCGCATGATTAATTGACTATAAATTATTTATAAATTTTTAAAGCAAATTTTATATAGAATTTTTTTTTGCAAAACACACGTTGTTTAATAGTTCGGGAAACATGTGCGCGGAAAACGAAACAAACTTTCTCACGATGTTATCCTGTCCAACGCCTGATTTTAGGGGGCTGTTCATTTTAAAGCTAAAATTTAGCAAATGTAACCATCTAAATATTGTCAAAAGTTGACTCTTAAGATTTGGTAATTTTAGAATCTTCTTCTCATAAAAACTTATAAAGGTAATAGCTTGCACATCATAGCCTTATCAAATTCTTCCTCTATCCGAAAATGTTGTTATCTAGTATTTTATCCGTTTCATATTACAAGTCGTTTGATTTTTTCTTCATTAAAGAAAAAAATTTTCTTTAGGTTTGATCACATTTATAGAAAAATATACTAATATTTTCAATACAAAACAAACATATTATCAACATATATTTAATATTAAATTTAATAAAACTAATTTGGTGTTATAAATGTTGCTAATTTTTTCTATAAACTTAGTAGTCATACGTAAAGAACTTTGACTAAGAAAAAAAATCAAACGACTTATAATATGAAATAGAGAGTACTAGATGAAACACATGTTAATACTATGACTTCTGTCTCGATTCGTAGTATTAGAATGTGTCACATCCAGTACTGGATAGTCATATTTTGTGACGTAAACAGTATTGGACAATGCCAAAATTTGGCACTACTGAAATTTAGTAAAGTCAATTTAGACATAAAAGTGTACAACCACTTAGGCTTTGTTTGAAATTGCCGTAACTTCTTAAATCTAGTAAGTTTCACAAAACCTTAAGTATTGAAGAATCCGTAATATAAAACCTCAATTATTATGATTTGTTTCTAAAAAAACCCTATCAACAATAACAACAACAAAATCAATATTTGGGCTCGTTCTGCTGCATTCCCCATGGCTGGCTGCGCGTTGTAGCCTGTACAGTGTCTTGTGTCAACAACAGCGAATGCATAGGCTGTACCCTGCAGACGAAGAAGGCCATTGTTGGAGCTGACAGTATTTCATTCCTTCCACAGAATCACCAAAATTGATATTCCTTCTCATGAGTAAGAAGGGTTGCCCGATTGAGCAGATGAACTTACTGCCATGTACGAATCAACACGTGACACAAAACGGGGAGCCCAGATACAAACAATTATCTTATCTTGCATAACAAGGATACATGAAGGCATGAATCAAGAAACCACCGAATATCCAAGGTTTTGAGGTATCCTTTCTTTGTTAGTCGATAGACATTGGGCCAACAATGTGTTCTTCGATTCTTTTTGCCGGGCTGTGTTCTTCGATTCCCCAAGTAACATTCATCTTAGCAGCCAGAGCCCGCAAGGAATTTATCGTAGGGACTCAGGACCGGCAGCTTACAGAAATCAGAGTGACATTGCTCGTCGTTCGTTGATACAAACCCAGCCGTTGGAGAAATTTGCTGAGGTGACCCAAGCTTGTCCATGGGTGATTCACCATCCTGCAAAGTCCCAAGAATCTGTGAGTGTAAACTGGAGAAGAAAGACTTTCACCTCAAAAAAAGAAGAAAGACCAAAGAAAAGTCAAATATGTTATGACCTTGAGAGAATCGTGTGCAATTCAGGTTCCCACAATAACAACTAACAAGCTAAAAAGGTATGATTGTGTTATATATTGAAAGCCTAGAAGCATATTTTTCCTTAGTTTACCTTTATTACAATTACCTATTAGATCTGCTGAAATATCAAGCATCGCAAAAGTAAAACTTATTTCTTTATTACATACTCCTACAACGGAAGAGTGCTTGGCTGCTTGCTTCACTTCATGAGATTTCAAAATGCACCGATTTACCATTCAACATAGTCTAACTGCCCCATTCCACAAATAGTGTTCTGTACCATTTTCATCTTTTTAACTGTAGACATCTCAAGTTGTCTGTGATCTTTCTGAAGGTCACTAACCTGTTTTTGGTGGACGCTCATGCAGACAGATAGCTTTTGCTGCTTTCCGATCAAAAGAGCTTCACATCGGTTTGCTACCTCCTTAAAAGGCAAATCAAGGTTTGTTGACACTGATAGTCTTCCAACGTGCCGAGATGTTTCCACAACCTGCGGAAGTTATAACCTCTTTTTAGCATATATCAGTACATCTTGAAAATGTTCAGTTTTACCATCGAGTAAGATTCCATATTCATAGTTATTGATTGAATGATTATATTAATAAGGGTACCTCCATATTTCATTAATCATATTTTAAGCAGAGTAAAGCTAGCAAGCGGGAAATAAGTACATACTGATTCAAGAAGCTGATTCACATCAATAAGGCCATTGTCCAAAGGTTGTTGCAATTGAGGTTCTGCTAAGCTGTTAGCTGGTTCAACTAGGGTATCATCCTCAAAAATAAAGCCGACAGGAATAACCTGCATAATAATTACCACAGTAATATAAGAAAACAAGAATAAAAGGATGGCATGTGTTTGTAAACAAGGTTGATCACCTCCAACGATTTTTGGTGCAACTTAGCATTATATGCAGGAGATTGTGAAGTAGATTCATTCGAGTGAGAACCCAGGGGACAGGCATCATCTGCTGAGAACTCCTCAAGCAATTGCTTTCTTATAGTAGACAATTCAGCCTGCGGTACCACCAATAGTGCGAAATTAGCAATCACAGCAATAAAAGGTATCAAGACAAATGTTCATCAGACTCTTCTTGTGATTTACCTCCGATAAATCTTTCAAACTATCGAGAATAAGAGAAACTGATGCCTGTTTTGACTGATCATTGATGTTGATGTTTGAGAGAGATTTCAAAGCAAGATCATCGTCGTCTTTTGAACCGTAAACTGTCAAGCAAGACTCAACAACCTGCAATTTGCAGTCTTCAACTAGACGAAGAAATGGATCAACCTGGCAAACACATTGCTTATCAGATAGTAACACAACATATGACATCTTAAAATAAAATGGATAACCACACGCATGTGAAAAAATGATAAAATATTCACGGCATCAATGTTTTGAGAATAGGCAAGAGGGTTGTGCATCTTTGTATAAAGATATTCTAAGCATCAAAGGCTCCACTTAAAACTCAGTTCAATATTTAACATTACATTCTAGAGATTAATTTGCAACTGACAAAAGTAGATTTTTTTATGGCATCACAGTGGTTAGAATTGATCTGGTATTGACTGCAAAACATCTTTTAGTACACAAGAACTTAGGTGCAAATGTGCCATGGGTAACTGTGTCTCATTCTTTTAACTGAGGGAGAGTATGCTAACCATTCACTCAACAATTTCAATTATTCTCCAAAAGAATTTGTATTAAGAAATTACATATTGTTGTTTGCGAATGAGTAGACATTTATCTGTATGGTTTGATTATGTATTTATGTTAGTCAAATTTATGTAAATTTGTTTGCGAAGACATAATCTCTCCAAGGGCTATCTATTGATGGTAAAAATGCTCACTAGATCACCATGCACATCATAATGAACTATGCAAGCATAATTTCACTTACTATGCTTGTAGTCAACAAATCTTTCACTAGAGGAATGAGAGATGGAATGCCAAAAGCTTTCGAGAAAAACACAAGCATAGAAGTTGCCATAGTAAAGAGTGAACGCCTGCGTGATGGTGGCAAAAAACCTGAAAAACATGTTGATCGAATGCATTATGAATATACAACTTCTGAAGGAATTACATAACAGCACATTACTTCTATTGCTTGTAGCATGGCATGGAGAATCTATGATAAGAGTCATAGAGTAAGCCGAACAATCACTACAGAGAACAAATGAACAAAAAAGTAATTGTTGCTTTGTGAAGTAAGATCCAATACTGTGATGGGAATAAAATACTGGTGTGTACCTGCTTGTAATGAAATGCTTTGCAATGAAAAAGCAAGCTGAAAGCTGCCAACAAGAACTTCAAGACATGATTTCTGCAATAGGGTGGCAATTAAGCCAAGTAACAGAGAGATGCAATAAAAATAAATCAAATAAAAATTGATCAGCAAAATTTAATATGGAAAGTTACATTCAGATTAAATATTCACATCAGAAAAAAATATGGATGATTATTACATTATATTATGTATTATATTAACATTTAATTGTGCAAGTGCTGAAACATGGTCATTCTTGATCTATAATCTGGCAACCATTCAAAAGCTTATGAAATAAGAGAAAAGATGTTATTACCATGAATTACTATTTGATTGACAAGTGGCAATGTATTATAACCCAACATTCCATGGAGGGTACTATATCATGTGATCGTTTATGTCTTTATGTTGTCATTTCCTGTGCTAAGTTGATTGCTCATTAAGTCGAGCTTTGCAAATGGTGTCAATACGTGAATACTACATAATCCCTAATATCAAGGTCTATCTATACATAGAGGAAGAGGGCAATAGAGACGATAATGCAAAATACAGATATGAAGTAGAGGGAATGGGCCAATGGGTTCTCTCACCTTGTCTTCAGAAAACAGTAGCATCAAGCAATAAGTATGAGAAATTGCTTCATAATTTCGTGGAACATTTTCAGGTGAAAGTGCCTGAGTCCACAAGGAGGAAAGCAGAAGGATAGCCTGACGACCACTCAGCATGAGGGTGACTGGATCCTGCGTGTAAATGAATAAACATTCTTTTTTCCACCAGAAAGAGGCACAGTTAATAAATAACCATGTTAGCTACAAGAAATCAGAGTCTAGCACTTACTG